TCGTATCGATGAAGACCTGGCAGGATACAACTCCCGTGACTATTCCTTGGAAATTGAGGGCACCGACTCATCCTCGCTGACCGAATCCGACGGCAGCAGCGGTAGGGAGGGCGCCAATGCTCGCATGCCTCTCGATCGACGAGGTGATCTAAAAAACCTGGTCTTTGAATACGGTGCGCCGATCACGGTCAAATGGACTGCGCCTCTCAACCACAGCAAGAAGGACTGGGTTGGGCTGTACAAAGTGACGGATAACACTTCGCGAGAAGTGACACGGGTCTCATCCCAAGCAAGATGGATCGCGACGAACGAAGGCTTCTACGACAACACAACGTGCGAGAAGGGCATCGTCACAAGTGATGTTGTCTCAACACCCCAGCGCGCGGATGGCGATGATTATGACATCGCTACAGGCGAGGTCGTCTTCTCTGGAGACAAGCTGTTCTGGACCCAAGGCACTTTCGAATTCCGCTACCACCACAACGGCAAGCACAATGTCATGGCCATTTCGAGACCCTTTGAAATCTGCATCCGCCGCTTCGACGAGGAAGACCTACTCGGAGGCGACCAGGAACTGACCCAAACATCCGTGGAGAAGAGCTTGCTGGCCGTGGTCCGCAACTGCTTCGACCGGGACCCCGAGATCGCGCCCGAAACCACAGAAGAGCAATTTGGATCTCTAGTCGAGCGCGACGGCAAATACGCCAAGCGGGTCATTTTCGCCGTGCATCAGATGTAAGTCCCCAGTCTACCCTCCCTGCTTCGTTTATATGACCGCATGTGCTCACCAATCCTAGGTTCGGTATCGAGTTCGCTCCGGAAGTCGTTCGATCAGATGGAACTGTCCGCAATCTTGCCTGGAGAATCTGTCATGCGAAATCTGTCCTTGTACGTCAAATCAGCATCTCTTTCTCACCAACATCCCTCACCCCACCCTCGCGTCAATAAATGGTAAATGCTAACAACACCCTTCTATCTTTACAGGCCCCATATAGCATGTCCCGAAACGGCGCCACGACACCGACCGAAAGGAAAGAGTAGAAAACAGATCAAGTCGATGAAATGATCAATATTATATTATATGTCTTCTTATGCTCATGGTGGATATGAACAATGATAAATTTATCTTGTTATGTTTTCTTTTATAGACAGAGCGAGGCGCTGAGAAAGGTAGGCGAGGCGGTTCTCTGTCGATTTTCTTTTTCATATTACGTTGGCTCTGTTGCTTGTGCGCTTGATTACAATCAAGAAGGATGAAACGTTTCTTGAAAGCCGAAAGACACCGAGATGGCAAAAGATGGGTGTGAGTATTGCTTTAGGGGGAGCGGATGCTAACGTTGCAATGTGGCTTTGCAAGAAACCTATAAATTGAAGATAGAAAAAATGATATAAAAGTTCAAAGTGGATAGATCATTCACCCTATATATCGATAATTCGCTTATATTTTGACTACGCAGATATTTCAGAGTCCTAAGGAGAGAAGATGTTTCGTAGAATATTATTATTCGTCATTACAGAGGTAAAAGACTATCTAGAGTTCCGAAAAGTCTGTCTAAACTACTAATCAAAGTCAGCACATTTGCTGCGAGCAGATCAGGGTGAAGTTTTTCATCAACAAGATTGCAAGAATAGGCATAATCAGCCAAGCCGAGTTAACTCATCCCATCCCCTGCCGATCTCGATCCCCCAACATGCCATCCAAGACGAACGACATGTCGGAAGAAAGAATTCGACACAAGTCAGTCAAGCAAAGACCAGCAGGTACAGCACGAAAAGACAAGACGTAGCCCACACAGCCCGAACTCCACAACCTTCCTCCCTTTCACCTGCCAACTTCCGTGAGGAAGAGGCGAGTGCAAGGTCCAGTACAAGGGAGAGGGGCATGTGGATCTTGTGAGTTCATTGCGCTGGCTGTTGGTCGATGCAGGCCCGAGGGGCGGTATCTCACGAGGAGATTCATTGAATGGATTGACTTGTTGTCATCATAAAGAGGTGTTTGTTGGGGCAAGAAGAAAGCGGAGGAATAATCGTCACCATACCTAATTGTGGCCGAAGATCTTTTGTTTTTTCCCCCTGGATGAATCCAACTACTGAGATACAGAAACTAAAGTCTTCGAAGAGTCAGCAACCAATTGCTATGAAATGCATGTGCAAGTAGACAATGGAAAAGAAGCTTCGAATGGTATCAGGAGTTTTTGGTAAGGTATTTTGTTATCTTCAAGATATTTGCAGAAGCAGAACTGAAAAAAATGTTTCTCATCACGGAAGCAGTGGCAGCCTGTGAAGGCGCCGTAGGAAAGGGAAAAGAAGAAAAGGTAATAAAAAACCTACCAAGTTTGTTTACGAAAATTTTCAATGTTAAGTGATGTTAGAGTACCTAAGCTGTCTTTTCTTGAAAGTTAGCAAGAAAATTCTCATCAAGTATTGCAGGAAAATTTTGCAAGACATGAGGGTAAAAAGGGATCAGATGGTGATGCATGTTTGTTCAATGGCCCATTTTTTTTGTCGCCAAGAACTGATTTTGGATCGTAATCATCATGAAAGGTGGTGGGAGACGATGAGGTTCAGAATTGATGGTAGACTCACAAATAAGGAAGTTAGTGGCAAAACAGTTGCTGAACTTGAGCAATGTGACCAGCCTTCCTTCAGCATGAAGAAGGAAAACCGTCCTGTCCACACCCTAAGTTGGGTTGGAAAGCATGCAGGGAAGGAAGAAAGAGAAAAGGAAGAAAAAGAGCGAATTTAAAGTGGGAAGAAAAACGAAGGAAAAATTAACGCCGACTCCACCGCCCGACAAACAGACAAACAAAGCAAACATCCCTCAAAATTGTAGATTTCCGTTTCTGGCTTCCAACGGCAGCTGTCGGGAGTTTCACGTCTCGCTGAGCATATCAGCTCTTCTTTTTCTTTTCTACTGCTTGGAGAGCTTGCCAAGTAATGTGTAATGACTGACCGAAGAAGAATCAATGGGCCGCCTAGCGGCACGAGGCCTGCGATCTTTGCCTCGTCTCTCAACTCCGCCTCTACTGCTACCGCAAGACCGCAGCGTCAAAGGCAACCGAATGATTTACGGAAGATATGTAAGGATCGCAGTGCTTCATTTACCCTTTTTGAGGGTCACAGTGGCTAACATGAAATCTGACTAGTTTTGAAAACCGGCTTGATTCCCTCCGCGTCGGGTTCCTCATACCTTGAATTCGAACCTTCAGCCTCTTTGTCCGCCGCACGATCATCTCCTCAGTCTCTCATCCCGCCGTCGTCCGCACTGAAGCTCGCATGTACAGTCCATGGGCCGAAGCCTCTTCCTCGCTCAGCTACCTTCTCGCCTAACCTAGTCCTCACAACCCATGTTAAATATGCCCCGTTCGCCGCGCGGAAGCGGAGGGGCCATATTCGCGATGCCAGCGAGCGTGACCTCGGGGTGCATTTAGAGACTGCACTTAGGGGTGTTATTGTCGCCGAGCGATGGCCCAAGAGTGGTCTGGATATCACAATCACAATCCTCGAGGCAGAGGATGACCGTTGGTGGGGTGATGTTCCGGACTCGCACGACTCCCCTTGGGGCATGTTGAACGTGCTTGCTGGGTGTGTAACGGCCGCATCTGCAGCCATCAGTGATGCTCGAATCGACTGCCTCGACCTCGTGGCCAGCGGAGTGGCTGCGTTGGTCTCCGATGAATCGGAGGAGGAAGGGAAAACCTCCAAACCGAAGTTGATGCTGGATATGGACCCCGCAGAGCATAAGGCTATTGTCTCGGCATGCGTTGTGGCTTATATGCCTTCTCGCGATGAAATTACGGAACTCTGGCTGAAGGGAGACAGCTCGAAAGCGTCCCTTGCGGCCGATGACAAACGTCTCGCACATGATGCCCTGATCGATGGCGCCGTAGATGCGGCTCGAGGAGCACACACGGTTCTAGCGGAGGCTGTCAGAGAGTCTGCCATGCGGTTTGCTGGTTTGGATTCGGCGGGAAATGCTGTTTAATGAGATCTAACATCAAGGCGTACTATCTTTGGTTGTTTCAATATCCTTTGTCTGTTACCGTTTTCTATCAATCAATCAAAATTCTATTAACCTGATGAAGCCTATCGATTAGAACGGTAAGCTATGCAAGCGCTTCGGTGATCGAAGCGGAATTTCGTGTCCGCACGCCATATAAATCCTTAAATGCAGGGCAAATCTAAAAGCAAATCAAAACGTAACTAAAGCAGCTGGCCACCCCTGCCGCGTATCTATAGCGAAAATTGTTTTTGAGCTCGGTAAGGCCCTAACTATCTAATCTGTAGCGTGTAATTAGGAGACCGATAAGGCTACCTACCACAGAGGTGTCGACTGCCACACACCCCATAGGTAGAGAAAGAGCGTGGCCCAGGTCCACTATCAGATCCTCTAACAGGCCCTCTGGCGACAGGTTCGCCCACTCTGGCGCAAAAGGATCGGAGTTCAGTACTATGTTTCTCCGCAGGCATTTAGAACCAGGATAGGAACGCCTTACATATGAACCACCCCCCCTGCCATGTATCTACCGTGCTTCTCGTAGACGCTGCACACTCCTTCCGCTCCGTTCTATATGAGCATTTCTCGTAGAATTTGCGCGTCACAGCAACTGTTCAAGGCCCTGACCCGTTGCTAAAAGCTCCTCATAGCCGTTGCCTTGGTGGACGTCTCTTTGATGCACCGACCAGGTATCTTTTTAGACTACAACCATCGAACTCTAATCGAGTCCGGCATGCAGGGGAGTGTCTTATCAACTGGATCCGTAGCTCTTCGCTAGGCTGCGAAAGACTTCATTTTTGTAACTAGCTAATCAGCCAATTCTTCAAGTTCGCCCATAGCGCTCATATCGCACGCAACCTTCCCGTAAGTCCATCCAGGCGCTCCCCTGTCCACTGACAATAGTTAGCTCGGCTATATCGCCAAGACTCTCTGATTCTGGTAGAGCAACTTACTCGAGTTTTGAGTGAGGATCCTCTGCTGGAGAGGCATGCTGGTCTGGCTTTTAGGCATCCTCTTCGCCAGCATCAGTCCTCTTGCGCTTTCCTCCACGTCTCTTTTTGGCTGCAGGAGCAGCGACAGCCTCGGTAGGCTCAGTGGCCTCAGCAGTTCCCTTGGTGAAGTCGAATTTGCCGTCGACCAGCTCAGCATCAAGCTTGTTTTTCAACCGAATGTAACGCATGCGGGCCGCGGCGGTCTTCAGGTTGGTTGCAGCAGCAACCTGGTTGAAATCGATCTGATAATCAAACAAAAAGTGATTCATTGTCAACAGCTGCCTATGTCGTCTGGTCACGTGTAGATTTATGTATAGATAGGTGCACGTGAGGGGAGATGGTGCAAAGACTGGGGTCCCTTCCCCTCTGTCGGGGTGAGAAACTTACTGCATTGGCCTTGATGCTCATAGTACAGATGTAAAGGAAAAGCAAACTCTCGTTGTTCTTATTGTTGGGTGCCATGGTCGCTAATCACCCCAGAGATTTTGTGCAGCTTGGACAGATGAATCCTATGTGGAGAGTGGTAGAAGAGTTGGTGGGCGAAGGTTGAGAGTGGGAAGATGCAGGTGAGGGGTGGTGGTTTAGGGACAGGACAGCAACCTGCGAATCGATCAATATTAATAATGATATTGATTGAATGGATGGTGGTTGTATATAAGAGGGAAGAATGAGGTCTTTTATAATATTACCTAACTACCTAAGGTACCCAAGGAGGGGCATGTAAACGGTGAAATACTTAATAAATTGCCTCAGACATCCAAACGCCAACAACGTCCACCATCGCCTCCGCGCGGAGTGGGCGAAGCAGTGGGAGAGGCAGAAAGTAGGCAGGCCGACAAAGCGGCTGCTCCCTAGGCCTGAATGGTTCATACCCAAGGGAATTCTGCGGCGCCGGGATCTCAGGATAGTGAGCTTGTGAGATACAGCGGTTGACTGGTCGAGATGAGAAAGCATTTATATCGTTGCGCGAGGAACCGGGTGGCAGGCGAGCGTGGCTGCTCTTTGGATTCGTCCGAGTACGCAGTCTGTCTAATATCCAGACTTAGGCGCGAATGAATGAACCGTCGAGTTACTCTGGGCTTCGATCAGTCGCTTCGCAAAGCTTGATACAATATTGCCTTCTCCGTCGTCGGTCGTCTTCCCAGGGCCTGCCCATCGCTGGGATAATTCAAGAAGACTGGCGATCAAGGTATCGAGCACGGGTGAGACGGGTACTTAGTTGTATCGCGAAGAATCTGCGGCTTTACGAGCATCTTAGCAAGCCGCACACCTTGAATACCATCCAGATGCACACTATGAGGAGGACAGGCCCTAGAATCTAATAGTATTGTTATAAGGGTTTGGTCTAGGCGAGGAAGACGAGGGCAACAAGGAACTTTTAGCGGTGGCTGCCTACTGCTAGTGACACGCGCAGAGGTAATATCTACGGTGTGCATACAACGGAGCGGAGCGGGTGAATAGCGTTTAGAGGAAGGCATGGTAGACACGCGGTAGACGTGTGGTGCTTTAGTTGTGCTTTTATATTGCTTTTTGATTAATTTAACTACTGTATTGTGAGTTTACATGGCGTATAGATACGAGATTCTGCTTTGATTAGCGAGGCGCCTGCATAGCTTAGCGTTTCAATAGATAGGCTTCATTAGGTTAATAGAATTTTGATTGATTGATTGATTGATTGATACAGAAGTTTTCGCATCAGCCTGTAGATCTCCAGCGCTCCCTAAAGCCCGTTGGGACTGCCATCTGTCGCTTCGACTGTTTGGGGTCCGTTCATTGACTTCAATAGACACAACGGCGGTGGCGTGTTGGGATTCGGAAATTACTAGGGAGGACGTTGCCTCGGAAAATTTCTTGTGTTACAATAAGCAGAGGGCGGGATCTCTTTCAGCGGTTTAGTTTCTTCTCGTTTCTTTTTTTGTTTTCAGGGGCAAATTGATGACATGCATCCGGGCTGACAGCGTGTGATAGCTACTACCTTATGTACTGCAGGGAATCACACGACACTAGCCACATGCAGCAGAGGGACTGGGGGCTTTGGGTTGACGAGCAGGATTGTCGGAGACTAAATGCTCAAGTGGATAAATAGGGCTTGCTCGCTTCGCTGCTCCAGTGCTCCTAAGATCCTTTGTCTTGGGCTCCTTCGAGGGATTGGGCTGGTACTGAAAGCCTGGAAGCCATAGCAGATCTGGACTCGGAGTCAAAACTAAAATGAAAATAAATCGATCCCTCTGGATCCGCGGAGACCGATCCGACGGCCGGTGGAAGTCGTCGACACTTTCCGATGACTAATCTGAATCCGGTCCTCGTCTAATTTGACTAGGAGGGAGGCCAACTGCCAAGTTCACGCCCCAAGATTGGGCTTGGTGATTGGGATCGTTGGCGTCAATACCCGATCTTGCTAGTTCGTGCGTTGGGGCGGTTCACAAATAGAACAAGAGCTGGGACTAAGTTAGCCGGAAGAACGGAGAACGGGAGAACCGTGAGCTCGAGATGGGTTTTCTTTCCCAGCTCCAGGCCATCAGTGTCTCCGATCAGATCGATCTCGAGATATGGAGTACGGAGTATGAGATGCGTAGATTCTGATTGACACGGATAGATAGAGAATGATAAACCGACCACTCTTCCGGCCCGTTGGCGAGAATGAAGAAGGGACAAACAGAAGCCGCCCCTCTTAGCTAGGGTTAGTCTCGTGACTTCAGAGCACGAGGGGCGCTGCTTAGGTAGCCGGTACCTGCTGTAACTTAGTTACGGTACGGTAAGTGTCAAATCCCGAGGCCATCTCACTTGCATCATTCATTCACTCTTTCTTCCTTTCCTGCATCCACTATCCTTCATCGACCAAGATCCAGGCTATCTTTCTCCCTCGGTGTTTCATCCTCGATGGAGGTTCCGATGAGAATGGGGTATTGATGTGCATGAACAAAGAGCCATGACGATCTTCGCTGGTCATCCGTGACAGCCTACGCGTCTGCCGAGGGTCCGACCTTCTCGATGATGCTGACCCCTAAGCCATGCAGACTATCTACTTAGTATTATGTTGGTCTATCTAGTGTCTACGGAGTACCTGTCAATCTGCCCGCCTGCCAATCCTTCTATTCACCAGCAATAGCAATAACACTCTACGGATACTCATGGGGAAGACTACACGATCTTCTCCCTCACCTAAGCACAACCCAAACAGAAATAAAGGCTCCAGTTGCTTCTCGGGTGATCCTACTTTTTAGTGCATACTCCGGAGTACTATTTATCAAAGGACCGTGGAAAGTCGGCTCCTTTATGCCTCCCAGTCTCCCACCATTCCGGTGTTTGCGGACGATCATCCCCGATATATACCAATAGACGGTTCATCTCATACCCGCTCGTTTTTATGGGTGTTCGCCGACCCCGTTTGACGCAATTTCCCGGCTCCTGACTGGCACACGCCTGCCAGACTTTAAACTAGGAACCCATTTGTGCCCTCCTTGTCCTTAAGGCGACCCACTTGCTCTCGGGGCTGTTTTTACGGTACCGCCGGATACAATGGGCCCACTGTTATACATACTCTGCTTGCTGCACTACTTGCTTCCCTCGTGCCTAGTTTCCTGCCGGCTTGGATGGGCTGCAAGACCTGCAGATCAAATTTCCAATGGCATTGCTGTCAAGTGGAGTTCAAGCTCTAGTCTATGCATCATGGATGATGGGCGTCCAGACGTTAGGGCTTTGCTGCACGCTCTACACAATTATCACCGAGTAAGCAGGTATAAACCTCTGGGAATCACATTCAGAGAGCTGTCAAGGTGGTATCTGCTCGCCGAATACGTCGGGTCGGACGCCACGACCAGGGGGGATGGCCTCTGGGAAAGCAAAGGCTTTCATCGTATTCCGTAGACCACGGAACCTTTCCAGGACAGCCAAATTTCCCGCTTGTTCCCGCCGGCCCAGCCCCATTTTCTTGTCCGTCAGTCCGTCACGATGGATCATGGAGACCGGGCCACCTATTCTCCCCCCCTGATCCAGGAACAAGTATCGGATCTGCAAATCAGGCGAGCTTCGATAGTAAAACCTCTGGGTTCCTCACCTATTCTCCAAACCTGGGCTTCCTCTTTTGTTTCTCTGTCTTCCTCTATTCCTCTCTTTCATGTCTCTCGTTTTCATCCCTCTATTTGCTCCGAATTCTTCTGATTCAAGCGTCCTAGCCTTGTCTAATTAATGATACCATAAAACGCACCAACGTTGTCATGACAGCAACCTTATCTTGATTAGCGCACTCAACTCCTTCTTTGACTGCAATTGATCTGCACTTCCATTCTTTTTTCGCTTTGGTTTTTGGGACCTCGGACGTTCCCTCTCTTCTAGTTGCAAGGCCCCCAATTTTCAGTTCTTGTACAAAAGTCTCATGCTTGAGCTCTCCGGAATGATCTTCGCTATATGATTCGGTCCATGCCACCAGTCTAACATGGTTGTCCTGAGGCGATTATTCCAAGCGGAGAAAGGTTTGTCGATGGACCACAGCGAAAGGGAGCCTCGGCAAAGCAGCTTACGGCAAGATGATACTCATTCCGCAAAAGCTTCGCCGCAGTTAGATGGGGAAAATCACTTCCAGAAAATTGAGAAAGAATTTGAAACCATGCATGACCAGTTGCAAACCCAACCATTGTCCCCTTGGTCTCAGGCCCCGCCATCTCGTGGTTCAACACGGCCCAAAGAGCGAAACCCTCGTCATGTGGATCTGCTCGATGCTCTGTTCTCCTCGCATCGATATAAAATCCAGTCTACGACATCATTGTCGCCCATCACCCCGTACAATGAGGACATCGCCGAGCGCAACATGACACGATTTCTCCAGGAACAACCGCGCAAGAAAAATATGTACGCTCGGTTTCTGTCTGCTTTGTATCAAGAGGACGTAGCAGAGAGAAACATAACAAAAAGCCGGAGAAGAAGCCGTTCACTGTCGCGCACGAGGGTCGGCGATCCTGAAGGCCAAGGCGATGGCAGTTCGCATTCAAGGTCAAAGATGGATCAAAACTCGCGGGAAATTACGGGTCCAATGTCCATGAACGACGCTCATAGCTGCGTTGCCAGCGCAAAAGAGCGTGTGCCGAGTGGCAGAAATTCTCTGAAGCACCAAAAATCAGCCCCAAACTTGTCCGCTGAGCGAGCAAGTGCACCCCAAGGAGCTGCTGGATCAAACCCTGGCGGACATCTCGGCGTACCTCCGGCCCACAAACAAGGAGTTACTTGGAGCAATACTCCTCTTCCTGATAGTCCAACAATACCCATTTCTATGAGGCACGACAAGAACATGAACGAAAACCGGCCAATGCACACAATGCGCGGCGCGGGCTCTTCACGTCCATCCCTTTATCGCAGCCCTCTCATATCTTCTCGGCTGGGTTCTAAAAAGAACATCCGAGATCTTTCCATCAATACAGAGCTGGCGGCCCATGGTCCATCAGCTGCAAAAATCGCGCACCGTGCTATACAACCCCCGACCCCAAACACCCTTGAAAGGCAGAATCCCAGCATCGCCGAAATCATGAACAGCCCCCTGCCAGCAGGTACCCCTTCGTCCATATCTCCCCTCCCCCCATCCAAAAGGGTTGAAGAGATCATGGATATGTTCAGAAAGGCACATAGCGCGTCTCAAGCTATTACTCCACATCCCACTTTTGAGACCCTGCAAGACGCCATCATTCGGGAAATCAACTCCCACGAGGCCTTCCAACGGGTGCCTCCTCCCGCACAGGGCCCTCCTTTCACCCCTTCACCATCCCAAGAAACCTTCAAGCAAAGTCTTAACAGAACCAGGTCCCTCAAAGATGGCCAGCTTTCCAAGGTAGCCAGACGAGGCTCTGTGCAGAACCATACCCGGAGCAAGAGCTCGGAGACGCGCAAAAGTATATCCACCAGTGGCTCCCCAAAAGTCTTCCGACGAAGACACACTGACGCTCCGCCACCTTCTCCGGGATTTTTCGAGACACCCGGAACAAAGACAGATAGCCGTCAAGAACAGATGACTTATATGGACCTGCTGCTTCGTTCCGAGAAGCCCTTCCCCAACCCTGGATCCAAGACTTGTGCAGAGATGGGGAGACCCCTAAACCAATCTCAATCTACCAGCATCGTCTCTTCCCCCCCAATGTCACAGCGCTCGAAAACAGCCCCTTCCGTGCTACATCTCCGCGCACAAACGTCGGTTTCGTCCTCGGAAGGCCGGTCAAGCTTCTCTGCTGATGATAGTGACGAAGAAGTGATCGAATTACCAAGTGTCGGTATCCCATGCGTTCAGATCCAAGGCGTGGATGAAAACAATGTGTCTTATGCTACTGCTCCCACGACGCCGCAGACTGCATATAGACTCATGAACTGGCCACGGAAGTCGAGCAAGAGCATCAACCCCCGAAACAGATCTGGCAGTAACCGCCTCCAGGGGATGCGATCCGTGGAATCCTATTGAGCTCTAAGTGACCATGTCTTTTGGTGTTCAAGGAACCCTGATCAAACTCAAACCCACCTTTGTCTATCCTTTTATCTGTTTTCGCTGTTCTTCATTTACATCTCTCTCCTTCAACTTTTCCTTTGCTCGTTTTCTCTCCTTAATTATCTGATACCTCTCTCTTTTTTATTCATGTTCTTGGACATGACTCCACTTTGGAGTTCATACTCGCTCTCAGCGGCTGCAAAAAGCATTTTCCTTTTATCATTGTTGAATTCTGGCTTATATCTTCTTTCCTTCTTGACGCGATATAACAGGATTCATCGGGGGTCATCATCGGACCTTCCACCCTGCACACTCCTTCTACATACCTATCTTTTACAGCTCCTTTTCGCATCTTTAGCGTCATTGGCATTTCCTACATCCTGCATTTATCAGGATCTAAGATATCATATAATCAGATGTAAAATAGAAGAGTATATACCCTAAGAGAAAATCGAATATCGCATCAAACCCGTCATCATTCAACCCGTTAGCTACAAACAAAAACATCACTGACTATGCCTGACTCCTGAATAAAGAAAGATATCTTGCTTTTCCTTTTTTGATAAATCACTCTCTTCTCGGCAAAACCACCCCTTACTCACGCCCACAAATGCGTCCAGGTAACAAAGAAAAGAGCCCTTCTCTCTAGAATTCGGTAGCCCTTTTTTCTTTTCTTTTGACTGTTTACGTCTTGATATTTCTTATTTTTGCCCATTCATTTTACGTTGTCAACCAGGGAGGGTGTTTGCGCTGTATCAACAGTGAAATAAATGTCATAAAGGTCATAGTAACCATACGAAAAATGCAACTAGAAAGGATAGCTTGTCTACTATGTCTAGTAGGAACCTGTTGGGAGAAAGGTGTTAGCAAGACTACAGGCGGTGGTAGTGGTGGTGGTTTATCTAGGGAATGTGTCGACTTACGTCCAAACATGCACCATTTCTCGGCCAACCGGGTGCACTGGGGGTTGGCGCACTTGGTGACGCCGGCTTCGATGCCCTCGGGCTGGTCGAAGGGAATGCAAAGGGACTTGGCACCCATGCTGGGGGCGCGGGCGTCCTGGGCCTCGTCGGAGTCTTCCTCGGCCTTGCGGGCACTCATGTCCTTGATCTGGTCCTCGCACTCCTCGGTCAGACAGTGGGGGATGATACAGATGTTCTTGTCGTTGAGGGCGGGGGTGAAGTCGTCCCAGTTGGTGATGAGCTTCCGGTGAGTGCGGTACTCGTAGTCCGCGCGCTTGTAGAGGTCGCTCTGGATGGTCTCGAGCAGGGCAGGCACGGCGGTTCCCAGTTCGGGGATGGCGATGGTGGCCTTGCCGTCCTTGCCGGGAATGTCACGGCGAGCAGCAGTGACGAAGTTGCCGGCAGACTCGCCAGGACCGAACTCAATGCGCAGAGGCACACCGCGAAGCTCCCACTCGTTGAACTTCCAGCCGGGAGAGTATCCCTCACGCTTGTCGCTGATCGCCCGGATGCCGGCAGCCTCGAGGGTGGAGACAAGGGTATCGATTTCAGCGTACAGCTTCGCGCGGTCATCGTCCGAGGTCTTGGCAGTGATGCCGACGGGGACAATGACGGTCTGGTTCTCCGCAACGCGGGGAGGGAGAACCAGGCCACGGTTGTCACTGTGGATCATGACCATGACACCGAGAGTACGGGTCGAGAGACCCCACGAGTTCTGCCAGACATAGAGGGGTTCTTTCTTCTCATCACCCTTGGCGGAAGGATCCTCCACGGTGATGTTGAACATCTTACTGAAGTTCTGACCCAGACCGTGGGAAGTACCACCCTGGATACCACGACCAGTCGAGGGGATGTATCCCTCAACCGTGGTGGTATACAGACCACCGGCGAACTTCTCCTTCTCGGTCTTCTGACCCTTGATCACGGGGACAGCCAGGAGCTCCTCGTAGATCAGAGCATAGTAGTCCAAAATCTGCATAACCTCCTCATGGGCACCTTCCTGGGTCAGATGAGCGGTGTGACCCTCCTGCCAAAGGAACTCTCGGGTTCTAAGGAAGGGCTGGGGGTGCTTGAACTCCCACCGGACGACGGAGTTCCACTGGTTGAGCTTGAGGGGCAGGTCACGGTGACTTCTGATCCACTTGGCGTAGTAAGGGTACATAACAGTTTCCGACGTCGGACGGATGGCAATCTTTCTCTCGAGCGGGGTGGAGCCACTGCGTGCATGACAGATAAGGTCAGAGCTGGATACCCCGGAAATTAGAGCCTAGGGGTGAGGGGAAACGTACGCATGAGTCACCCAGGCGACTTCGGCGGCAAAGCCCTCAATGTGGTCCTTCTCGCGCTTCAGGACGTCCTCCGAAACGAAGAGAGGGAAGGAGCAGTTCTTGACTCCCATCTTCTTAATGCGCGCATTGAACCAGTTTTGGATTTCCTCCCAGATGCTGAACGAGGCGGGCTGGGTGAGTCATGAGTTAGTATAATGAACGATATGCGACGCCGACGAGGTCATGAAATTCCAAGTAGACCGTGACGAACCTTCAAGATGAAGCATCCGGAGACATCGTAGTAGTCAAGCATGTCTCCCTTCGTAAGGACCTGCTGGTACCATCCCGGGAAGTCCTCCTCTTTGGAGACATCAATACCGATCAGGGCAGCGCCATCGATCTTTTTCTTAGGAGCCTTGGGAGCCTGCTTTGCACCCCCCTGTTTAGCAGCCTTGCCAGCCTTGTCAGACGCCTGCTTAGCAGCCTTCGCGGCCTTTTTGGCGGCGTTCTTGGAGACCTCTCCCTGGGGAGCGCTGTTATCGGCGGGGTTTTGGGTACGATCAGGAAGGGTTTGCGCCGAGTCAGAGGCGACCGGGGGATCAGCAGGAGCTTGGCTTGCCATCTTGTAGGATAGAGAGGTCAGAGACACGGGAGCAGACCGGAGCGACAGACGAGGAAGCGAACGCCAGGCGAGACAAGGAAGGGGGAACTCCGTGAAGCGAAAGAAAGAGCGGCGCCCCTCGTCAAAGTGGGATGCATCTAGAATCTCTCACCGCCCGGGGCCGGCAGAATTCTTAGCGCAAACACGACCGACGACGAAGTCCAGCAGCTCTCGAAAGTGTTCGATTCCTCTGCCACGCTTCCTCCCCTTTTCCTATCTTAATCAACAATGGCCGGAATCTTCGAAGCGCCGCGGAATGCGGACACTCTCTGTGAGATCATCCCATCTCTCTCCTTTGCTTTCCCCTGAACCCATTCACTGACCGAACTCGCACAGTCTTGGGAGGGCAGAAAATCACCGGTGCTGATGTCCGGGAGCAGAACGGTATGTCCCACCCCCTCGGCCTGATCTGGCGGCGCTGTATGCCCATACTGATCCCTTTTGCCGGTAGTTCTTGCAACGCAGGCTATTGCCAATGTCGTCAAGAGCTCTTTCGGCCCCTCCGGCCTGGACAAGATGATGGTGGATGATATCGGTGTACGCACCATTCCGTACCCCGCGTCCGTCGAACAGCTTTCTAATGGCCCATCTAGGATGTCACTGTCACTAACGATGGCGCCACTATTCTGAGTCTGCTGGACATTGAGCACCCCGCCGGAAAGATCCTCGTCGACCTGGCTCAACAGCAGGATAAGGAGGTGGGTGCACTGTCGAGTCTGTATACCCCGCGAACGACCACGGCTGACATCCTTGCAGGTTGGAGATGGAACCACCTCCGTCGTCCTGATCGCTGCCGAGCTTCTACGACGTGCCAACGAACTGATGAAGAACCGTATCCACCCTACGACCATCATCACCGGCTACAGACTTGCGCTCAGGGAAGCCGTCAAATACATGAACGAGAACATTGCCACAAAGGTTGAGACGCTTGGGAAGGATAGCTTGGTCAACATTGCGAAGACGTCGATGTCTAGCAAGATCATTGGTTCCGATTCCGACTTCTTCGCCAACATGGTTGTCGATGCCATGCTTCAGGTCAAGTCCCAGAACCAGAGGGGCGAGATCAAGTACCCCGTCAAGGCTGTGAACCTGCTGAAGGCTCACGGTAAGAGTGGAACGGAGTCTGTGCTGGTCAAAGGCTATGCTCTGAACTGTACTGTGGCTTCCCAGGCCATGACTACCCGGGTAACCGACGCCAAGATCGCTTGTCTGGACATGAACTTGCAGAAGGAGAGAATGAAGCTCGGCGTTCAGATCACCGTTGAGGACCCCGACCAGCTGGAGAAGATCCGTGAGAGAGAGTCTGGTATCGTTCTTGAGCGGGTCGACATGATCCTCAAGTCTGGAGCCAACGTCGTTTTCACAACCAAGGGTATCGATGATATGGTCCTCAAGGCTTTTATCGAGAAGGGTGCCATGGCCGTTCGCCGCTGCAAGAAGGAGGACCTGAGACGCATTGCCAGGGCCACTGGCGCAACCCTGGTCAGCTCGCTCTCGGACCTCAATGGTGACGAGAAGTTCGAGGCCTCGAACCTGGGACACGCAGAGGAAGTCGTGCAAGAGCGGATATCGGATGACGAGTGTATCCTCGTGAAGGGTACCAAGGTCCACAGCTCGGCCTCCATAATCCTGCGTGGCGCCAACGATTTCAGCTTGGACGAGATGGAGCGTTCGGTGCACGATTCTCTCTGTGCTGTCAAGCGAACATTGGAGAGCGGCAGCATCGTGCCCGGCGGTGGTGCAGTCGAGACGGCCCTTCACATCTACCTTGAAGAGTTTGCTGTCACGGTGGTACGTATCCAATTCAAAAAAAACCTCTCGAAGCAGACCGCTAACAACTCCTCCAACCAGGGCTCCCGGGAACAACTCGCCATCGGTGAATTCGCTCAGTCCCTCCTGGTGGTTCCCAAGACCTTGGCTGTCAACGCAGCCAAGGACTCGTCCGAACTCGTGGCCCAGCTCCGAGTGCGCCACGCTCTTTCCCAGCGGGTGCAGGAGGGTGATGCCAACGAGGAAGAGAAGGCCATTGCCAAGAAGAAGACGTACCGCAACTACGGTCTGGATCTGATGAAGGGACGCGTTCACGATACTCTCAAGGCCGGTGTGCTGGAGCCCAGCATGGGTAAGGTCAAGCAGCTGAAGAGTGCTGTGGAGGCCTGTATCGCCATCATGCGTATCGACACCATGATCAAGCTGGACCCCGAGCCGCAGCAGGATGACGGACACGGTCACTAAAAGAATCTGACTGTCGATCTCGAAATTAAATTGCCTGCCTTTCACGGAGTTTTAGACTCAGGGTGAAGAAGAAAAAAGTATAATAAGATGTTATGAGTACAAATTTCTACTGCCGTGTTAATGGCTTAATGACCATTCTCGTACGATTCTCTTGGCTGCGATCAAGACAATTAGAACAATCTGTCTATTCAATGGCTAGATGGGAAGAAAGCGTTTGTTTAAGTAGATCACAGCTCTTATTTAGTTTTATCACTGTTGATGGTAAAAACAGAATGTAAAATAACACCGAAGGGCTCCTCAAAACTTCTTCCAAGCCGATTACCCAAACCCAAACCAGAACAGATGATAATAAATGCTTCTTTGGCAGATGAATCTTCTGTTATGCAGTGTACGCTGTAATGAAAATCAAACAAGGGACTGGGGTCCTCTAGAAATCGCACAAACGCCCGCTAAATAGAAGCAAATGATGTATCGACCGACGCCTTGAAAATGCTTGCAAGCGCAACCCAACAGTTGAAAAGGGGGGTGTTTGAACCATAAAAAAAATCATTCATCTTCATCATCGTATGAGTTTTTCGTCTCAGCCCAGCCGCAGCGCCATCTTCTGCCATCAGCTTCACCACCAACTCGAAGGTCTCTAGCATCAGGTCCCTCGCGCCAGCACCTAGCGCTATAATCATCGCTGACTGTAACGAGTTCACCATCTACTGTCCATGAGACCGCCGACACTTCTTTCTTGTGCCCTTCGACTAAAGGTGTTCCAGACTGGTAGATTGGGACTGTATCCTCCAATCGCCCAGACAAGCCAATCCCAGAGTTCGTACGGCGCAAACCAGAGCGAGTAGAAGGGAACGACGGAAGGGGTGGCTCCCTCTCGTCGATAGTTTGTCTCTGGGCTGAGGAATGGAGGAAGCGCTCGTCGGTCGGAAACAAGACGGCACATTGATCGGTGCTTCCAACTGCCAGCATCTCAGGCTTATCCGCCGTGGCTTTTCGGACACCGGCCTTAACGTAAAAGGAAGCGACTTGTAAACGAGGGTGGCGAAACCCATACAAAGGCCCGAGACCTTCTTTGTCAGATCCTCCGGAGCGACGAGGGCGGTCATTGTTCAACGAAAGTTCAGGAGCATGGCCAAGGATTAAATGGGAGGTCGAGTAGGCGTACACCGTGCCATCTCGACATAAGGTGTAGAGTCTAGAGCCATCACCGCCCAGGGTCATAGAGGTAAGTCCAAACCGCCGATATTTGATGTGGCTATCCGGTTCTCGAGTGGTAGAAAGAGGAAGGACAGGCCGGCCACGACGGTTGTTATGTGCCGTGCGAAGATCCCATAATCTAACGCACGCACTTGCTTCGGATGCAGTGACGAACAGATTCTCCCGACCCGGAGGAAGAAAAGCCAAGGAGGTTACAGTTATATCCGAGCGCCCAATCTGAGGTTCTGACTTATCCGCAGTGAACACTTGAGGCATCCAAGCGTGGGCGCCATGTATCGTGTTCAAAACCTGGGGATATGTCATTTTGGAAGCGGTGGGCGCACTAGGATAGTCGGACTCCGATTCGAGAGAGCACCGAGCCTGCCAGGCAGGTTTCTCAAAACCCTTGCATCGAAGGTCCCAGATGTTGACATTGCCATCGCGACTGCATGTTGCCAGGACTTTATTATTGGCCGCTGGTTGGAACTGCACCCGTTTGACGGAAGAAGTATGGTTAGCCAAACAATAGATCGGCTTCTGCGTAGCCATGTCAATGACGACTGCTGTTTGATCTCCTGAGGCTGTTGCTAACAGCATATCGTCGGATGAAAATTCAAGATCCATAATTGCGTTCATGTGAGGACGAAACGAAAGATAAGCCTTGGAGAACCCATTTTTATCGTCTTTTGCGGAGTCCAGCAATCGAATACCACCCTCTTCATCGCCTACTGCAACCAGCGTATTGGCTGTTTGTATGGTCAGCAAACATTCCGACGAATACCCTAGCGGCAATCATTCGACTTACTATTGCACGACGCCGTGCAGAACGGAAGAGCAAGGCGGTCGCCAGTTGAGCCGGAGCAAGTATGACTGTCCGATGGTCGAGAATAAAATGATGATGTAAGATCTTGCCAGCTAGCGCCGGAGTTCGCACGCATGGTCACCCGGTTTGCCCTTGAACCTAACACATTTCGCATGAACAGCCCTCCAGATGTCTGCAGCGCTCTCGACCGTCGAACTGGTGCAATTTGGCGAGATGGCCGGGCCACGGTAAGGGGCTTGATGGGGCTGCTCGGAATCTTCAAATCGACTTCGATATCGCGGACTGGGGCGTCTAGCTCGTCGGCGTCTTGATCTGGCGTTCGAACGCGGATTTTTCGTAGGGGCGAGGACTGTAAAGGGGAGCCAATGGAAGAAAACGAAAGCTTTCTCTTCCTACTCGGGGTTCGCAAAAGACCCGAAGGATCAGGTCTCGTGCCAACTGCCTTCAATGTTCTCGTAAATGCCGGCCCTAGGCGATTCACAGCCGGGGAGCTGAGAGCCTTCAAGGCCTGGCGGTTGGTCCTGACGGGCCCGGCACTATTTCCACCATTGAGCAAGGAACGAGGCGTGAAGAATCGTCGAAAGGATCGAGGAGTAACCGGAGGAGGTTTCTTTGGCTTGCGACGGACTCCAGCATCGGATGCTGCTATAGACGGTGGAGAGGAAGGGATCTCCTGCGACGAGGGAGGGAAAACAGGTTCGGACCGAGGTACCTCTGGGAGATCATGACTGCCATACATTGTGTCCCAGTAACAAGCAAACAGCAAACGACATTCTACACAAACGAAGGAAAAGGCAAAAGAGAGTGTTGGGGGGGCAGGAGAGAGAGAGAGAGTGGGTGGACTAAGTGGCCAAGGATTGAAGCATAGTGGAGCTGGCAGGAGAAGGGCTAATAAGACTCGAGCAATGCGTGAGTCGCGGGAAAGGAAGGCGAGTCTCGTGTCGACGTGCTTTTTCGTGTCGCGAACCGCCCCGGGAGGCAGGCGGTGAGTCGTCCCATTAAGGGAGTTGACACTGCCCATTGGAGTAGGCGGTCAGCACGCCGGGCGGGATTTTTCCTGCGACAGAATTTAATTTTTTTTTGGGAGTCCGCCAAATTTGTACTCTGGATCTAGAGCTTTAGAGCAGCTCAACGAGTCTGCGCTGAAGCCCCGGATTACATCAATTACCCCCAAATATGGCTCCGATAAAGCGCAAGGGCGCCTCTGCTGAGGGGAACACCGCCCGTCAACCCCCAAAACGAGTGCGTGTTGGCGCTGAAGAACGCCAAAATGATCAGAAGACGCAGAACACCGGCCCGTCCGCTTCTGAACTCACGGTTCTGCGAGACGACGAACCCTCATTCCCTCGTGGTGGAGCAAGCGTTTTGACCCCTCTCGAGCGCAAGCAGATCCAAATTCAAGCCACGAGGGATGTTCTGTTCGAGCAGAAAGGCGCCAAAGGCCCCAGCGGACATTTCGCCGATGAAGATGATGAGGATGATGAGGACGTACAAATGGGCGATGCGGACAACACGACAGCTGCCGCCAAAAAGTCCCGGAAACGCAAGACGAGTGGGAAGAAAGGAGCAGAAAAGGATGCTCAGGAGAAACAAGGTGTGCGAATTGAAGGTCTCAACTTCAAGGTAAGCTTAGGATCATTCTCGGATTTCGGCTACATGAATTTGAATGTTGACGGAAGTAGCGAATCGTGCCAGGAACTATGGTACTAGGTCAGGTTTCGAGTATCAACGCTCACGACATCGGGCTTTCTCTGCCTAACAACCTGACTGGTTATGTCCCCCTCACTGCTGTCTCAAAAGTGCTAGAAGAGAAAATCGAGAGCCTCCTAAAGGAAGACGATAGCGACGATGACGAGGAGGAGGATGATGAGGATGATCTCGACTTGAAGGACTACTTCTATTTGGGCCAGTATCTTCGCGCATACGTGGTGTCCGTGGGAAGCAACTCGGCTGATGCCACTTCCAAGAGCAGAAGGCGCATTGAACTTTCGATTGACCCAAGACAAGCCAATTCTGGTCTTCTGAAGACCGACTTGGTCGACAACGCTGCTGTTCAAGCTTCCGTTCTCAGCGTTGAAGATCACGGTCTGATCATGGATGTGGGGATTGAGGGCTCCAATGTCAAGGGCTTCATGTCTTCCAAGGAAATCGACCCCAAACTGGATTATTCAAACATCAAGGAGGGATCGGTCTTCTTATGTATGATCACTGGTCAGAACGCCAACGGCAGTGTCGTCAAACTGTCTGCCAACCTTCAGTCCTCCGGATCCATCAAGAAATCCCATTACCTCAGCTCGGCCCCTACTATCATCACTTTCCTACCCGGTGCCGCGGCCGAAATCCTGGTAACTGAAGTTTCGCCAACCGGAATTAGCGGAAAGATCATGGGAATGCTGGATGCCACTGTGGATCTAGTGCAATCTGGTGGTAACTCGGGCAAAGATGACTTGACCAATAAATTCAACATCGGAGCCAAGATTAAGGGTCGTCTTGTCTGCACCTTCCCCTCCGCTGAACCCTACAAGGTCGGCTTCTCATTGCTGGATCATGTCCTGAAGTTCACGCCTGCAGCCAGTGGACCAGGCTCCTCTGATGATGCTCCTGTCATTTCTTCAATTGTGCCCGAGACTAAGGTTGTCCGGGTTGACCCTGGACTTGGTGTTTACGTGCAGCTCGGATCGTCAAAACATATCGGATTCGTTCATGTGTCAAGACTGGCAGACGGTCAGGTCGAAAATATCTCTGAGGACCATGGCCCGTTCCGGGTCGATTCCATTCACGAGGCGCGAGTGGTGGGATACAGTGCGCTTGACAACTTGTATTTGCTGTCTTTCGAAAGAAAGATCATTGACCAGCCTTTCCTTCGCATTGAGGACGTGACCGTCGGCGCTGTAGTCAAGGGCAAGATTCAAAAACTCATCATCGGCGCATCAGGAGTTGACGGTCTCATTGTGTCTCTAGCCGATGGTATCAGCGGTCTTGTTCCTTCTATGCACTTCGCCGATACACCTCTTCAATTTCCTGAAAAGAAGTTCAAGGAGGGGATGACTGTTTCCGCCAGAATCCTGTCGGTCAACCTGGAGAAGCGCCACATTCGGCTGACCCTGAAGAAGAGTCTGCTGAATAGCGAATCTGCTATCTGGAAGGACTTCCAAGACATCAACCCCGATGCGCAATCTCCGGGAACCATCATCAGTCTCAAGCCGCACGGTGCTGTGGTTCAGTTCTACGGTACTGTCCGGGGTTTCCTTCCGGTGTCGGAAATGAGTGAGGCCTACATCAAGGACCCCTCTCAGCACTTCAGACAGGGACAAGTCGTCAATGTCCATGTTCTGAGTGTCGACGCTTCTCTTGGGAAGCTCGTGGTTTCCTGCAAGGACCCTTCGACATTCACCGAGTCTTATCGGAAAGCCTTTGAAAATGTTCATCCCGGCTTGCTTGTCACTGGTACTGTCTTCGAAAAATCCGATGATGACTGCCTTCTCAAGCTGGATGAATTCGGCCTTGTGGCTCGGTTGAACTTCGAACATGTGATTGACGGTAGTCCTTCGAAACAAGGATCGACCCTCTCTAAGATTCGCGTTGGTCAAAAGCTCAATGACCTCCTTGTGCTCGATATTCAGCGGGCTCGCAGACTCATTAAGGTTTCAGGCAGGGCAAGCCTCAAGAAGGCTGCTCAGCAAGGGCTGATCCCAGGCAAGTTCGAAGATGTTCAGGAAGGTGCCGATGTCACCGGTTTCATCAGAAACATCACGCAGGACGGCGTTTTCGTTGAGTTCTTGGGTGGTATGATCGGTCTTGTCCCCAAGCGTCTTGTTGCGGAGGAGAACGTCAACAAACCCTCTTTTGGCATGGCCAAGTCGCAAGTCGTTTCTGCCACCGTTCATTCCATCGACATCGATTTCCGCCGGTTCATCCTGAGCATGAAACCCTCGGAAGCCACTCATGCTGGCCCCAAGAAGTCGACTCCCAAGACCGCCCCTAAGGCTGCCAGTTCTGATGTTTCTGTGGCCAACGCTGTCGACGAAGGCATCACCCAGATGTCTGACTTAACATTTGGAAGAGTTGTCAAGTGTAAAATTGTGTCCGTCAAGGCAACCCAGGTCAACGTTCAACTTGCAGACAATGTCCAGGGTCGGATCGATGTCTCTGAGGTTTTCGACCAGTGGGAGGATATTAAAGACCGCAAGCAGCCCCTACGCTTCTTCCGCCAAAAGCAGATTATCTCTGCAAGAATCCTGGGACTTCATGATGCCCGCAACCACAAATTCCTTCCCATTAGTCACCGCACTGGAAAGTACCCTGTCTTTGAACTTTCCGCCAAGCCAAGCTTCCTACAGGCTGCCAACCCTAGCCCCCTGAATTTGGAACAAGTCCAAACTGGTTCATCATGGGTGGGTTTCATCAACAACGTTGCTGATGACAGTCTTTGGGTCAACCTCTCCCCCAATGTCCGAGGAAGAATGCGTTTCATGGACGCATCGGATGATCTTTCCCTTTTGACCGATGTGGAAAAGCATTTCCCCATAGGTTCTGCTGTAAAGGTACAGGTTACGGCTGTTGACACCGAAAAGGGCCGCCTGGACCTCTCAGCGAAGAAGCGCTCTGATAAGCTTTCTTTCAAGGACATCTCTACTGGCATGGTCTTGCCCGGAAGAGTCACCAAGGTCACTGAACGGCAGCTAATCATGCAGCTCACGGATAGTATTGTCGGTGCAGTGGATCTGGTTGACATGGCGGACGATTACTCCAAGGCAAACCCGACGGTCTATCAGAAAAATGAAGTGCTGCGCGCTTGCGTCGTGGCTATCGACAAGTCTAACAAGAAGATCTCTCTTTCGCTTCGACCTTCGAAAGTTCTCAGCTCCTCCTTGCCGGTGCAAGACCCTGAGTTCTCTTCCGCCAAACAACTCAAGGTCAACGATGTCGTTCGCGGTTTCGTGCGGAGAGTCGCTGATAATGGTCTTTTCGTGACCCTTGGCCATGGTGTCACTGCCTACATCCGGGTTTCTGATCTATCGGACTCCTATCTTAAGGAATGGAAAGACTCATTCCAGGTCGATCAACTTGTTAAAGGTCGTATCACTGTTGTGAACCCCGAACAGGACAAGCTGCAGATGAGCCTGAAAGAATCCGTCTTGGACCCCAACTACAAAGCTCCTGTCACGCTTCATGATCTTAAGCCTGGTCAAGTCGTCACTGGGAAAATCCGGAAGGTCGAGGAATTTGGTGCTTTCGTTGTTATTGATGGGTCGCAGAACCTTAGTGGTCTCTGCCACCGTAGCGAGATGGCTGAAAAACAGGTCAAGGATGCCAGAACTCTCTACGAGGAAGGCGATGTTGTCAAGGCCAAAATTCTGAAGATCGACCGGAAACAAGGCAAGATCTCTTTTGGACTGAAGGCTTCTTACTTCAACGATGAGGAGGATTCCGAGGACAGCGACGGTGAAGACGATGGTACGGAGGGCGTCAGTCTAGATGGATTTGAAGGTCTTGATGGAGCAGATGGCAGTGACGACGACGATGAAGAAGGAGACGAGGACAGCGATGTGTCTATGGGAGGAGTTGAGGTTGACGAAGACGATGAAAGCGATTCTGATGACGACTCCGACGACGAGCCAATGGCCAACGCAGAGCCTCGAGCGGAAGGTGGCCTTGGTGGAGGTGCCTTTGACTGGAGCGGTAACCTCAAGGATGACGATAATCAGGCCGCTGACTCGGAGTCGGAAGATGATGAAGACCGGAAGAAGAGAAAGAAGCACCGCAAGCCCGAGATCCAAGTTGATCGGACTGGTGATTTGGACGCCAATGGGCCCCAATCTGTGGCCGATTACGAACGGCTGTTGCTTGGTGAGCCAGACTCTTCGATGCTTTGGCTGAAGTACATGGCTTTCCAGTTGGAGTTGGGAGAAGTCGAAAAAGCGCGAGAGATTGCCGAACGTGCCCTCCGTACTATTACCATCGGACAAGATGCCGAGAAATTGAACATCTGGATCGCGTTGCTCAACTTAGAGAACACCTATGGCGACGATGACTCGTTGGATGACGTCTTCAAGCGCGCTTGTCAATACAACGACACCCAAGAGGTTTATGAGCGTTTGATCAGCATTTACATCCAGTCAGGCAAGAATGAGGTAAGCTTCTCCCCTTTTCAGTAGATGGAATGCATGCTAGGACTGAGATGCTAATCGTCTTTTTACATATAGAAAGCGGATGAGCTCTTCCAAACCGCCCTGAAGAAGAAGGTTTCATCTTCGCCCAAGTTCTTCCTCAACTACGCCAGCTTCCTGTTCGATAATATGGCCGCCCCCGAGCGTGGTCGCGCTTTGCTGCCTCGCGCTCTCCAGTCTCTGCCATCTCACACTCACGTCGAGACCACGTCTAAATTCGGCCAGCTTGAATTCCGGTCTACGAACGGAGACATCGAACGTGGCCGAACTGTCTTTGAGGGACTTCTCTCCTCGTTCCCCAAGCGGATCGACCTCTGGAGCATTCTTCTAGACTTGGAGATTAAGACTGGCGATGCGGAACAAGTCCGGCGTTTGTTCGAACGGGTGCTTGGTATTCGCGACAACAAGAAGGGTGCTGTTTCTGTCGAAGCAGAGAAGAAGGTCCGCCCGAAGCAGGCCAAGTTCTTCTTCAAGAAGTGGCTGGCTTTCGAGGAAAAGCTTGCTGCTGCTGAGGGTGGAAATAACAAGATGATCGAGGAAATCAAGGCAAAGGCAGCGGACTACGTTAAGTCCCTGCAGCAGGAATAGATTCCGCATTCTTTGGGATGACCTAGTTCTGGTGGCCTATCTATGTAGGTGATTAGGGTCATACGTGAACTCTTGTATATACAAAAAAGCATTACATTACAACGACGATATCTTCATTTTGTTCACTGTCTGCTTAGCCGCAAAGGTAGATAGAACATGGATTTAAGCACGTCAAACAGTGTACAGTATGGAATTAGGTATGCAATTATATTGCTCTAAATCGGTCAAATCATTGCCGCTTCTCGGCCATCAACTTCCGGTATTGCTCCACGATATTCCTTCTCTCGCCTGCGAGCTCCTCTCTCGTTCTCAAACTTCCTGCGGCTGTCGGTACGTTCGCAACATCAATTTTTGCTCCGCCTCGAACCTTGAAAATCTCCTTCGGTTTCGTTAATTGCGGCGGTGCCTCGGCAACCTCGAATGGATTCGTCTTCTTCTGGCGCTCGCGCTTGGCCAATTTGGCCCAGGGGTCCGGGTCGTCAACGGCGTCACCATCACCCGTCTTCTTCCGCTTGGAAGAAGCACCCTTCTTCTTAGCCCTGCCCTTCCCAGCCTCCAGCTCCCATTCGTTCCAGAGCCGTAATTGTTCTTCCATCTCCTCTTGTCTTTCCTCTCGCTCAGCGGCCTCTTTCTCTTTGATCGCCACGTCGTCCTCGCGCCACTGCTTTTGAAGCCGCAGCAGATGCTTCTCGTGTTTAGTCAAGCGATGTTCCTCTTTTAGACCTGGAATATTCGACGCAGCCGGTTTACTGGATTTTTGCATCGCAGAAATCGGCAACTCTCGGTCCACACGAGCCGCGAAGTCCGACAATCTCTCCCCAGGCATAATTTTCGGTTTCGAAGCGGCCGGGGACTCGGTTTCAGTCTTCGGCTCCTCTATCTTCGCCTTTGCCTTCGCAGCAGTCGGCTTTTTCCGCGCAGCGGCTGTGGACTCTTCTGTCTTTGCTCGCTTCCGTTTCTTATTTTCGCCGGTGTCGGGTTTCGACGACGGTTGAGCGCCGGCGTTCTGGCGCTGCATCAACCGGAGGAAGGCTTTCGGGGTGTCATCACTCGTGCCGGCTTTGCGCGAGTAGTCGGACTGCTGGGTTGGAGGGGGGTTCTTCTTTGCATCTTTGCCTTTCTTTTTGTTTTTGGAGTTGGCTTGGGGGTCTCGGACGGGGAGAGACTTTGCGATCATGGACGGGGGGAGGTCGTAGATACTACGGGTCTTGTGAGTAGGGGTTCATGGAATCCATTGAAGAGAAGCGTCCTTACTTTGCGTCATTTTGACGTCTTTTGTGTTTGTGAGGCATTGTGCAGGCGTTGGATTGTCGATAAGGAGTGAGGTTTAAAAGGTGCGGAGACAAACTCGTTCGGCCGCCAACCTTTTTTTCTTTACTTTTTTTCCCGTCTGGTTTCTTATCGGGGATCAGTCATCCTTTATCTTATCGCGATAAGCATCAGGTCACGGGACCTCGCAGTCTCTCCGGGCGTGGGGCATCTCATGTCATGGTGCATTGGACTCATCCTTCTCAGATGACAGATGCCATTGCTCTACGGTGTACATCATTATTGAATTGCATTGCAGGCCGGTGTTACTGACACATTCTCTCGTGGGCTTATGGGATGACCGTTGTCTCAGTTGCATTCCACCACTAAACCTCATCAGGTCGCTGGTCCGAATACTTAACCAGCCACACTTCATCGACCTGATTTTCACTCCAACTTGATTGTCCGTGCTATTTCCCCTCTTCCTTCTGCACGCCAAGCCAACACGATCTCCATTCTCCAAAGGCCCGAGATCAAATTCAAACCAGAGTACTCTGTCCTATGACGAATTCCAACTCGCCCGTAGAACTACGGAGTAGAGGCGGTAGCATCGGAAAGTGACTGTAACCTCGGGAGCATATCTGGATGATTGGATTCAGACTTCGGTGGCGGCTGATGGATTACATCGGAGACCGATCCCATGTCTTAGCGTTATACTGATCCTTTGAGTTGGGGTGACACGGCGCGAAGCCAAGTTGGTATAACCATTCCACCATTCCAGGCTACCACATTCTCTGCGGGTAGAGGGACTTGAGGGGACTTGAGGCACTTTGGATGAGACGAATCACAATCATACCCGAGGTGGCAAGGACGTGGGTCACCCTGGGACTATCGGCAGGAGGCATCAATGAATAAAGAAACGATGATAGAGGATCGGCTAAACGGCCAGCAGGATCGGGGCCCGCGGAGCCAGGGTTAATTGCACTTTCCCCCTCGTCCTACTTGCACTCAGTGACTGGCAGCGCTAAGCGATCTAGACTTGCCAACTCGGTCGTCCAGGGTCTCATCTCGGTCTCGGATCGACGCACGAAGCTGCTTACCGGTCACTTTAGTCTTGCTGTCTTCCTTTCTTTCTACCGGGATCTCCTCTTTTCTTTCCCCCCATGGTTTCATATCCCTCCTTTTTCTTTTTATCAAAAGCTTGCGCAATCTCGACTACGGAGTATGATATAATAAGTCCCTGTGCTCGGCGTGATCTGCAGTTGGAAACGTGCCTCTCTAATCAGACCATCCAATAATGGGCTGCAGACCCGCACATGGTTGACTGGGTCGTGGAGAACAACTAACACGCTGCTCGAGAAGGTCGAACCAGAGTTGCTTGTCGGTCGGTGACGAAACCCTGAGCCGGTGGGTCTGGAATCTTATAAACCCGGGACCCTTTTCCCTCTGTTCCTGAAAGATCCAGGTCGCCAAACAACAAGAAGACAAGAGGAGCTCAGATTTCCATGGCCTGAAGAATGTCTTCCCGCTCCTCCCCGCATTTCTCCAACTCCGCCGCTTCGCCTCCAGATCGCGACGGCGCCGATGCTGCCGTCGATAAACAAGGCTTCTGCATTGACGTGAATGACGCTCTGCCTCTTCAACACAAACGGAAGGCTCCTTTATGGCGTCGGGGATTAGCTGCCCTTTCTCCCTTCTCCTCGTCATCTACACCGGCTGCGAAAGATACCGAGGATGCGCGCCCACTGCTCTCTCTCTCGGGCGCTTCCTCCAACCCCTCACTGAGGTTCTCAAAACGATCCAAGATCAATCGCTGCTTTCTATTCCCTTTGATGGGATTCTTTATCATGCTGTGAGTTTTCCACGCTCTTGGATGATTCGCTCGCTACAAAGGCAGCTCAATTCACACTTCTCTCTCTAGCGGCGTCGTGCAGTTCATCACTATTGCCTGCGGCATTGTCGTGTCATTCTTTTCGGACGACTTTGATCACGCGATAGACCGGTGGCGCTTCCGAGAAAAGGACGTCGGTCCTGAGATATCGCACTGGCCTACAGACATTTCGAGGGATATCGTGCCGGTCGCATGCCATTCGCACAACGATTACTGGCGCCCCATACCTTTGTACTCGGCTCTACAGGCGGGCTGCGTGGGTGTTGAAGCCGATGTTTGGCTCTTTGACAACGATCTCTACGTGGGCCACACCACCTCGTCTCTCACTCCCAAGCGAACGCTAAGGAACATGTACATCAATCCTTTACTGGAGATCCTTGAGCGGCAGAATCCCCGCACTGCATTCCATCCCACCGACGATCAGCCGTTACAAGGGGTTTTCGATACCGACCCATTCCAAACCCTGATCCTTCTGATCGATTTCAAGACCGATGGGGAGGAAACCTGGAAGAGTGTAAATGCACAGTTGTCTCCTCTGCGCGAGCGTGGCTACCTTAGCTATTTCAATGGCACCGACGTGGTCGAAGGCCCGATTACCGTCGTCGGTACGGGAAATACGCCCTTCAACCTGGTCATGGATAATACTGCTCACCGAGACGTCTTCTTCGATGCACCTCTGGAGAAACTAGCCGAGTATGACGAAATCGAACTGTTTGAGAATCATGCGCTCTCAGATCCCGACCAGCATGTTCCACAAGACCAAGCCGTGCAGACGGAGAGTTCCACCGAGAATGTCGGTCAAGGCTTATCGGGCATACCCGCTGCAGATATTCGTCCCAACACATTCAATAGCACCAACAGCTACTACGCATCGGTTTCTTTCAAGAGTTCGATCGGGTTTCCTTGGTCTTTCCGCCTCAACGAAGCCCAGATGACCAAGATCCGGGCGCAAATTCAGGCCGCGCATCGTCGAGGCCTGAAAGTCCGCTATTGGGGCTTGCCGAGCTGGCCGCGCAGTTTGAGGAATCACATCTGGAGCGTCTTGGTCCGCGAGGATGTGGATATCCTCAATGTCGATGATCTACAGAGCGCCACTAAGAAGGACTGGAGGCCCAAGTTTTCCGATTGGTGGGGTTGATCCTTTTGCCGCGGTGAAATAACTCGCCTTTATTTACTTTCATACATTTCTATCCACTAACTGCTTTCACTCTTCCTTGCTTCTTTTCTTTCCCCTCCCTCCCCTTCCTTCATGTAGGGGAGGGTTTGATTTGCGGGAATGGCGTTCGGGTTTTACGTTGAGACAATACCCTACAGAGATTTTTTCTGCCTGTTTTCGTTATTTGGCCTTTGCTTTTCTTTTTTGTTCTACATTTTAGCGGGCTGTTCTTTCGTAGTAGTCCTCGAGTTTGCCACTGACATAGATAGTACTAGCTAGGTTATGACTAGATGAACAATGGAAAAGATGATTCATGGATTCCGAAAAGTGATATGATATGCTACTAGACGCGAAGTGTGTAGCTGGTCACAAAGTAATCAAACGCCCGATTATGAAGTGATTTTTGGGTATCATCTGGATAGTTACTCAACCACGCTGCTTTTTGGTGTCTCCCTTTCCTGGTATATATACATAAAAGACCAAAGGAGCATCCTTTCATAGACAGAACAAAGCTTCCTCGCCAAACTCATTGAAGACCGTGCCCTCCTCGCGCAAGATGTTACCGAGCCAATCCTTGGCCGTTTCGAAGTCGCTTGCTCCGAACTTGACCAGGACGAAGCCAGCGCGTACACGCGCCGCCGTGAACGTGACTTTGCTATCGTAGTTCGGCGTCGATTCCACAGCGCCCGGGCTTGACGAGGACCAATTCCGAGCGCCGATGCGCGGTTGTGATGTGAACCGGTCCATGAAGAAGGTCGCTAGGCGTTCGAACACTGGCCCGTAGAGGATCAGCGTTCCCACCACCCCGTGGGGCCGCGTCCGCTCCCGAATCAGGCCACGACGACTCAACGTTTCATTATCATCCTCCAGGCAGAACTCGTTGACCTCGTCGTCGAGAATGAGAGAGTCACGCAGTAGAAGCTTCTTCTGCCCGTTCTCGCCCGCCGACCAGACTTCGTTTTTTCCCCGCCAGAGATGGAAATCCCAGTTCTCGCCGCGCGACGTGCGGCCTTGTGTCACCCAGTCCAGGATGCAGAGACTACTCCGCTTGGACTCCTTGGTTGTGGTGCCGTCGACGGTGAATTTCTGTATTTGTTCGTGCCGGCTGTCTTTGTAGGGTACTGCGGGATCTGGGAGGTAGCAGAGGGCGGCTTCGCGGCCGACTTGCACGTCGACCGACTGGCGGCTTTTGTCGGACAATTGGTGCGCCGGGGTCCCTCGTTGTCCCTTAATGCTGGCGTTGGGTTCCGTCTTGAAGATCTTGGTGCTGCCCTGAGGGGTCGTGACGACGAGTCGAGTCTGGGGGTCTAGCTTAATCGACACATCGATGTGGTCTCCTGGGAGAAGACCGCCGCCATAGGTGAGGAGATAGAGGTGGACGGGTCGGGAGGTGGGACAGGAGAGGGCAGAGGATTGAGGCACGTAGCCCGGAGCACGGGTGAGCAGCTTCAACGGATATTTGTAGGTTAAGGTCGTCAAGGTAGGATTCGAGGGAGGCAGCAGGGAGAGAACGACGTTGCCTTGTCCCGGCTTCGCAATGGACGACTCGAACGGTGATTTGATCGGCATTCTGGAAAGCAAATTTTTGGTTGTAGGTTTCTGCGGGGAAAAGAGACGATCTCTTTAAATGGAGAAATTAGGAACGGAAAGAGAGAGGGAAGAGGAGAGGGACAAGAAAGTGGATCTTAAAGGCATGATATACTGAGTACGGATCTTGGGGACGGGGATGTATGTTAAATGGCGTCATGGGAGAGTTTCTTTTTTGAGGCCGCAAAATCTAGGTCTTTTCCGGGGCGAACAAGCTGCGGCCGGCTCGTCCAATTGACAGGCGAGCTAAGCCTCCCGGATCACCAGGTCGAAGCGGGGTTTGAAGAATCTGTAGACGACGCAGTCTTGGCCTTCCAATGCTGAGCTGGACACGAGTCGAGCGTGCAACCGTGATGGAGCAGTTGGACGTTTTCATTACGGCATCGTTTCTTCTCCGCCGCAGATCAGGGCTTGGTTGCTTAGGGTTCGCCCGGTCAGCTGGGCGGGCACCTGACCATCCGGCGGACCTTTCGGTCCTGCCAAGAGATCGCGTATGATACGGTGGTACGGAGTGACTGGTACCGTAATACTCCGTATTTCCGCCTGTCCCGAATGGGCTGCAATGGTGGCCTGAGGCAGACACCGCGCCCCGTCATCGCCAGGCACCAAGGCCGCTGCCCCCCGGCGCGCGTCGTTTGTTCCGTCGACGCCAGAACTGTTCAACTCCCCTCATCCCGACTCGCTCCAGTCCCACTCTCGACTCTCCCCCAGCCCTCCGACCGCATCGTCAATGCACCTGTTTTGCATTGTCTCTGCCTAACTTATCGCTCGTGCTTTTTTGACCCCTTTCGTTCGGCCCGATCGCGTAGTCCCGCAGCACGCGCGCGCAGAAGACTGACACAGGGTCTTGCGAAACCCAACGTCGCGTTCACGCCCGATAACCAGAGACTCCCCACGTCCAAGTACGCTCCACTCCTAACCTCTCGTGATGTCGATCCAAGCCTGTCTGCAAGCGCTTAGTGTCACTAATCAAATTGGAATTCCAGTGCTTGATTGATCCGACTACGATGGAAACTGATTCGCGCCCCTCGAGCCCGCAACCCGGGCCCACGCAGGAAGCCTCCACCTCGCAAACAGACAGAAGAAAGTCTGGCCGAACGACGCGCAGGCCGGAATTATTCTCGCAGAGCTACGGCGCCAATGAAGGAACGGCTCCCGGTGGCTCCAAGCGCAAGCGTGCTACACCCGGCGATGAAAACGAAGACGAAGCTGACGACGCGTCCGAACCTGAAAGCGATGAATCCAACGACGAAGAACCTGACGCCGAAGAACTCAGAGAGAAGAAAAGGGCTGCGCGCCGGGCCGCGGTCAAGAAAACAGCCTCCGGGACCAAGCCCAAACCGAAGTCTCGTAGCTCGAAGAAGCCCAAGGTAGCGAGCAATGGAATTGGGAATCAGTTGGCTTTTCGTCCCGCTGCCACCAACGGAAAGAAGGCTGCTTCGCGCCCGCGAAAGCCGTTAACCAGACCGAGTCTGGCTGCCGGCGAAAAGGGCCTCTTTGGTATGCTCCCCCCGCTATGCATCTAATCTCAAGGAAAAGTGCATGCCGACTAACACCATCGAAAATAGCCGATGTGTTTGGAAAAGGCCGTAACCCGGATACCACTGCTGCAGATTGGCTTAAATCTTATCAGAAAGACCAGGTCGAGGCCACACGCGAGATAGTCATCTTTATAATTCGGTGTACCGGATTCGATTGCGAAGTAGAGAGCGAGGATATAACAGATCTTGACCATGTGCCGGAGCGCGTGGCGGACCTAACAACCCAATACCAGCACCTTGGCTTCACCGACTACCCTCTTATATCAAAGGCGCGGACTTTCCGAAATTTCAAAACTGTTCTCGAAAACTTTCTCAACGCGTTCATACAAACTCTGCACCATTCTTCCACCATGTACAAGGATCCGAACCTCTTGGACAACATCGTGGTATGGCTGGGTCCCAGTTCCGGTTCGACTTGCCGGCCTTTTCGACACACTGCAACCTTTATCGTTCATCAAATCATGAGCTCCCTCTGTGACGTGGCTCGGGAGCTCATGACGTCTATCTCTACCTCGCGCAAGCAGCTTGAGAGCGAGAAGAGAAAAAAGTCTGTGAACAAAGGAAGAGCTGATGCCATCCAGTCAGCTATTCAAGAAGGTGACAAGAAATTGGAACTTGTCGATGAAATTCTCCAAAATGGCGTTAATACCTTCTTTGTTCATCGTTATCGCGACATTGACCCGAATATCCGCTCCGTGTGTATGTCTGCTCTGGGCTATTGGATGAGAACCTATCGTGAATACTTCTTCGAAAGCCAGTTCCTCCGCTACTTTGGTTGGATCTTATCCGATCCCGTCGCCCACAACCGCGGCGTTGTCGTCGAAGAGCTCTGCAGTCTGTACGAGAACAAGGATAACCTGGCTGTTCTGCGCACATTCAGTAACCGATTTGTTCTACGAGTGGTGGAAATTACTACGCACGATACTGACCTCGAAGTTCGGGCATCGGCAATTGTATTGGCTGACCTGATTCGGGATGTCGGTCTCCTCAAACCAGAGGATATTGATACCGTCGGGAGACTCATCTTTGATTCGGAACCAAAGGTCCGAAAGTCCGCGGGTCGTTTCTTCGCCGCTAATGTCGAGGAGTCGTTCGACTCCACTGTGGAGGAGGTTGGCGATGAAGTTAACGAAATGTTTGGCGATGAAGATGAAGACGATTTCGAGTCGCCCAAACGATCATGGATTAAGTATAAATGTCTGACGGACATGCTTCAAGCGTACGACGAACAAGAAAACGAGTTGCATCCCGATCGCCCTGTCACTGCCTCGAGGGATGCGCTTTCTGGGACCTCCGTGGACTCGCGATTCGTTCTGGCTACCGAGGCTATATACTCGCGATTCCCAGAACTCTCGCAATGGCAATCTCTAGCCGGGTATCTTCTCTACGACCACTCTCAAATCGAGGATGAACCTAGTGAGGATGATACCGCGGCTGTCGTCAAAAAACTATACAAAATGGAGGAAGGGCAGGAAGTGATTCTCTTGGAAATGCTGTGTTGCGCGGTGAAGTTGCGAGTCCTCGAAGTGGCCAAATCTGACATTGACAAACGAGGCCGGAAAGTCAAGGCGTTGACCGACAAGATCCCGGAACTGCAGGAAGAGATCGCTCACAGCCTTGCACAAATCATTCCTCAGCTGTTGAACAAGTTTGGCTCCGTCCCGGAAGCCGCATCTGCTGTCCTGCGACTAGAACATTTGGTTGATCTTGACAAGATCCAGGATATGCAGAAGGATGCCACTGCCTACACGACGCTGCTAAACGACATCAATAAACAATTCCTTACACATTCCGATCAGGATGTGCTAGCAGAAGCTAGTGTAGCATTTCTGCATGCTAAGAGCTCTGATGATATGCGAGAAGCGCTGGAGAATAAGATCCAAGAGCTGTGGGATGATATAGTGGAAACGCTTAACACGCTTTCGCAGAAGACAGAGGCCGTTGAGGGCAGCTCAATACCGTATGCAACCCTCAACGAACTCACTAATACTGTATCAAGGATTTCCAATCTTGCTAGCATCACCGATTGCACGCATGTCCTGGAAGCATCGCCTTCTCGATCAAAAGGCAAAGACAAGGGGCGCTCAGAAGTGCCTTTCAACACCCTCCTGCATTTGGCAGAGCGTGGTCTTCGCGAAGATGAGAACGACGAGGATCAGGCTAGTGCTGAATCTGAGCTTGTTATTAGTAGCATCCGGACGCTGCTCTTCTATTTTATGTGGAAAGTGCAGTCTTTGAGGGCATCGCTAAGTGCAGGAAAGGCGGTTTTCAGTACCGCTTACTTTGAAGCCTTAGTGAAGAGTCGCGAGACGTTCGTTTCTACCCTTGTTGCTATTATGCAGCAACGTTCAGACTTGGACGACGTCCGTTTTGCCGCTATTACGACTCTTTTAGATCTACAAACGTTGTTCGGAACTCTTCGCCATGCAGGGCAAAATGCCAGCAACGATGAGGATGTTATTCTCCAGACTCAAAGCTTGGTGCACGAAATTGATTCAAACACCCAGGCTCTGATCTCCAAGATTCACGCCACAGCAGAACGCAAATACGCCAAGCTGCGCAAATCTGTCCTTAAGCACGCTGATGCCGAAGAGCCGGAATCGGATTCGGATGTGGAGAGACCGCCTTCGGATGATGAAGATGAAATTGACTCGGATGATGAAGCGGCGGCCAATGATGCCTTGCGATCCAGCGTCATCGCAGAGCAACGGCTGTGTGAACTGACTGGTAAACTCGTTCTTGCCATCGTCGGACGCATTATCGATGCCTCCGGCGACCAACAGGGCAACGTGAAGAAGGCGCTCTTGAGGCGCAGAACCAACCTGGGCCCCAATTATCGCGCGGTAGTCTCTTTCCTTATGGAGCCCAAATCTCGAGGCTCTCGGAGCGCCTCGTCCAAACCAAAGCCATCTGCTCCAAAGAATGCGCCCAAGCCCCAGGCTGCCTCCAACAAGCGTGCGAACAACCACAAATCGACCGAGAGAATAGATGAGGAGGATGAAGAAAACGAAGAAGAACGCGAGCATTCTCCTATTGAGGACGACGACGACGAAGATCTACGAGCTAGGGGGCTTGTCGAGGACGATATCATTGACCCCGATGACGACGAGGAGGAGACGCCAAATCACGCAGCGCCGGATCCCGATGAGGATGAAATCATGGGCGACTAAACTCGTTTTCATGCTTACTTCTTCTCTTCCCACTTCACTGTTTTCCTATATTTCTTTGATGTTCCAAATCGGCATGCGAATTCTGTTTTCTGAAGCAAAGCAATGGTATCTTATTTGACATTTGATTGGGTTGTCTTTTGCCATCTTCTTCTTCTTATTTCCCATTTCCTTTCTTTGTTCTATTCTATTCTCTTGTCTTCTCTTTGCTTTATCATGATGTGATTGCTCTGGATCAGCTATGAGTACAGATTAACTTTGATTCATAACATTTGAGGGTGTTTGCTGCGATAATTCCACTTTTTCCTCTTTTCTTTCATCTTTTTCTGTTCTCTTTTTTCTCTCAATATTCTCCTCGGTTACTTTCGTTATTTCCAAATGTAAGAGTCTCGTGATGATGGGCGTCAATCGCGATGTATGTAACCCTATCTATCATTTCTCTGTATATATTCTTAAGGTTTTTCTCCCCGCATCGACGGTGATGTCCCCCTGCTCTAGGTAGCATTTGTGAAACGCAGGATCTGTTACATGACGCATCTATGACTCTACTTCGGATACGGACAATAGTCGAGTTACCTAAAACCACCAGATATTATTATTGCAGGAAAGGGGGTTGGCATTTTTCGGCTAGCAGGACTATCTATCCATCATTATGGAACAAAGACGACCTGACCTGTCTCTCCTAACGTCCACTAATTCCGGCCCCAGAGGTCAAGTCTATTTAAGATACTTGAGTTCTTGTCCACGTAGGCCGGGGGAGCGAAGAAAGAGACATACGCCCGAAATAAAATATTCTGATTGGGTAATCAAGGGTAAACAAAAAGTGTGGAAAGAAACACAAAAACCGAATCAACAAACAGTTACGCCTGTGTATGGGATGCTACGAAATGGACATTGTGGGTGACATGGAAAAGGGAGGGGGTTTAGTGGGGGAGGGGAAAGGGGATACATGACGGTGAATCTTGTTTATCGTGAACTATCAAAATCCGGGAAATCATAACACAAAAAAAGGAAGAAGGGGTCCGAAACCAACATGGGGAGGGAACGGGGATGAAGAGGGGGATTGGAATTGCTCAAACGGCAGATGGAAACACAGGTTTTAATGTCTCCAGGAACATCAGCAGAATTCGTTTCTTTTTCTTTTTCGGCATGGCGGCATCAAGTAAAAAAGGAACGCCACGTAAAGATCTAGCAGGCAGAATCGGAGACAACTTGAGCGTCATGAATAATTTGCAAATAATATTCCACTTTTACATATCCATGGAGTCACCGCCGTTGGCGAAGGTGAAACCACCGGGTTGTTGCTGGTTGGTGCCCAGAGCGAATCCGGTCTGCGTCTGTTGGGGAGCAAGCTCGTCGACATCTCCTCCAGCCTCGTCCTCATCCGAGAAGTACTTCTCAATGATGTTGTAGGCCTTCATGTAGATCTCCTCGTTGGCGTTGTTCTGGCAGTCGTGGATCTTCTCCATACCACCGGCCTCTTCGATGAACAGGGCGTAGCGGTTGACGCGAGTGTCACCCGACTGCGCAGTCTCCTTGTCCATGTCGCCAACCTTGAGAATGTTCTCCAAGCCATCCAGAGCAACCTGGATGATCTTGTTGTCAGGGCAGGCAAGCAGATCACAGAGAGGCTTGATGCATCCCTGCGAAACAAGGTAGCGAATCTGTTCAGGCTTCTGCAGACCGCCGGAAGTAGCGTTAGAGATAGCCCAGCAGGCCTCCTTGCGGGTCTTGAAATCACCGTTGGCAAGCAGGTTGATCAGAGGGGGGATGATGCCAGCGTCAACGACGGCCTGGATCTGGCTGGAATTACCGGCGGTAACGTTGGAAATGGTCCAGCAGGCCTCCTTCCGGATGCCGTCCTTGGTAGAGCTCAGAAGAGACAGGAGGGCCGGGAGAGAACCACAGTTGATGATCACCTGAGTCTGAACATCGTCACCAGTCACGATGTTTCCAACCGAGCGGAGAGCAGGGGTCTGGACCGAGGTGGAAGCATGCATGAGAAGCTCCACCAAACGACGAGGGATACCGGCTTCAATGACAGCCTGGATCTTGTCGTTTGCGCCATCAGACAAATACGAGATGGCCCAGCAGGCATCGATCAGGACTTCGTCATCAAGCATGTAGATAAGCTTGGCGAGGACAGGAAGAGCGGGAGCAATCTAATAGATTGTTAGTTTGAGCTAGAACGGCAACTTTCTTCGGTTTGCAATAGATACATACCGTGTTCCAATCGGGCTGCGGCGTCTTGCCACGACAGAAGTTGCTCAGGGTCCATGTGGCATTGCGAAGCATGCTCAGCTTCCGGCCATCGTTGATCAGGTTGAGAAGGGGACGGAGGGCACCGGCGTTCAGCACGAAGTCGCGGCATTGAGGGCTGTCACCAGCAATGTTACCCAGGGCCCAGACGGCCTGCTCACGGACATCAGGCTCGGGGCTGCTCAGAAGCTCGACGAAGATCGGCACAGCACCGGCCTCGATGACGACCTGGGTCTGCTGGGCAGATCCGGAGGCAATGTTGGTCAAAGCCCAGGCGGCTTCGAACTGGACCAGAGTGTGGGGGGATCGGAGGAACTCGACGAAGCGGCTGACAACGCCGGTCTCGATGACGCGCTCGATGGGAGGGTTGCGCTCCTTGGAAAGCAGCTTCCTGAATTTGGTCGTAGCTTGGATTTGCGATTCGATTTGTTCGGAGAAGACACCCTTGACCATCTCGGGCAATTCCACGTTAAGCTATAAAGTGATTTATTAGCCATTTTTGATTCCCATAATTTAGTAGTATCAACTGAAGCAAATGTGATAGAACAATTTGGTGCACCGTAGGATAGCAACAGGGCGGTGAAAAGTTCGTTGCTGGGCGCAAGATGGGAGGGCAGGGCAAAAAAAAAAAGCGCAAAAAAAAACAAAGCCGCCTCTCACAACGGAGTGGAAAGTAAGAACTGGACCAAAATAACATCAAGGAACAAGAATGAAAACTAAAATCGTACGTACCTCGCTTTCAATAGCAGTGGCCTCGTCGTCGCTCTCAGCGCCGGCCACGCCACCTCCTACACCAATGCCACCATCCCGGGTCTGGATACCACGACGCTTGGCCAGGTTCTCATCTCTTTTCTGCTTTCGGATCTCGACCTGCTGTTCCTCACGACGACGACGGAGCTCATCAGGCCTGAACTGGTTTCGGGCCTTGTACTGAGTGCGACGATGCTCGGGGATGTAGCGCTCCGCCATGGTTGCTTGGGACACTGAGGGGTGAAAACAAAGCGCCCACAACGGGGTAGTGAAAGAAAAATAAAAAGGAAGGAGAGGATAAAAGTGGAGCAAGTGATAGGGATGAAGAATAGAAGCTCGATGATTTGTCGGGGGGCAAGGAAAGCACAGAGGCTAGGATAGAGAGGGATAACAGGAAAGACTAGACAGCCGGGGAAGAGGTGAAGGAGGGGAAAAAAGTGTTGATGTCGGAGGTGGGATTGCCCAGTCACGGGACTCTCCTGCTGGCTTGCTGTTTTCGGCCACCCGCCCGCCAAGCGCCACTCCCGTCTAAGCGATCCATTGCCGCCAGAACGCGTCCCTGCCATACTGCCTTCTTAGTATTTGGATCTGGCGTTGTCCGGTGCATCACGGCTGCAAATTCGTGGTTTCGACTCGCGGACTGGCGTCTTCTCGCCGTGATTCCCAATACCGTTACCTAATCCACCTTAGGGTTCCGCCGTGCTCACTAAACATGCGCGACACCTACTGATTGACTACTACATACAACTACTACCATCTACTACTATTGATCATGTCAGAAGCGTCGCGTTACCCCGAATTAGTGGATATCCCCACGGCCATGTCCAAACAGGGCAATGTAACGGTCCTGGGGGTAGTGGTAGATGCCATGGCTCCAATGAGGTCCAGAGGCACATCGATCTTCATAACCTTTACCCTCAAAGATTCCAACCTAGATAACGGCCATACGTGGGATGGACTGAAGATCAAATACTTTCGAGACAACGAAAGTCAATTACCCCCTGTACGTAAGGGCGACGTGCTTCTTCTGCGGAACGTTTGGGTTCGTGATCCACGGGCTGCTGAGTCCCTATGAGTACACTGGCTAAAGAGGATTATAGGTAAGAACACTCGCTGGGAAGCCACTGGGCGTGGCTGCCCAAGATAGGACGATCCCATGGGCACTGTTTCGTCATGAATCTAACCCAATGTCCACTGCAACGCCCATTTGTGGCCCGACACCGTTTGAGCCATCATTCACGGAAAAGAGGCTAGCACGATCTTTACTAGAAGATAGTTTAAAGCTCAAGGAGTTTCGGATCTATTCCGTGAAGCCCGTGGCCCCTCAATCCCACTCGGCTACACCTGCATCGAAGTCCAACCATTCTGCTCCTGATCGCTTCACGCTGGTCAGAGATGCAAAATATAATGCAAAATACAAAACATATGTCGACATCATAGGGGAAGTTGTCAAGATCTACCCCACCTCTCGCGGCGACCACGTCTTGATGTATATCACCGACTACACGACGAATAGGAACCTACCTGATCATGGCAGCGATGACGAGAAGGGCCAAGAAGGCGACGACTACAACTATCAGCGCTATAACCAAAAAAGATGGAAAGGCCCATCCGGTCAGTTGTCTCTCGCAGTAACAATTTGGGAACCGTATGATTCCTATGTCCGAGAACATGTCAACGAGGAAGATCTCGTCTATCTAAGCAACGTTGAGATTAAAAGGGGTAGTCACAGCACGACTATGGAAGCTGCCATTCATGGCGACAAATGGCAGAGCAACAGGGACAAAGTCCGTCTAATAGACCCCAAATCTGATGCTCGAGCCCGGGAGCTTCTACATCGAAGGGAGGAATACTGGAGCAGAAATCAATCGAAACGAAAACTTGCACAAGATGACGAGCCACCGCCGCAATCAAAACAGGCTAAGAGGCTGCAAAAACGGAAGGCCGAGGCAAAGAAAGATGCAAGTCAGACTTCGATCGCCTCCAGGACCCGAGACCCCTTCAATTCAAGTAGTGAGTACCATCTCACCCATACCTTAGCCCTATCAAACTAATCCGTCCGCCAAAACAAGTCATTGCTGCATATAGCAGCTGCACTTACCTCCCAATCGAGGACATTCTTACCAACGAATCACATAACAATGTCTCGCCTCATCAAATTCAATATCGCTTTCCATTCCAAAACCTCTGTTACCGGTCTATTGTTCGCGTCGTCGACTTTTTCCCTCATAAACTCGAGGATTTTGCTGTACCAGAAAGGCAAGACGATGGACTGCTTGCCCGCCAAGAACGCGAATACGCAACGGGTGATGCCTTCAACAGATGGGAATGGCGCTTTTGTCTTCTCATCGAAAGTTCCTCAGCGCCACCCCCCGGACAGGCCAGGGAACAGATGAAACTTTTTGTGTCGGATGTGGAAGCAGTGCACTTACTAAATCTTGACGCAAGCGAGTAAGTCATATGGCAAAATTAATGCAGGCGGAATATAAATGAGCTGCTAACTCGGTAACTTTGTTCTCAGTTTACGCAAGAACCCAGACGATCTGGCACGTTTAAGAGAAAAGCTCTTTATCCTCTGGGGGAATCTTGAAGAGCAGAAAAGGGAGGCTACTGAGCAGAACGGCCAGGCTCCGAAGTGTATCTCGTCGCTTCCTTTTGCTTGTTGCATCCAGGAGTATGGAGTCAAGTGCTCCCATCGTGTCGCTGTCAGTGCCGATGACGGGTCAAATGGCGATGAAGTGGGTTCTTCGTGTAATCACGATGGCTGTTTTGGGTGGGAGAGGCGGTTCGGGATGTTCAAAACGAGAATTAACTAACTGCTTGTGCTTGTGCTTGTACTTCTGTTTAGCGCTAAGGTTCTATACCCCTTAATGTTCAGTATTGACCTCGCCTGCTTCGTCACGTTCGATAAACAGCGGAAATAAAGATCTTTTCGTTTTATCTATACCTGGTCGGAACTACTCCAAATATTATGAGTATTATGTCGTAACGACGTTAAAACTACGGCGAGTCCACGGGTGGGATCCGTGTGAACCGCTTCTGTGATTCCTGCGACGAGTTTTCAAGTGGGTACAAGTTTCATTCCTAAATTGAAGTCCACGAGACGAGAGAAAGACACTAAATGCAATGAGACTGAGGGGATATCGTGCTTATTGAAAGGTATGGAGAGAGAGACGTTGCATGGCCATGGTCAAGATGAAAGGAGTCTTCGTCAAGGGGAAATGCACAGTAAATCACAAAAGAGAATAGAGAAGAGGCAGACACATAAGCGCCGAAAGGCCAACAGAAAACGGGGGAAGGAACGCTGGCCAAAACACCGAGGTCGGGCAAAAAAGAATCGAGGCAACTTCAATCGGCAGGAAATGATACCGGGTCGAGCTAGACCTTAGTGACTTTGACGATAGTGAGATCAACACCGTGTGCAGAAGGCTCAAATCGACAAGCCGACCCCCAGTAGCACTCAATTTTGCCAGGTTCACTATGTGGACAGCGATGGCCGTATATACAGTCAAGGTCATCGCACTCTGTCCCATAGCGGCAAGGCGTCATGCGAGCGACCGCTTTCAGGATGGACAGTTCATTCTTGGTTAGGTTGCGCGAATGATCATGAATGCAATTATCATTCGGGCATTCTCCCAGCAGAAAATAGAAGTTGCAAAGCTTCAGCTTCTTCATGCGGTTCAGTTCCTCTCGAGGGATGGCTTTGAGATCAATCCGATCCACACGCTGGCCGTACTTATTTCGCTCCACGATTTTGGGAGGAGGCGAAGAGTTCGATGATTTGGCGCGCACAATCTGGAATTCACCAAGGTTCGAATTATTTGCGGGAGTAGACGCAACTGACAGCGGAACATCAATGCTAGTGGACGTGGTATTGGTTGAGGTTCGTGAAAGAGATGCGGCTTGCTGTATAGGTGAAGGGGTGAAGGCAGAGCACGGCTTGCTAGCCACTGCAGCTTTCCAGGGGGCCCACACAGCTATTTTTGTATCTCGAAAGAGATCTAGGAATCTAGTTACTCTGTATGTCGACTTGACCAAATCCATGTTCTTCTCAAAGGGAAGGCCTTCGATCAGAGACACTCTGCCAATGAGATCTGTTTTATGCAGCACTTCTTCCAGAATGCTTCCATAGGCAGCATCCTGCGAGCACCCAAGGAAGATCTGGTGGCAGTGACAGTTGTACAGATTCAGTTGGAATGTCTCTGAGGCAGAGGGGAAACAGCAAACGGTCAGCCTATTGGGTCGGAAGAAAGAGCACTGCAAGGGGGGTGATGAATAGCACAGTACCTGCGATCTTATTATGCGCGCCATTCTTTCCGCACCCCGTATCAATTATTTCAAAGAGTGGAAAACTCCCATTGAAGCCACGAACGAATTCTTCGATCAAAGAGGGCTCAGTGGTGATTCCGCCTCGAACGCAGAGCTCTGCCAATCCCTTCACATTGACATATAGTTTGGTGATTATCTTGGGGGAGGCGATCCGCGGGAAATTATTGGCAACATAGTTCTTTAAGGCCGTCTGAAGCTTTGTCGCCGCGTTCCGACCCCCTTGGCCTCCTTGTTGTAGGAAATTATCTTGGAAGATTATTCCATCGCCGTCTAGAAGAGCCACAACGAAGGGTACACGATCCTACCGGCCACGTGAAATTATTAGTTGACATTGTTGTACAGTACGAGGGTGGCAAGTAGGTTGTTTACCATGACATTCTTCAATCTGGATACCTTATCCATTAACTCCATCTCGTTTATCTGGATGTCCTGATTAAAGCGGGTCTCGCGTTCATGGTCAAGCTTCTCTTGTGAATATGCTTTTTCTAGCTCCGTCACACGTTGCAAAAGGTCCTAAACTGGGGTAAACATTTTATTTTATTTTTTTAAATTAGAAAATCACATCTTCCCAGGTACAGCAGTGGGTTGTTACCTCAATGAGTGCATTCTTTTTCTGGTCTATCAATGATAGCTGCTGATAGCGCTCAAAATAGCCTAGTGCCGTCATGATGGCTCAGGCGACAATCAGGAGATGGTTTGATACTTTGATTGCGGAGAAGGCGTGGAGAGGGAGAACAGGACAACGGGTGCTAGTAGAAAGTAGAGAGGGATCTGAAACAAGAGTGAAGGAAGAGAGGGGGAAGGGAGAGGGTTAAGCAAGTATATATCAAGCCAGAAAGTGAGGGAGAGAACGAGTGAAGGGCCAATCTTTACGTGCTGGAGGCATTCATTTACTTGACAGAAACATGTGAGAGCGATCTACATGGCAGCTATATTTATATTTTCTATAAACAAACGGTGGATACTACCGTTTGACTTCCAGGAAATCCATCAGAAACGGTGGAAAGGTAAATTAAAACTTCCTGGTCCAGCGGCAAGAGACGTCCAGTCAGGCGGTGGCTGAGTCATCGGGCGCCTGGGGAAGTATCGCCGGGAATTTGGTCTACGTGGAGAAAATCATCTCTCCTCTCTGTCTCCCTCTCTCTCTCTCTTGCTTCCTTTCACTCCCTCCCCCCCCCCATCCTCCCTCTCTTTCTCTGAGCCCTTCCTCTTCTTCTTGAATTGCTTCCAGACTATTGGTCTGCTCTGGTTACGTCACAATGGCTCGTTTCGGTCTCCTGTCTTTGGCTCTCTTCTCTGTCCAGGCCTTGATTGGTGGTGGTCTCGCCGCAGTACGCTCTCTACTCTTTGTCTCTTGTCTCACACAGACCCAATTGGAATACTGACCCTTGTCTCTCACATCATCAGGACCCTGCTGAGAAGGTTGAAGAGAATGTTGAGTCGCCCAAGCTTGCCGTGTCCGCCCAGGCCACCTTCCCTGCGTCGGAGTTCTTCGGCGTGAAGCTGGTCAACGGCCTGCCCACTCAGGCGCTGATCACCTTTACCAACGATGAGCCGGCTCCTGTCACCGTCAACTTTGTTGGTGGTACCCTGTCGACCTTGGATGAGGAAGAGAGCCAGGTGGTGCGCAACTTGACTGCCACCGCGTACGGCGTCGAGATCCCGGCCGGCGAGAAGGAGAGCCTCAGCTACAGCTTCTCCACCGAGATGCACCCCCAGGATCTGAGACTCTCTCTGGCTTCCGTTCTGTCCGATAGTGAGGGAAGATATTTCACTGTCTACGCCCACAATGGTACCGTCAGTGTCGTGGAGCCGGAGACTAGCATCTTCGATCCTCAGATGTAAGAGCTGCTCGCCCCGTTACTTAATCTGGAGATTTAGGGAAGGTTGGCTAACATTGGGTACTGTTTTTAGTATCTTCCTGTACTTCTTCCTCCTGACTTGCTTCGTTGGCGTCGTCTACTTCTTCTACACCGTCTGGGTTGCGCCCTACTTCCCTCAGAAGCGCAAGTCTGGCAAGGGTCCTGAGAAGACCTCTGTGTCCAAGAAGGCCGAGGTTGCCGTCGAAGCCCCCAGCAGCCCCGCCGTCTCCTCTGCGACCACCTACAACGCGGAGTGGATCCCTGCTCACCACATCAACCGTCCCGAGGCTCGTAAGGTCAAGGGTAGCTCCCGGTCTAAGAGCCGTGCCTAGATTGGCAGTACGGTGACGGTCATGTGAGAATATTGGGAGAGGGGTTGAAAAGCCTCGTTGGCTTTGGGAATACTTTGGTTTCTGTCAACGAGTCTTCTGTATAATTAGCGACTTTGGGCGAACAAGATTGCTGAAAATGCGATCTGCCTCGAGTGGCTGCTATCCATGGTTGGAGCATGTATAGTTACGGCAAATTCAACCGAATCAGTGTAGCTCTTAGAACACTTATTCCTACGATCCTATGCAAATATATACACAATCACTCGGTTGACGAGTAGTCTTCAATGCACAGTGATTGAGTGTAGGTAGTAACTAGAGTAAATCGCTAGAACGTGGTCATATCTCTACTCTCCACGTCTCGCACCTATAGTCCTCTCCACTCGTTGAATTCCTTCTCCAAGTGCTTTTTCAACTCGGTGAATTTGTTCCCAAAATCACGGCCACAACGCCAGCATTTAAATGCGTACCTGAGATAGCCCTTTCGATCCGGATCTCTTCTGACATCATCCCGCGCCAGAGGAAAATCCTCAACGTCAACGAGAAACGGCGTGGCGAAGCTATTGTAATGCTTCCTATGCTTCATGCGATCGCTGAACAGATCCACAGAGATAATATGGATATGTAAATGGTTCATGGACGGATGCGCATGGATCCCGCACATGATTTCCTGCTCCCAGTTGCGTCCCGGCGGCAGCTTCTCCGGCGGCGGATCCGCATCCAGCGCATCCAGTCGCTTCTTATCCTGCGCCGAATACTTCCCATGTAAGCGTCTGAGCTCACCCGCAGCCAACGTGCGAATCTTCTTCGTCTCCGCCTTCACTTTATCCAGGAACACGGGGTCTTCGAAAGCGTCGAACGGATGTAGGCGGGTCTTCGCGGGATCACGGGGGAGGAGAAGTAAGTGGAGGGTGGATTTGGGGTAGAGGTCATGGATGACGACGAAGTCCTCGTTGTAGTATACGACGACGTTGGAGGGGTATGACTCCGGCCTGGCGATGTAGGCGCCCAGAGCATCCCGCGGCCCACCGACGGCTCTCTTGTCGCGTGATTCTCGATCGCTCGTGTGTTTCGGTTGTTTGGGTTTGGGAGCAAGGAGCTCTGCGACTGGACCAGCATAGGTGTTAGTTCGCGCTCGTCGCGACGGGGTGGGGAAGGGAAGGAGTTGGATGGATGAATGAAGCGTACAGGCGTCTCGCTTTGCGGTCTTCCCTTCTTGGGTCCCCGACTCAGGATTAGCGCTATCCATGCCCACAGTGGGCGAATTCTTCTTTTTGGGGGACATGACGAAGGGCGGATTGGCGAGTGGTCATGGCTGGGATCTGTGGAGGAGAAGAAAAAGAAGAAGGAAGGAGAGAATGCGCAGGTTGGAGAATGCGGGCGGCCGACGACCTTTCCTGATCGGCTCCCCGCAGCCCTACCTTAAGGAATTCTCCGTAGTTGATTAAGTGCGGGACAGCCCAACTCGCCTCCTAGCACCTTTTCCTTCCTCTTTATAGTCATTACCCTCCACGACAAGCTCGGTAACTGACTCCACGGGCGTCTGTTTCAGTATATTTGTCGGTCGGAAAGAGAATGGGCCCAAAGAAAAAGGCCGACGCCCGTGGAGGTGCCCCCAAACCGGGGACGAAGCAAGCCAAAGCGGCCGCCGAGCGATCAGCGGAGGCCGCAAAGGCCGCAAAGGCCGCAAAGGCGCCTCCTGCGACGGACGAGCCGAAGAAACCCTCCGTCAAGGAAGTCATTGGCGGTGCATCATGGACGGGCAAGTTGCCGGTCAATATGCTCTCCGAGCACTGCCAGAAGCAGAAGTGGGAAAAGCCTGAGTATACGATGGTGAGTGGCAGCCGACGCCGTTGACACGACTCCCACCCGTCGCGCAAATATATCTTGAGCTAATCGGTCATCGGTGAAATAGGCAAAAACTCCAGAAGGATATATATCATCGGTCATCTTGAAGCGTGTCGATCTTAAGACCCGGGAAACGACCGTTCTTCCTCCCATGAAACCACCTCCGTCCCACAAACATCTGACGGCGCAAGCTACTGCGCTGGAAGCTCGCCATTTCGCCGCGGCGTATGCGTTGTTTCGAGTGTGCAACATGAAGAACTTACATATGATGCTTCCGCCGGCATACAAGAAGCTCTGGAAAGAGGATTTCTCGCAAATAAAAGCCGCAGACAGTAAAGAAGGCAAAGGCTGGATGTACGAGGCCGATCCTTTCCTGGCCAAACAAGAACGAGAGAGTGCCGCGGCAGACCTCGAGAAGAAGCGCAAAGAGCGAGAGAAAACCAAGGCGAAAGAAGCTAACAACAAGACGGTCGATTTGGGGCTGGGATCGGGATCCGGTGGTGAAAATAAAGGGAAGAGAATCTGGTCGCAAGCTCCGAAAGTGGACATGGGAAACAGGGTTCGTCGAGATATCGAAGGCTTGTTGCGCCAACATACTATCTGGAATCCCTACAATGTGCGGATTCCGGAGAACGAGCGCAAAGCCATGATCGACGAGTTCGCGCGTTTAGGATTCCGACGCAGCCACGTTGAAGAGGCTGCCGCCGCCTGCAAAGACCGCGAAGAAGTCCTCGAGTGGCTTCTGATCTACGTTCCGGAGGATGACCTGCCTTCCTGGTGTCTACCAGAGAGGTATTCTGCCGGCGTGAGTCTCGCGAGCGATGACCTTGCAAAAGAGGCCAAGATCAAACGGCTCTCTGCTGTCGGCTACCCTGCCGACCTTTGCTCGCGCATCCTAGACAGCAAGCAAGGCGACGAGCTTGCGGCCGCAGAGTTTCTACAGGGTACTCTGGTACATGGGGAGAGTGCCTCTACCGACTCAACATCCGTCGAGGATGCTGAGGATGCCTGGACCGAAGAGCAAGAGACCCTGGAAGCCATCTTCGGGGAGCGCTACCGTCGCATCTCACCCAAGGTCTGCGAGATACAGGGTGAATCGCCAAGCGCTCTAGAAAACATCTCATTTCGCTTCCAGAAACCCTCCGGTCATTATCCGTCAGCAGTGCCGATCATTTTACTCCAGACCAAAGATATCCCGGCTTACATCCGCCTGAGTGCTATCCGTCAGGTTGTCCAATACTCCGAGGAAAACTTCTTGGGTGAACCAATGATATATGATATATTAGACTGGCTTGAGGTCAACTTCCCTGCAGTCATGGATAATCCAGGCAAACTACGAGACATTGCCACAATCACGGCGGCTCCGTCAGTTTCAACGTCTACCGTGGAAATGCCTGTTCGTCAGTCGCGCAGAAAGGCCACGGAGATCACATGGCAAGCAGGGTCACCGCAGAGTCTTTCTATTCGCGAGGCATGGGAGGCTAAGCAGTTAACTAAAGCCCAGCAGGATATGATGCAGAAGCGAGAAGCACTTCCTGCGTGGAATATTCAGGATGCCATTGTCCGGGCCGTCAACAAGAATCAAGTCACCATCATCTCTGGTGAAACAGGAAGTGGTAAGAGTACTCAGTCGGTGCAATTCGTGTTGGATGATATGATCCAGCACAACTTGGGTGGAATTGCGAACATAATCTGCACGCAACCACGAAGGATCTCTGCCCTCGGCCTTGCAGACCGAGTCAGCGACGAGCGATGCACATCTGTCGGCGAGGAAGTCGGATACATCATTCGCGGTGACTCCAAGGTCAAGTCCGGCGTCACGAGGGTTACATTCGTTACCACCGGTGTTTTGCTCCGTCGCATACAATCCGGCAGTGGCGCCGATGGCAATGTCGCCAGCTCTCTCGCGGACGTCACTCACGTTGTGGTTGATGAGGTCCACGAGCGGAGTCTTGATACCGACTTCCTCCTGGCTCTCCTGAGAGACATTCTCCGTTTCCGCAAGGACATCAAGGTTATCCTTATGAGTGCAACGCTTGACGCCAACATCTTCATTAATTACTTTGGTGGCCGTGACCGTGTTGGTCTGGTGAACATTCCTGGACGGACATTCCCTGTGGATGACTACTATCTGGACGACATAGTCCGCGACACTGGGTTTTCGCCGGAGTTTTCTGAACGGGACTTCGACGAGGATCCAGCCTCGTCACAGGGCGACGAGTCGCTCGGCAAACTTCTTCGCAGTGTCGGCATGGGAATTAACTACGAGCTAATTGCCTCAACGGTTCGTTACATTGATGCGATGCTAGGTGATCAGCCGGGAGGCGTGTTGATCTTCTTACCCGGTACTATGGAAATTGAACGATGTCTGAACGCCGTGAGGAGGATCCCCAATGCCCATCCACTGCCCTTGCATGCATCTCTCCTGCCAAATGAGCAACGGCGTGTCTTCCTCAGTCCGCCAAAGGGTAAGCGAAAGGTCATCGCAGCAACCAACGTCGCCGAAACCTCCATCACCATCGAGGATATCGTCGCTGTCATCGATACTGGCCGCGTCAAGGAAACGAGCTACGATCCCAAAGACAACATGGTCCGACTCCAGGAAGTGTGGGCCTCCCAGGCCGCATGCAAGCAGCGGCGTGGACGTGCCGGTCGTGTCAGGGCTGGAACGTGCTACAAACTCTACACGCGCAAGGCCGAAGCCAGCATGGCAGCTCGGCCGGACCCTGAAATCCGCCGCGTGCCACTCGAGCAGCTCTGCCTGTCCGTCAAATCCATGCAAGGAGTGGACGACGTCGCCACGTTCTTAGCCAACACCATCACGCCACCGGAAAGTATAGCCGTTGAAGGAGCCCTAAGCTTCCTGCACCGTGTGGGTGCACTTGACCACGACCGACTCACAGCCCTCGGACGGTACCTCTCCATGATCCCGGCCGATTTACGATGCGCCAAACTGATGGTCTACGGCTCCCTCTTCGCCTGTATCGATCCCTGTATCACCATCTCCGCTATCCTCACCGTCAAGAGCCCCTTCGTCTCCCCTCGTGACCGCCGCGAAGAGGCCGATTCCGCACGATCCTCCTTCTCCAAGGGCGACGGAGACCTTCTCACCGATCTAACGGCCTACCAGCAATGGTCCGAGCGAGTCAAGGCTCATGGATACTGGCAGACGCAGTCCTGGTGCGGCGACAACTTCCTCTCGCACCAAACCCTCCGCGACATCTCGTCCAACAAAGCCCAATTCCTCACCTCGCTGAAAGATGCCGGCCTCCTGCCCGTCGAGTACTCGGACTCCTCCAACTCCAGCACCGATCCCCGCTGGAACCGCAACACCGGGAACCGGGCTCTCCTGCGCGCCTTGGTCGCCGGGGCCTTCCAGCCCCAGATCGCGCAGATCTCCTTCCCCGACAAGAAGTTCGCCAGCTCCGTCACCGGAACTGTCGAGATCGACCCGGACGCCCGCACCATCAAGTACTTCAACCAGGAGAACGGTCGCGTCTTCATCCACCCCAGCTCGCTCCTCTTCTCGGCTCAGAGTTACCCCGGCGCGGCCGCATACCTCAGCTACTTCACCAAGATGGCTACCAGCAAGGTCTTCATCCGTGATTTGACCCGTCAGTTCTCCTCCCCCAAAACCACCCATTATCACCAAAATAATACCCTACCTACTTACCTTCCAACTAACACAACTGTACAAATAATAGCTTTCAACGCCTACTCCCTTCTCCTCTTCTGCGGCTCCATCTCCCTTGACACAATGGGCCGAGGTCTCGTCGTCGACGGCTGGCTCCGACTCCGCGGCTGGGCTCGCCTCGGCGTCCTCGTCTCCCGACTCCGCATGATGCTAGACGAGATAATCGCGTCGAAAATCGATAACCCGAATGAGGGCAATGGTAACTCCTCGGCCACGGCGAACCAGGTGATCGAGGTGGTTAAAAGGTTGATTGAGTTTAATGGGTTGGATCAATGAGTCAATGAGTTCAATTTGAATATTGAATCTTTTTGGTTGAGCGTGTTGCGTGAATCGCTCTTCGGATATATATCAAAATAGATAGATAGAAGAGGATTTTTGGTTCGTTAGAAAAGTTGGCTTATGATCGAAATGATTGCTTTTGATTAGTTGTTCTTGGAAAATGAAGTATTCAAAAGAGGCTTGGATAGTAAATACCACGAGGCTTCTATGGCCTGTCCTGTTTGCTCTTAATATCAATGATAGGACTGGCTGAGCGGTCCATGTAAGCGTCGGGCTTTTCAAAGCTTGAGCATTGCCCCATCGTACCAAGGAATATATAGCCGGATATCTTAGCACAACAATATTATAGTCGTTGAACCCTTACGCTTAGAAAAACAGCTGGAGATAAATGAATCCAATTCGACTAGTGTATGCGCCATAATCCTGGACATTAACCCATGATAAACAAAGAAAATACGGGCCAAAAAGAGCAAAGAGAACGACGGGCAAAGACTAAAAGAACAAAGGAAAGAAAACCTCGAAGAGTCGTCGAATCGACATTGATCGCATGAGACGAAAATCAACACACCGGGGGACGTGCAAGTCATGACACTTGGGCAGATGGTAAGAAAATATCACATACAAAAGAAACGAAGAAAGGGTATGACAAGACGAGAAAAGAAAAGCAAAGAAAATTAAAAGAAAAAGAAAAAGCAAGTCCATCATCCCAATAACTCCCCAGACCCGGATTGATTGCATGCATGCATGGCTTTCATGTCATCCGATTTCATTAAGTAGATTCGAAAAAGAAAAGAAAAGAAAAAAACTCCACCCATTCGAAACCCGGTTTCTCCGATCTTGTCGCCTTGTGTTGTTTTGTTGGCGTCATATTGTATCCCAAACGCGTGTAAAGGAAAGAGGTGAATGTAAATGCAGGTGCGAACTCATAAAACGCGTCAAACGACGAAATGAAAATAAGGAAAGTCGTGATAAAAGTCGATGATGAATAAAGTGTAGGCAGAGAGCCTTAAGCACGCTTCCAATAGTCAGAGTGTTGGCTGCGATCGAAGATGGAGCTATCCTGAGAGGTTTCAGGCAGTCGGAATCCCTTGCGCATCTCAGCTTCGGCGAAGAGAGAAGCACGCTTGAATTTCCTGTCCGCGTATTTGTCATAGATGGCCGCATGGTGCTTACGAGGAATCTCGCAGCATTCCATCATGAGCGATATAAGCGGAAGCAGCTGGGAATACGTATAACCTGCATAGTGGATATGGGCGGCAGACTGTCATCGTTAGAACATCTGAAGGCAGGGAAAAAGGTGCAGGACAAGAACATACCCATGATCCCTTTCTAAGCATCATTCTGGCGAGGCAATGGGCACCGGCAGCGACAAAGCTAGGGGGGCTGCCCACGAAGCGTTCATCCATGATGGTGATCTCCAGGAAGTACTTGGCGAGAGTTCGAGTCTCCAAGTCATAGTCGTCGGCCTTGCTGACCTTGCGCAAGAAGCTCATGGGGCCGGGCCATCCGAGTTCAAACTGCAACATGCTCAGCATGAAGCGTTCGGCCTTAAGGATCTCATCGGCCGTATAGCCTCCGTCAACCATGTAGACGATCTCGCCCACGGAGGGACAGTTGATCTCCTCGTACTTGGCAGCGATGAAGATCGCCGTGGCGCCCACAAGCTGCAGCTTGCCCAATGAGACAATCTTGCACGAGAGGAAGCGATCGATGTAGTTGACACACAAGAAAAGCGTCTCCGGAAGCAGGCCGAAGCGGTGGTGGACCTGCACAAGCCAATCCATCAGCACCGAGCGCATTGACCACTGGATCTCGGCCTGGTTATCCATGTAGTGAGCATTTGGTAGCATTTTAATCTGGTAACGCAGGATACATTAGTCACGGCATACGATAAGATGGGCGCTCTCGAAACACTTACCTCCTGCTCCTTCATGTAATCGAAGATGTCTTCGTTGTAGTCAGCCACCATGTTGGTATCCCAAAGCTCTTCTTCAATGTCCTCCTGTGTTCGACTTTCTTCGACGATCTGCTTTGCGCGGGCCAGCTCTCGCCTGACCTTCTGTGTAAAGCGAGGGAAAAGCATGGCCGTGGTTGCGCCAGTCGTGTTATCCCCGCGAGAACGATATGAACGAGCTGTAATGTATCCATCATCCTCCTCGTTCTCGTCATCTTCTTCATCCCAATATTCCTCGGGCTCCGACTGGAAGGCGACGTGTTCAACACTATCGCGAGGCTTCGCGACGCGGTCCAATTTGGTGGCGGCTGCGTGGGATTCTTCGGTCTTGCTGATGTGTTTGACGCCCTGGATCTTGCAGTCATCATCGTTGACCTTCGATACATCATCCTCTTCCTCGGGAAGATCGGAAAGAGCAATGGATGGATCCAGCTCATCCGAAAGCGGCTCTTCCAATTCATCTTTCGATGCAACCTCTTCCTCCTGGGCGTCTAACTGAGAAGGCGCCGTCGGCGCGTGTTTCGCTTCGTTTGATTCGCTTTTGGTTTCCTTGGATGTAAGTGTTTTCTTCTCTGCTAGGGGCTCCGAGGGGTCTTTAAAGATGGTTCCTCGCTTGTTGAGGGTCTTGCGGGCGTTGGCGGTCTGTTGCGAGACTCCCAGCTGCTTCGCGGAGGGCTCGAGGGGCTTAGGGTTGGACGCGTTGTTCAACAGGCCCTTCAGTCCGCTCACGGGCTTGGGACGCTGGGCGGGCTGAGAGAGCGCGGCCTGCTTCTTCTCCACAATCACCGCCGATGGCTTCTCCGATACCTTCAGTTGTTTCTTGCCTGCAAGAGAGGCATCGTCTCGGCTGCCTTGCACCAAGTTCGCGGTGTTGCTCACGTCTCCAAAGGCAGCTCTCCTAGGAGCGTTCTTGGGCCCGCCATTCTGGAACATGGTCGACAGGGCGGGGGTGGACTTGTTTTTCTGGTGAACGGTCTTGCCGGTGGCGAGAGGAAGGGGGGCATTTTCGTCTCCGCGGACGCGAATTCGCTGGGGCTGTCATTGGTTATGCTCAATCAGTTTACAGTCATACAACATGTAGTTGCGAGCGCAGCAGGTACAGGTGAGAAAAGACGGATATGTGGCGCGTCGAAATTTCCCGACCTACAGACGGGCCTCGTCTCTAGCGACAGACCAGATGCAGGGCGAGGAGGGGAACGATGCAATAAAAAAAGAGAGCAAACATACCTTTGCGTCCATACTGGCACCAGAGGGAGGTTGAAGCCTTCACCGGACCGCGTGTGGGGAGGGTTGGGGGAGAGCTGGTCGATTGTTTACCTCTTCGCAGGAGTTCTCCGTCGAGCTAAACTTATACTAAAACCAGCCCCAAACAAACAACAAAACCCGTGCCAAGAGAATTCTTGTAGGACGGCGACGCAGGGATTGTCGAGAGGGATCCGAACCACGACGGAAAGAAATCGACGCAGCGTAGATACACGAGAGCAACGGGAGTTGTTGAGACAGGCTGGACGAGAGGGAGGAAAGTAAAAAAGAGAACGAGGGAGCAGCAAAAGACGATGACCGAGCAACAACAGTGCCTGAGGGAACTGGCAACCGCCCCGTCTCACTGGTGATGGCCGCATTGCCCAATCCGGTTACTTCCTTACTTGGTTACCGTCAACAACGGACTGCCGCTAAGCCCCTTCCGGTCCGCCCGCGGAATGCTTATGTCAGGCCATGTTTGTCTCGTTTGCACTGGCCTTGGCCCATGACATCATCCGTCGCGTCTTCTCCCGCCGAGCGTAAAGAGCTTCATCACGAGAATATCGATTAAAATGGTGTTTAATTCGATGGAAAAAAGAGCACAATAATTCTGACATACATGCGACATATCCCTATATCCAAATGTCCTCCCCCGACCCTTGAATGAAGCGTTGGCAGGATGCAACCTGTCCAGGGTACTTTACGCGCCGCCCGACACGGGGGCAGCGCCCATTAAACGCGAGAACACGTGACCGTCCGTCGCCGGCTTCGCTGCGTCGTTCGCCGCGGGATTCGAGACCGTCGACACTTCTGGCACCTGCTCATCCACGCATCTTGGCCTTCTCATCCGACCGACTTTCTCCCGTCAGTCTAATTATGCATCAGATTGAGTTTAAGGACAACGGTTGATGGTAGACAATCGCCGAAATGCAGTGACCCGGCATCGACCCCGATCAGCAATTCTGCGCAAGGAAGCCGTCCGGTTTTATATCAAGAGGCGAGAAAGAAGGTGGGCAATTATGCGCTGGACAGACGGATTGGATTGGATTCTTTCACGTCGCCTTCTCCGCTCGCGTAAGGGAAAAAAGCCACCCAGGAAGCCCGATCCCCAATGTGGGACGCGGATCGGGCGGTACCTCAGATGAGGCGTGATATCCACAATTCACACAACTTGGTCATTCCCGGACTGAAAAATTGGACCGTCGCCCGTTTAATTCATCGCATGACTTACAAGTTACAAGTTACAAGTTACCACTCATCCGCTCGCAAGGTCCCGGAGACTTTGGGAACGGCGGGTTCGGCGACGACCAAAACAAGCGAACGGGGGGGCGAGGGCCATGGTTGAAAGGGAAAGGAAAGAGTCGGAAAGAATGACACCAATACGAGGGCGGACCGTAGTCAATGGTAAGAAATAAAGGCAGTAAATATATCAACAATAAGAAACAACGTCGCAAACTTTCGGTGTGCGGCCTCAATCGACGACTGCTCCAAAAAAAATGCCCCGCCCAAAGGTCCCCGATGAGGATGATTTGATTTCCTGCCTCTCATTTTCGCTCATTCGCTTATTCTGTATTCTTTTCTTCTTTACCGTTCTTTGTATTCGGCTTGGAGCTATCATGTCCAAAGCCATTACATATGATGTATCTCGGCCTGAGGAACTGAAGGGAACAAGAGTCCCTTGTCGGGTCAAATTGCAAACGCATCTCTCCCCCACCCGGCTAACGGCATCGTTGCGCCAGCTGGTTCGCCTGCCCAGAGACCCTTTCCCTCCGTCGCTTTTTCTTTGCTTTTCCTTCGTTCGCAATCTAGAATCGATGCGACGGCGTTGTCCGTCTCAGATGATGGATGCGACGCTTCCCTTTCCTTCTTTTTACCTTCTGGGGACCCCGGGAAAAGATCGAGGGTCAGCGCGCACGTCGCTGACCAAGATGCGATAGGCGCCGACCCGACCAGGGAAGAGAAAATAGTAGCAAAATAGAGTCGAGTAAGGTGTAGGATGATCCGCCCCGAAGGTGATCCTTACGTAGTCCGAGGGAGGGGTAAACGAACGAGTCTGGACAGGCGCAGATCATGAAACGAGGCAATTGGGCGCGGTCGCTGGCTTGGCTAGTTCTCGCCGATTGCGATGCATGTCTCTGTTGATTCGAATGATCAGGACTTCTTCTTTGCAACCGGTTTGCACGGAAGTTGCATTTCCTCTTCGTTTCGACAGCGTCGCCGGACTCGAGTCATCCGCGGTCCCGTTTGTCCGCCGTCGCTGCCACTTCTCGATCTCTCGGGAAAAGGAATATATACACAGGAAGAGGCCCGACGGTCACCATGACCAGGGTAGCATCCTGAACTAGCATAATAGACCTCTTTTGATATCCACCGGTCTGGACGGTTTCGTACGGGACGATGGCGGCCTGACGGCACGGGCATCCCATGGATGACTTGGCTGGAACCTGGTCGCAATCCTACTTTGACTCTTCTTACTCGTACTCTGATGGATGCTACATATGTCCATTCGTCGCTACACTGGCCCGGCCGCATGGAAGAAATCAAAGAAGAACTGGGAGCGACGATGACGGAATGGATTAGTTAGCTGCCCGGGATGTGATCGGGTCATTCGACGTGGCCGCGCTGAGGATGTGCCATTTTAGTCCGCCACTTCTTGCGCTCGCAGCGAATCATCCCGGTGCGAGGTGTGAAATGTGTTTGGGACCTGCTCTTCCTCATGGGAAGCGTCCGGTAGGATAGAATTGTCTTGAATCCTCCTCGGTCGCTTCTCCAGCAGCACTGGTCTACGGGTTGGTCTGGTTTCATTTGCGCCAGACTGCCATCTCAAGCCGTGTGGATCGCATTGTCGTCCACCGCGCTGGCCCAGCCTGGGCATGAATAGACTCCCGGAACGCAGTCGCAATCAATCGACTCCCATGACTATCAAAGTAGACCTTCGAGAGCACCGGGGGAGGAATGCGATCCGGGTCAAATGCGACCAGGAAATGACGGCGCAAATGCGACGGGAGAACCCAGCCGGTGGATCGACCACGAAAGGCACCACGACGAATTCTTAAAAGATCAAATTGTAGTTTAACAGAAAATAAAATGATCAAATAAAATAACTGTAAATTAGAAGAGTGGAATAGAAGGGTGTATGCAGCGCAGCGAGGGGAGATGGAGTCGAGGCCAGCATTGTCACCGACCCTCTTTAGGTGAAACCCAAACCATCCATTCTCCTCTTCCGCTTCTTCGCTGCTCGACTCAACTTCTTCCTCTTCCTCTTCCCCCCAACTCGCCTGTTCTTTCGCCCTCCTCTGCCACCATCCGCCCTCTCCTATTCATCGACAAGCCTTCTCAGGTATGTACTACACTCTATATATCCTCATCTTCTCCTATTTTCGCTTTTCTCAACTGCCTTCTCCCCCGACTCGCTTCGGTTCTGCATCGACTGCTAGTGATGCCACCGCTGACATGCCCAGGCGCTTCGTAGACAACTCCCACCGCTACGACCTCGACCATCGCCATCGCCTGTTTTCTCTTTTCCTTCTCGAGTTACTTGTATAACTGCGACTCTGGATAATTAGGTTTGATCTGTTATAGGTGCGTCTTTGATGCTCTCCCTCGTCTTCCGAGCGATTCGGGTCGCTTCTCCCACTTCCACTCCCCCCCCCCCCCCCAAACCTGCAAGTCACCCAACAGGCGACCTGCGAGGAGTCGACATCTCCTCTCCATCCCATCCTCCTCCCCGACCATCCATCTTATCCATTGGGATCTCGGATGATGAATTGTGCTGACCTCTGGTTGTCATTTTCCCTAGTTTTCGGCGGCAGTTTTTTTACCCTTCCCTTTTCTTGTCGCTCTCGGTTCTTGCGACTTGGGGTGTTCCCATCCCATCCACAACCTTTCGCCATCATCTGTTGGCTTTAAAACAATCGCGGGTGAGCCATCTAATAGCCAAACCCCTCTGGTTTCCTTGTCGTGGTAGGTTTGGATAGAATTTGCCCCGTATCCTGCGCCCTCCTCCCTCCTCCCTCTGCCTTTTTCTCTCTCTCCTCCCCCACCCAATCATATCTCGTCGCCCGGTCTATTTGGCCCATTCAATATATCGAACATTCGATTAACATCTTCGTCAATGTAGCAGCAGCGTGGCAGTTGATCTGCCCTGCTCCCCTCCATGATGCAGGCTATGCAGTATGAAGGACACGCCGTCCCGGGGCAGTCACCCACCTACCCGAATCACCATTCGCCCCACGAATCCCACCATAGAACCCCCGTCCCCAAGAATGTCGCCTTCGAGCTACTCCTCGATGAGAACTCGAAGGTGCGGGCTCGCATTCCCATGCGAGTGCAGATCTATCCTCACGATACCACGGATTCGATCGTGACGACGGTCAAGAACTTCTATGGCATCTATGATGGCGCTGCCAGCGGTGTTAGCTTTGAAGATGAGCATGGCACCACGCTCATCGCTAGATATGAGAATCTGAGGAATAACATGACCGTGTACGTGCGGGTGATCCCGGTTCAAGCCTACTCGGACGACTATGCCGAGCGCTTCTACGGGCATCTGGAGGCTCGCAAACGCCCCAGTCTTGGCGAACCCTTCCAGATGCTGCCCATGCAAGCAGCATCGGTACTGGATCCGAGCCAACCACCCTCTCGTCCCGGTTCTCGAGTCGCTCGGAAGCGCAGTATCTCGCCGTCCGCGAGAAGCCGTCGGAGCGCTTCCCAGCACAAGCAGCTACCAAGACCTGGCAAGAGCAGGGGCTCGAGCACCCATGGAAGCCTCCATGACGATGCTTCCGGCTACAGTGACAGCGAGGGTGGCTACGGCTCGGTCTCGGGGGCAAAGAAGTCTCGAAGTGAGCAGTTAGGGAGCTCGGATATCAGCATGGAGAATATACTCCAGGATGGCCGTCGTAAACGGCCCAAGTTTGACAGCTCGGTTCGTCAGTCTACTTGTCTCGCATGGGGTCATGCGCTGGATGGGAAAGACGTGCTAACGCTGGGATGCTTCCCCTTTTTCTTTGATTCTAGGAATTACCGTTGTTTGTTCCTCCTCAGGTTCCCCTCACTACTTCGACCTCCTCGATCTCTCCCCAGCGTCGATCTGTCGGACAAGAAGGAGTTGTCTCTCCGTTCGCTCGCCCCGCCCAGCGACCATACAATTACCAGCAACCGCTGCCGTCGCCGCAGAGCTATAGCGAACAAGTATATGCGTACAGCGCCCCGCGCAATTCCGTATATGCCACACCCGCCGTCCCTGACCATGGGCATCGCCTGCGTGATCGGACCGCGACCCAGTCGTCGGGCCAGCTGAGCAACCCGGCGGGTCGAAGCAACGCGCCGGGCGTCCTGCCGACCCCCGACCCGACCATTGCCAGCTGCATCTCCGACGAGGACGTTGCCATGCAGCTGATCCGGCTCGGGGACGCGTCCAACTTCTCGCATGGCCGCACCTCCGCCTCCACTCTAGATGATGCTTTCAGCGGGGCGGCGGATGCAGCCTCTTCTACGGGCGCGACGAGTGACGGAGACGACTTCAGCGAGGAAGATGACGATGATCTTCCTGCGCGCAGCCGACAGAGACTGGAATCCAGCCCGATGCTCCCCCCGGGTGCAACCAAGCACACTCACAAGCGGTTGGATGATATTCTTCCCAGCTTCGACAGCTCCGACGGAAGCTACGACGGCATGGACGACGACTACAGACAGGAGGATCCCGACAACGGCCTTGTCAAGCACGAAGCGGATGACAATACATTATACAAAGAATCAGCACCCAAGCCGAAGAAGCTCAAGACGCGCCCCAACGGCATCGCTTCGAATAAGCCTCGTTCATCCAAGTCGGCCCCGGTGCGCCACAACAAAAGCAGCAAGACGTCCTCCGTGGGCGTGCCTCGAAAGGTCAAGTCGACCTCCAACGCAACCGCTCAACCGAAAGTTGTCATGTCACCGCAGATGGTGAGCCCGGCTCCGACTCGGAAGGCGTCGACCTCTTCCGTCAACTTCCAGCCTCCGCTGGCAGCCGACGAGGAAGACCTCTCGACGAAGCCGCGTTGCCAGCGATGCCGCAAGAGCAAGAAGGGTTGCGATCGACAGCGCCCTTGCGGACGATGCAAGGATGCTGGTATTGGCCTGGAAGGTTGCATCAGCGAAGACGAAGGGAACGGCCGCAAAGGTCGCTACGGTCGCCATATGGGGGTTCCGGTCAAGAAAAGCCTTGATTCTCCAGAAAGCCCCGAGTCCCTACCGATGATAGCCACAGGCCCTCCGCTCTTCGCGAGCGCAGATAAAAACAAGAAGCGCAAGCGCTAGGGCTCGCGATCCTGCAGAGCCCCTGCCAATGGTAGCCACAGGTCCGCTCTTCTCCGCGAACGCAGATAAAAGCAAGCGCAAGCGTTGGGGCTCACGATCCTGCAGAATGCCTCGCTCCGTTGACTGACTGCCCGTGATCGACTCCTCGTCCTTCCGCGCTGGCCATTCTTCTGCTCCTGTATCCATCCTGTCCCAAGCCGAGGTCCCCACGACAGGAAAATTTTGGATTGTCAAAGTTTTTCCATAAGGCTACATAACCACCACTTGATCATCCAAAAGCTCTGCTTCAAACACCCATCTCCTCCGTCTCAATTCCTGTTTCCTCCTTTTCTCCCGTTTTCGTACACCTTATCGCTTAAATTTGGTCTTATCCTTCTTGAAACTACCGTTGTCTATCTACCGTCCATACTTCCCTCCACCCGAGCCTCCTGATGCTCCTCACATTCCTTCCTTGCGATCGCAGTGTTCGTCATGCTACACTCTGCACCCTTGTTTATCATGGATAGTCTAGCGATTGAACTGAGCGGGTTGAACATCTTTGTCGAGTCTTTTTCTTAATCCTTTTTTGGGAGGCGTTCCTGCTGCTGATACTTAACGGACCACTGTTCCAGTGTCACATACATTCATTTATTAGCCTATGTTTGAAGAGTGTGAATTTATCGTTTTGCTCCAATCCTCACATTACTATAGAGAGAGAGAGAGAAACCAGGTGGGAATTGATACAGCCACACCCCTCTCGCTCCTGGCACACCCTCATGTGACCAAAATGTCTAGTTGTGGGTGCCGGCCCTGCGTAGGTAAGGATCTCACCACCACGGTAGGGCTGCGCTGTTAGGGTTTACTCTATAAAGGCTTAACTGCGCAAGGCCGTCACATGGGGATGTGCCAGGAGCGAGAGGGGTGTGGCTGTATCAATTCCCAACTACCTAGAAAGGCGAGGTATGTATGTACAACTGATGCCTGATTTCAGCCTTATACTATATGTCCGTAAACGGACTAGCGTAAGGTATTCTTGTCACGACCGACGTGCCCCGCAGCGAATAAGCGCGCGCTTGTTTTTTTCCGCCAAATTCCAAGTCCATTTTTTGATCTGCCAATTTATTCTCCCCTCTATACTCACTTCTTTTCCCCCTCCCCCCTCCCTCGACCATCTTATCTCTACGCTTGATATCGCTATATTCTTCCTGTCAAAGATCTACCTCTCTTTGCTACCCTGGCTCAAGATTAATCTCGTCTCGGTCTCTTGAAAGAGAGACGCAGAGAGACTCTTTTTGTGCGTCGGAGTCAAAATCAGTTACCTGGTTATCACAGTCTGCTAAACGATCTTCCCCTCAGAGTCATATACATATTATCTACCTACGGAATCGCTATCCTCTCCTCTCATCCGATCCCAAACCAATTCTTACAATCACTCCTACGCCCGTGAACCAAATATTTGCCTGCTTGCGCTTCGAGTGAAATCCGACTAAGAAAATTCCTATTCCGACACCCAAGCAACATGCCCCCCAAGGCCGCAGCCCGTCGAGGTCGAGGCGCAGCTGCAACAGCCACCGCCGCTAGTCGACGGAATGAAGGCACCGAAGGCGCATCCGCCAGTCCAGCGCCGGCACCGGCCGGCGAGACGGGGACGCGATCGAGCGCGACTCCGGGCGCCGCGCGAGCTCCAGTGCAACGACTGCAATCCCTGAAGAAACGTACCCCCTCGGGCAGCATCGCGCCCGCTGCGAAACCGCCTGCCGGTCCGGACGGGGAGCCCGCGAAGCCGACGCTGAAGTATAAGCCGCGAGCGGTGGGCCGACGGAGTAAGGAGGAGCGAGAGGCGATCGAGAAGCTGGAGGCGGAGAGAAATCGCGAGCGGTTGGCTGAGGCGGCGGCGATTCAACGCGGTCGCGGCCAGGACGGATCGCGGGGACGTGGGGGTGCCGGACGCGGCCGAGGCGGCGCAATGGGCTCGGCCGGACCGCTGGGCTCGGGGACGGGGATGGGTGGTGCGCGCAGAGGGCGCGGTGGGTTTGGACGGTTCGGAAATCAGGACTCGAGAAATTCGTCGATGTCGCGGCGGAGTCGGTCCGTTATGGATCTGGGCAGTGGTCATGTCTCTCGAGATGTGTCTTCGGATGAGAGTGATAACGAAGTAAGGGTTAGTATCGATCAGATCAATCTGGAGAGCGACGAGGATGAGCCCGCGCCGATGGAGGAGAAGAAGAAGAAGAAGGGCAAAATGGCCGTGAAGAACGCCGACCGGCATGGCAGCGAGAAGGGCTTGCGGCCGATTCGGGTGGAAAGACATGAGCACGAGGAGCGAGTGGTCAGCGTGAATATGGAATCCAGCTCGAGCAAATCGGCCGAGCTGCGACAGCAGGCGCAAGCGCAGGCCACTCAGGACGATGCTTTGTTCGTGCAAGATGATGACCAGGAAACTACGCAAGAATCGAAGGCGGGTGAGGCGCACGTGAAACAGGAGCCTACGGATGATGACCAGGCCATGGAAGATGTCGCCGCGCACGACGATACGATCATTACCGACGACGGGCTGCTACCGGTCCAGAAGGTGAAGGTGCGCCGGAATCTAGGCTCCCGAGAGACCTCCACCGCCGTCGAGACGCCTCCGGCTAAGGATCCCAAAAGTTTACTACGCACCAAGGAGGATATCGAGGAGTTTGATCGCCACGCGCACGATCTCGATATGATGAAGGATCTCCTGTCGCGAGAGGAGAAAGAAGAAAAGGTACCCGCGAAGGAAAAAGATCCAGATACGGAACAGTCCGAGATGCCGGCGGAAGGAGAATCCGACACCGCGGCTGACGATAAGAAGGACGCCGAAGACAAGGAAGAAGACGAGACGGACCAGGGCAAGCTAGCGGGCCAACTCTTCCTAATGCAGTTTCCACCCATGACCCCCAACCTAGTTGTCCCCGGCGAGAGTGGTGATAACGCCGAGGGCAGCGCAGATAATGCCCAGCAGGCCGGCGCCGAGGTTACGACTACGAACGGCGGGGTTCGCTTCCAAGAACCCGCCGTCAAGAACGAAGACGGAGTGGAAGTGCTAGACGGAGCGGACGAGACGACGGCGAGAGAGCCCTCCAAGGTCGTCACGGCGACGGACTGGCAACTGCCGGCGGGACGTGTGGGGAAGTTGAATGTGCATGCCTCCGGACGGGTTTCGATGAATTGGGGAGGGATCAGCTTCGAACTGGATCGCGCGACGGCGGTAGACTTTCTGCAGGAGGCTCTAATCGTATCCACACCGCCGAATGCCGACGAGGTTGACGCCGAGGACGACAAGCGAGTGTGGGCGATGGGGCAACTCAGCGGCAAGTTCACGGTGACGCCAGACTGGTCGAAGATGTTGTGACGCGATACAGGTCCGGAGTACCACAGATAGAGGCGATACTTACTGCATGAGGTAGCGAGAATAATGACAGGCTGGGATGTGGGATGATCTGCATCGCATCGACTTCGATCATTCGACGAAAGATTCCTATAATTAGCGTGGCTTGCGAGTACATCATAAGGCTGCCTGCGTCGGAGGAAGGACCCATGCGGGCGTTGTCCGAGTTCCCAGCCTGCACGATATGATTCTGTACACCAAGTACACCGTACCTGTACACACTACGGAGTAGGTACACACTACACAGTACACACATGGACACACCAGTGATCGCACCTGCTCTGTTTAGTGTCGCGGCACACCTCGCGATTCCGTCATCGGCGCAACCAAACCGGAAAATGGTGGCCCTCGCGTGGGTGCACCTCCCTTCGCTAACTGGCCGCTCTCATCCCAGCCAAGCCCTAGATTAGGAAAGGCCCCAGGCCGATTGTTCCAGGGGGGACCCCTGCTCCACCGCCTGGGATTGGCCCTGAATCCCTGACAAGCTTCTGTTGGTGGCACGAGACACGGATCGTCTCGCGCTAGTGTCAGCCCAGGCTGACACGGCTGGCCATGAACCAATCATTGGACTCACTTCCAGATCCGCAGTGGGTCTGTTCCAAACACTAACTACAGTTTAATTTCCACTAAATCACTTTCCAGGGCCAACGGGGGCCTGTCAGCGTCTGGCCGTTTTTTCCCTCCCTTTTGCTTCGTTTCTTGTTTTTTCTACTTTTTTCCCTTTTCCCCTGTTCTCTTTGGTGGTTGTGTTTGGCTTTCTCGTGTCGGTCTTGTTATCATAGAATATTATTGTCATTATTTGTTCCTTCGTGTACCTTGTATCTTGTATCTTTTACTGTTTTTTTTTCCCCCTCCTCTTTCTTCTCTTCTCTCCTCTCTCTTCTCTTCTCTTCTCCCTCTGCCTCTTCCCCACTGTAATTGCAATCGGATCACGGCTTCCTCTCTGTCACTCGTCTGGCTGGAACTTGGAACTTGGAAATTCCCTCGCCTGGAAATACGGCCACACCGCTCTCCCACGATTCGCGATCTCTCGTGTCTCCGAATCAAGCTCGATTAGCTATAGATATTCGCCGGTGATCGCTCCGTCGCCCCCAAAGGAATCTCTCCGCTGAAAGTGGTTGGTGGAGCTATTCTCTGCGACCGTCTTCCCCCCTCCTCCCACTTGTCTCTCATCCGACTCCATAACGACATGAAAACCTCGCATCTCCTATTATCGCTCGCCCCGACGCTGGGCCTCGCCGTCGAGGCCAACAACCAAATACCTCCCGCCGTCGCGCCGAGTCCCTCGGTGCCCAATACCACTCCGCCCGCCCCGTTGCCAGAAGTCCAGGTCGCCTCATCTCGAGAACATGGATTCGCGGTTCCCTTCGAAGCTCGCCAGCTACATCCGGCCGCGGTTGAACCGGCCGACGTGACCATTACCGTTGCTGCAGAGGACCCTCTTCCGACGACAGTTCCCGATCAATGGCCCGAACCCTCGCGAGGAAATATCGGACTCAGAGCGTTGGTCGCATCGCCGGGCGTGACGAAGTCGCTACGGGCGCGGAGTGAAGGAACCCTTGGCCAGACGCCGTGGATTGGAATGGCTATCGGGCTGACCTGCACGGCACTCGCTGCCGTGATGCTGGGGTGATCAAGGCCGATTCACCTCGTTGGAACCATTTTTCATTCGCATTGCATTCGAGCATGGTGTCACTGGATGAGACACTTTTTCCATTGCATACGTCGCATACGTCTATCTATTGCGGTCTGGCCCATTTCGTTTGACGTGGGATTTGCATCCGGAGTTTTCTCTTTTCATCTTTTCTTCACTTTCATGACAGACATGGCAACCGTGAGTTACGGTTTCTAGGTCTCTGCTACGAGCGTATTTTGCATCCATTGCGAGCATTTGATCGGAGGCCCTGGCTCACCTGGGGGATGCTCAGGCGATCTCTGCTTCTGATACACTTTTTTCTTTCTCCCCCTTTGAACTTTTCTTTTCTTCTTGAGCATCGGCACATCCTGGTTCTCATACCCAACCCGACTGATGTATAGACAGGGTTAGTGACGTTTGGTGTACGTGTACATGATACCTCTTATTTATTGTTCTTTGTCCTACCAGAGACACAGGCTCTCTGGGTAGGATCTATATACTGTTACTATTACTGTGACTACTGTATCTACTGTCTAGGTACTGAGATTTATGCATGATGATCTAAATTCTTTTCTTTCTTCCCGAACTTCTTTGACATTCCGATTACTTGCCATGTGCCGCCAATCATCGTGGGCAGAGGCTGTTCTTTGTGCCCCGACACCTCCATTTGCGGCTTAGTCGGCAGGAAATTCCCCGGATTTGAAGAAATACGAGTTCGCCTCTTCCTGGTCCGGGACTTTTCTTTATCTTCGTCTTCTATCTTTATCTGCCCCTCACTTGACATTTAGTGGCTTCTTTCATCCCTTCTCACTCTCGTCGCACCGAGGCCGTCCCCTCCCTCCCCGATAGGTAGAATTCATTCCCTCGCAATATCAACCAACACCACCTACCTTACCTTACCCAAGCACGAGCAACCTGTCAACCACCCCTTCCTCGATCAAAACACAAATAGACAGCAAACCTACAGCCTAGGGGGAAAAGGAAGCGGAAGCAAAGGACAACACAATGCCCTCCAAACACGAAATCCCACCCACCAATCTCCCCGACAACATCCCTCCTTATACGCCCATGTCCTCTCTCGGTCATGAACTGGGTATTCTGTTCGGGTTCCTAGTCGCTTGCTTTGTCATTATGGGTGTTTATATTGTTGTTTGGAGGGGTATGTATACATTATCTGTTTCCTTCCGTCCTCCTTTACTATGGTTATCGTTGGTTTTGTTTTATTTTGTGTCGTGCTTTGATTCCATGAAACAAAACAGGTAAAAAAGGGGACTTTGGAGAAAAAGAGAGAGTCTAACATCAACATCTAATACAGTAATCGAACGCCGCGAAGAACACCGCGAAAAAGTCCGCCGCGAGGAATTGACCGCCAAAGGGATCCATCACGGCCGGGGCGGCGTCCACGAGAAGATGATGGATCGGGATCGCATCGCGCCGTTCGAGAGGGCCGAGTTACCTGGGTATTTCGGCGGGGTTGGGACGGCGCCGAGGGTGGTTCTTGGTGCTGGTGGAGCAACAGCAGCAGGGAGTAGTAGTCGGGCTCATAACAACATGAGCGCGAGTCAGTTGAGGCGTGGGTCGGAGAGGGAGGTGGAGATGGAGAGTTTGAGGATGGCGTTGCGATGAGAGATAGGTTTGAGTTTTGTTTTCTCTGGTTGGGTTTGCTTTTTTATGGAGTTGGGAAGTTTGATCTTTGATGGATGACGATTATGATATGATTATGATTATGAGCAGCATATCTCTGCTATGTGGATGAATGCGAAATGACCGTGCATGAACGTTTCTCGTTATTTCTATACCTACACCCATGAGAATGCCTATAGTCATACTTCAGATATATAGCATCTATATGTGTTTCGCATGCATTTCATTAGCTTCATTTGCCCATCGCAACAAACAGTCGGTCTCCGATATCTCCCAATCCAGGCACGATCATTCCGCGCTCATTGCACTGCTTGTCCACGGCGCCCACCCACAATTCCACGCCTTCCGGCCAGGCCTGGACGGCACGATTCACTCCGGCCTCCGCTCCCAGAATGCCCAACATCACCACCTTCTTCACGCCCCATTCGCGCAGAAGATGAATGGCCGCTTCGGCGGTGGCTCCGGTAGCGATGACCGGGTCCAAAAGAACGGCGATATCGGCGGCGGCCGTGTTGGTGTCTGATGTCTGACGGTGGAATGGCAAGTTGTTATAGTACTCGACGGGCTGGAGGGAGAAGCTTTCTCGGAACAGACCCAGATGATAGATGGGGACAGGGGAAGGAAGGAGATTATTGATCGCTAATGTGGGGGAAAGAGGGGGGGCGGAGAAGCGGTCAGTCAGAGTTGATACGATTGATTGAGAAAAATGAAGCTGCAGGATTGATTAAAGACAAAGGAAAAGGCAAACACACCCTCGATCATGCCCAACCCTGAGCGAAGAATGGGCACCAGTGCCACGTTGGCGGGGTCGATATCTTGGGTCTCATATTCGAGGCCTAACGGGGTTTGATCCTAGGGATACGAATCAGTTGGCTGAGGCTAGACCGAGACAAACCGACGGAGTTTGGTACCGTTCCACGACGGGTGGTTTTCAGGCCGGCTGCAAAGGCCTCGACACCTAGGATGGTAGCAATCTCATTGACGAGATCGCGGGTCTCGCGGGTGGAAGTGGATTTGGAGCGCAACTGCGAGAGCTTGGCCTGGAGACAGGGGTGAGAGGAGACGTGGACGTTGGGAGGCAGCGGCATTGTTCGGTGAATGGGTTGAAGGTAGATAGATTAATTCGGGAGTGGCAGAGAGACAGGACAAAGAAGACAATGAGGCAAGAAGAATAAACAAGGAGGAGGGGAAGACGAGAGGAAGATGAGGGGAAAAGAATGTGGGAAAGAGGGGAGGTCACCTGCCTGCTTAGTCCTCTTCCCGATGACTGCTCACATTCTTGTCTTTTCTTCTTTCTTTCTTTTGTCCTTTTGTCTCTCTCTTTCTCCCTCTACCTGCACCCTCAATTGGTTTGGTTTGCATGTCAACACGTCCATCCAACGGTCAACTGCCTATACATCGCCGGGTCTCAGCCCACTCCAATCTCGATGGATCGATCTCCACCAATCCCGACCCCGACCCACTTGCTACCCACTACCTATGCTTGGACAGTGCTAAGTGCAAAACCTCCGTCATCACACCCAATTTCTTTTTTCCTTTTTTGCCCTTCCTTGTCTTCCGTTTGCACCCAGAAATGTTGACCCGCCATGTCCAATGCCAACGCCATCCTTGACACTGGCGCACCTCCTCCAACTACCCAAGATGCGACGCAGCGTCACGCCGACTCTCTCCCTCCCACCAACGATAAGCCTTCCGTCACCCAGCCCCTCGTCAAACATGCCACGCAACTCTACACCCTCTCCTACCTCGTTTTCTTCGCTATCTTCGGAACCTTGGCACGTCTTGGCCTGCAGGCCCTCACCGTCTATCCTGGCGCCCCCATCGTAACGGGTGTTCTCTGGGCTAATGTGGGTGGATCCTTACTGATGGGCTTCTTTTTGGAGGACAAGAACCTCTTTCGTGAAGAATGGGGTAGCGACGACACCTTCGCCAACCACCCTGGCGACGCGACCGAGCAGGCCAAACGACACAAATCCGTCAAAAAGACCATCCCCCTGTATATCGGCCTCACCACCGGATTCTGCGGGAGCTTCACCTCCTTCTCCTCATTCATTCGCGACATCTTCCTCGCGCTCTCCAACAACCTCGCCGACCCGTCCGCGCCCACCATCTCTTCGCGCAATGGCGGGTACAGCTTCATGGCCCTCGTCGCCGTCGTCCTGGTCACCGTCGCCCTCAGTCTAGGCGCTCTCATATGCGGCGCGCATCTCGCCCTGGCCCTAGATCCCCTTGTCCCTGCGTTCCCCTTCCGCTTCACCCACCGACTTTTGGATCCCCTGTTCGTCTGTCTCGGCTGGGGGTGTTGGTTGGGCGCCATCTTCATGGCTATCTGGCCACCCGATCGCCACGATGCCTCGCCTGAGACCTGGCGCGGACAGGCCATTTTCGCCGTCGTCTTTGCGCCATTAGGCTGTCTGGTACGCTGTTACGTTTCCTTGATGTTGAACACTCGTATCCCCGCCTTTCCCCTCGGCACATTCGCCGTCAACATCGGCGGTACCATCATCCTGGCCATGTGCTTTGACTTGCAGCGCGTCGACGGCCTAGGCACTGCGCTCTCCTCCAGCGCAGCGTCCTCATCCATCCTCACGAGCTGTCAGGTGCTGCAGGGCGTCATGGACGGGTTCTGTGGCTCCGCCACCACGATCAGTACCTGGGTCGCGGAACTGAATGGACTAGGCCGTCGTCGCCACGCCTATACCTACGGCGTCGTGAGCATTGGCGTCGCCCTTGGGTTCTTCGTCATCATCGTAGGCTCTTTGCGATGGACGCTAGGCTTTGTAGAGCCTGTTTGTTCAACATGACCAGTCAGTCGGTCGGTCTTCTTTCATCGGGGCCAATCACCATATACAGCAAGATAATGTATAACATGTAAACTACCGATTTAGCAGAACTAGACGTTACGAGATGTTTACAACTCTACAATTTAATGACCATGTTTTATCCCCGCCAAACCAACTTATATTTTGTGCTAGAATTACTTATAGTACAGGGTACTACAACGCAAACCATGTGCAATCAGAAAAAGAAAAAACGAAAGAGCAGATAAACATTATCAACGCAGAAGATTTTCAAATAAGATGGAAAAAATGGACAAGAAACCAAAAACTAGAACATCGAAACATGCATGCAAGAGAAAAAAACGGAATATCAAATGAAAATGGAGTTGAAAAAGAGATCGCAGACATCAGAAACGATAAACACAGCGGGGACGGCATAAACACATAAACTCAGAACGGTTCTAAATCACATACATTAAAAGCAGAAGTTCAACAAAAAGATAATCAAAAAGTGGAGTGGAAAAGAGAGACTTGGAAAGAAGATTGGAAAATGGGAAAAAGATAAGTATATAAACGGCGAGGTATCAAAATGGTCCGGGGACAAAATCGACAGGCAAATTGACCAAACACGCTGGATGCGTAGAGAAAAGTAGGAGCACTAAGGATTAATAGCGTAGAAATGGATATAGAAAGAAGCAACAACTCCACCGAGTGCTAAAGTGAAGAACACACAGGACCAGCCGGGTGTCGAGATGTTACCTTGGAAGGGGGAACAGCCCATAAAAACAAGAAAAGTGACCACACCGGACTCCCGTGAGCTCTTGCAAGATGAAAGACGAGAAGAATCAGGAGAACGCAATGAAAAAAAGAGAAAAAAAAAAAAGAAAACGTCGCGAAAAATTGAAAAATGCAGTCAGGCAACACCGGCACGAAGCATTATGCAGCGGTTCAGATCATAAGCTTTCCCGTGTGGGAAAAAGAAAAACACTTTGCCGCCCATGCTCGCTCCTTTGCCCCTAACCACAACCCCGAAAAAGCACCAATGTCCCAGGAGTAGAGCTATAAGCTCGGAAAGCGAGAGTGAGAATCAATAGAAGGTGGCCGAAAGACGTGGGTGCCTGAGCACCGATGTTTAAGAGGCCAAAACGAAGTGAAATTGTGTTTCGAAACAGCTGACCCGAAGAGTCTAGTAAGCTGTTCCCACACTGGCAAGTGTCTTGGTTGGCATTGGGTGAATAGGTTGGTCCTTAGAAACGCGCAAAGAATCTTCGTAGCCAACAAGCGCCTGGGAGTGGAGTTTGAACGACTCGCCCATCAGCTTAGTAATTCTGTTAACACCAGTTAGTTATATGATCATGAAGATCTCAATCAGACGAGAAAAGAGAAAAACTTACCCCCATACTACCACACCGTCTAGGATGTTACCCCATACACGGGCCACGGTGGAGCTGAGTTTACCAAAAGCATCAACGGCGTCGTCATCAAACAAATTCCGGACCTTGTTGTAGATGGCCACCTCCGCCTCAGTTGCGGGCTCTTCGTCATGTTCCAGGCGATAGAGCCAGAGGCTTAGGATAACCATCAAATCAAGGCCGCAGAGCGGATGTTCAACACTCCAATTTGTGGCGGATGTTTTGGCAACCCAGTTGATTCCCTGAATAGCGGCGATTTCGATACATTCAAAGCAGGATTGGATGACCTTGTTCATTTCTTGGGACCGTTTGACTTTCTCGCGAGCAACAGTCATGGCCGCCGCGACCTCGTAGGGTGAGTGGTAGCGCAGAGCCTCTTGAATTGACTTCAGGTCAACCTCCAAGCGAGCCCGTGTGTTGCGATAGACGGCCATCGAGTTGAAAATCAGGGGATGGCCATTTTGAGGAGTGCTGAGGGGCACGACAATGGTTTCGGGCTCGCACACTTCAAGCGAGCTTTCCCACGTCTCCAACGCCAGTCGAAGCTTATATTCGGTAACCACATCCTGGAGGGCCTCAAAGCTTCTCTTGTGGTTCCAGACCTGCAAGAACAGGGCGTTGATCAAGACGCGGGTCGCAAAGGCACTGTAGCGGGTCTGCTCGCCTTGGAAGAGGCAATCATGGGCTTCACGAACCGTCAACGAGGGAGAGGAAGCCAGGCTGCGGCGCCAGCCCTCGTCGTCGGTAACATCGAGATTCCACAGCGATTCAGAGGATGGAAGTTCGAGGTTGTCAAATTCATCGAAGCTCATTGCGGGGGTGTGGTTGAAGGTCAGCGTGAGCATGCCGAAGAAAATGTAGACGGCGTAGTAAGTGCGACGGCATGACTCGTCCTCAATCCACTCTTCTCTGGTAGGCTGAGTTCCCTCGCGAGCTTCAGTGCGGAGCTTCAGCTGATAGCGATTTCCAGCAACCATGTTGGCGAGCAAGCTCTTGATCGAGCAAGTCCATTCGAGACCCTTGGGATCACCACTCCAGCTTTCGAAAATCATGTTCAAGAGTGAGCTCTGCATAGCCCACAATGGACACTTTCTCGAATCGAAGTTGTCCTTGTGCTGGAGGAATTGAGTGACGAGCACCTTCGATCCAACGTGAAGCATGAATGCGTGCTGCCGCTCAAAGGTGTACAGGGCACCGATGGAAAGAACCGCGAGCAACAGCGGGGGCGATGTCGCGGTGGGCTTGAAGGACTCTTGGTGCAGGAAAGGCAGATGATGGTGGTAGAGGTTGAAGTACGTCGAGAGATACTTGTTCAAGGCCGCCGTCGACGGAAGTTGGAAGTGATCGGGTAGCGAGCCGAGGGCATCCGCATTGCGAATCCGTTCCAAGATCATATTGCGCTCAACCTCATTTGCGACCTGGGGAGACTTGGGGAGCGTGAGGGCCTGGCTAGGACCGGGGGACTTTCTGTAGTTCACGGGGCTGACGGGGCCTGTCATAGAAGGGTACGGGGATAACGCATTCGGCGTCGAGTTTCCGGACACTGGCAGCGAGTTGACAAGAGAGTTCAGCGAAGGGGTAAGCGCGTCACCCACGGGGCCGTGTCGTTCCATGACCGACGAGAGTTGATGCGAGTCTGAGCCATTTTCTTGAGACGCGAAATGCTTCGTGTCAGCAGGGGAAACCAAAGTGTCCCACGGCATTTGGGGAAGAGTTGCGTTGCCTGAAAGGTACGACACGGAAGGTTCTAGCAGGGAGCCGCGTCCGGGAGAGAACGAGCGATCTGATTCAGCACGATCATTGCTTTGACCGGTGGCAGCGGCAGCGGCCTTATGTTGGAAATCTGTCATCAACATGGCTGCAGTTTCAAGATCGACCATACCATCACTGCTTGCTTCAATCTGTTCTAACGTGGCAGGATCGATTGTGACCGAGGGTTTCGACGGGGCAGGTGCAGGGGAGGACTTCTGAACACCACCGCCACGTCGACGCCCCTCAGAAACAAGCGGTATCCCACCATCTTTCGCATGAACAGTACGGTCATGGCGAAGAAGTAGATCTCGACGAACAAATGTACTCCGGCATTTCAAGCACTTAAACGGTCTCTCCTTCGTATCTGCGACGGGATGCGAGTCAGCGAGGTCCTCTGCGCAGGTATTTTGAAACCCAGAGAAGATATTGGAAATTGTGGGAGAAAAAGCACAAGAAAATATTGCGACAAAGATGTGTTCAAAAATAAGAAATATGTGGGGAGGTAATAGGAAATGCGAGAGATGGAAAATGGCGAGGGGAAGAAGAGGGGACATTCGGGTGACTTACGCGAACGCTCATGTCGGCTTCGATGTTCACTTCTGCTAAAGGCGCGATTGCAAAATTGGCACTTGTACTTCTTCTCTGGTACTGATGTCTTTTTGGCCGGCGAGTTGCTGGCCGTGTTCGGTGCGCTTGGAGCCATATCTTAGGGAACGGGATAACGAAAGCAAAAACGACCGATTCCTTCTCAGCAAAACAACGGCGAAGATTGCGGTATCGTCCCTTTTGTAAGTTCACACCGGTTCTGGAGACGGGTCGACGACAAAAATTCGGTTTGATGTCTGGTCATTCCTTGCGCGGGGAAACACTGGTGGAAAAGGATGGTTCCAAGAAGGGAGGGGTGATCCAGCCACAGGCGGATCAAGAGGGGAGAAAACGAGAAGCGAAGTGGCTGATAAACCACTGATAATAATAAAGAATTAAGAGACAGCACCCCAACAAGAAGAAAGAAGATAGAAGCGGGTGGTTATGATGTTGAATGATGAGGGAGAAAGGGAGGAGGAGGGGGGAGGGGGAGAGAAAGAGAAGAAATGAGGAGGGGGATGTTGAATGGATGAGGAGAAAAAGAAAGTCGCGAAAGAAGAAGAGGAAGCGGTCGAAGGGGGAGAAGGGGAGCGAGGGGGGGGTAAGTTCCTCGAAAGAGCGGCGAGTGGGAGGAAACGCGGCAGGTCGTGGGCAGAAGGCGATGACAGATTCGGGCGATCGCTGGATCGCGACAGTGAGGCGGTCGTGTCCAGTGTCGGTGTTGGCGATTTGGGCGGCGAGAAGCGCAGCAGCAGGGAAGTTGTGGTGAAAGAAAGAGGGGCTGTCGAGGCGGGACTCGCGGAGGGGGAAACCAGACGAATTGACCAGCACACCCGCGTCGCCCACGGCCCACGCACTGGAGCCCCTAATGCCACTCCGGTCACCCACAGATCCCCGCGCGGCCAATGATACGCGGTCTCCGCCTTTCTGACTAACGCCCATCCGGCGCTAAACGGTCTTGGGTTAGACCATGTCCGCCATACGACCAATACGGGCTCCGTACCTGTATGTAATTCTGTATAAACAAACCCAGCCCAGCCCACATGGACTTGTCGCTTCTTTAGTTCGCTTTTTTTTCTTTTAATTTTTGATTTTTATTTCCCTTTTCTAACCCGTCAACCCGGGTCAACCGAAGAGGGTCTACAAAAGACATTCGTTCAGAAATCAGTGGTTTTGGATGTTAGCGAGTCTGATAGGCCTGGTCTCTCTTTTCTTTTTCTTCTTTTTTTCTTTTTCCCATATTTCCTATTTTCCTATTTTCCTTTTCTATAGCACATGTTTCTAACATTCTAGCATCCATCTTATCCACCGGTTAGGTATTAAATACACTTTACCCACAACACACACAGCTTTTCTATCGACTCGTCGAGTATCGAGTCGACGAGTCCCAGAAAACCAGAAACAAAAATAACCCAACGACCAATTGGCCTCGCATTCTCGACCCATGAATTCAAAACCCTGGCTGCACATAATACATACTTGCATGGACATTGGGCAGCACCGTCATCTGTCCTGGACCTGGAATTATCTGATTTATTTCCAACCCTTCGTGATATTACCTATTATTGCTGCCCTCCGACAGTTCCAACCGTGACAATCCCTTCCTTACGGCATTTAGGGTCAATGAAAAGCATTGCTGTTTCCTGCTAGGGTCCGACTCCGACGGGCAACGAATCCAGTGAATCCACCCCGTCAGTTTCTCCCTATACTCCATAGATACTAGTTCATCCATCCCTGTTTAGTGACGGGCCCCCCCTCGCTCGGTTTCTACAGGAGCGACGGTTTAGTCGGAGGAGATAGATTATGATTACGATTTCCATGATTTATGCTGCTGTTTAGTGATTACTGTGATTCCATTATTGTGGGGGGCTCGGTATGAGAGCAACTTCTTCCGGTATGGTATGTAACTCTGTTCGATGGATCGAGGACTAGGCATGAATTCATTATTCAATGTATCCACTCGAAGTATCTTCTAACTTCTTACTCGTACATACTCCGGAGCAGATATCCAATATTCCTAGACAAAAAAACGGTCCAAGGTACTTTGGGCGGCATACACCGTAGTCGACACATCCCTATGGCCCATCCCTATCTGACAGCGCAGAACCATCATCTTGGTACGCCGCAGGTGGCTGCGGGGCCCTTCGAGGAAGATCAGATCATCTTCTCTCCTGTCCTTCCTCTTGCCAACTATTCGGTAGTCGGTACACAGTGATGGACGACAGGCAAAGATCCCATACTCGATAGGGCAAGGGAAATCAGAAACCCATGCTCCGCTGAAGGACGGAAAGTAACAGGAAGGTTAGGGATAGGCTACTGCCATACTTTCCCTCAGAGACAATCAATCACACGCACTCGAACTTTAGCCCCTCCTCTCTCTCTCTCCAGACAACTCCGAACTTTTTTTTTTCTTTTTCTTTTTTGGTAATATGATTTATTTTCTATTTATTTTATTTTCCCCATTTTTCTCGCCCCTCGTCAGCCCCCCCTTGCCCCTCCAACAAGGATCCTACAGCATCAAATGCCACGGAAAAGCTAGGTAGACGACATGATTCGTGAAACCGGCTCCTTTCATTTCCACAGATGCCTCCCTCCTCAGGTACTCCGTACATTTTCATTCCATGCAATCATTCTTGATCTCGACTATCATTTCTTTTATCGATCATTCTTCCCCTGTCATTTTTAAAGGGATGCGCTGATGTTGTTCCTGGTCGGTGGCATTTCCCTTTTCTGTTTCTTTCTCTTTTTTGTATTGTGTAAATTCATAATAATAATAATATTATTATTATTATTTTCTGATCTCCCTTTAATTTCGGAAGGGAGGGGAAAGCAGCTGAACTTAACGTCTAATGATCACTCAGTCACAAACTCCCTCCCTCCCTCTTTGCCCCCCTCCCCCTCCTTTCTCCCTCTGTTTCTCTCAGCTCCCTCTCTCTCTCTTACCCGCCACCCACTTTTTCTGTTATCAAGCACAGCTACCATGGGCAGGTCCTAACTTACCCCTCGGTCCCCTCCTTGTCCCTCTTTGCCATTCATTCTTTTGTCATTCTCTTCCTGTCGGATCCACCGGCCAAACCCCTCCTTTCCTGACCTGGTCAAGAAGGTCCGTCGGTATTCCTACGTAATTAACCCCAGTCATTTGGGAAACCCGCCCAAATCGATCGCCTATCACCGCGGCGCTTTTCATGCGATCACAATAATTTGTACGAACATGATTGCCTACTACTGGCACTAGTTTCGAAGTCGGTGGATCATCCCATCAAGCTCGACCGTTGTTCCAGACTTTTTGCCAACTTGCCAGTAATAACGAGAGCTAATCTGAACCCCTCAAGAGAAGGTTGTCTTCGCGGGCTCACATACTCCGTCTGTGTCCAAGTCCCATTCCCGGCCTCGCCAAATGAGAGTTTCTTTAGGTGTCCCGGATATGCTTGGCCGCTACCGCCACCCGTCAGCACGCAGCAATAGGAGAATATTATGGACGATGTGATATCTTGCGGGAGTTGACAGATCATCATCATCATCATCATCATCATCACCGCCACCAGTTTCTTGGACGACACCGGGACATACATATTATATAGATACCTTAAATTTGAGATCTGATTGATGCCACCTTTTGTCTATATTTCTGTGGGTTATTTTTATTTCTGTACACATTAATCTATTTTTCCCTCGCTCGCCAAAGTAGTGGATAGTGGCCAGGTTGGATCCTGGGTCTAGGCTTCCGTGACATCGGGTCAGCTGCCTCTAAAAGTGGACAGTCATCCAACAGAGCGTCGGTGACATCAGAGAACAACTCCTCCTCTTGCCCTCTCGCATCCCTCTCGTGCTCCGTGTCTCTTCCGTCTACTCTCTCTACTCTACACTCTACAAAATTGGCCTGACGGACAAGCCCGACTGAAGAACCAAACGTCGACAGGCAGGGTCCTACCTTCCAGAAAGGGACGTTTCTTCACTACCGGTCGCGTCGATGGTTTCATGTAAGACTGTATCATCGTCATCAGCCGACACCACGCAGTATGATTGTTACTGTTTTTGGCACTTCTGCACCCAAGTCGGAGATGCGTCAACCTAGCATCAACTACCTGATCCTATCTGCATAAGTGGCATGGGGGTGGGAACGTCCTTATCCCAATTCCCAAGTTTCCCTTCCCCTCCGTGGCTAGTCGTGGTTTGGGTTAGATCGCCTGTGGCTGGCTGCAGCCCAGCAATCGTAATCGCGCCTAACCAGCCTCACTCGGAGACGCGCCCTCGTTCCGCGTCCACAAGGGAGGATCCACCCTTGAAATGGTATTTCGAAAGATTACCGAGTACAAAATACAACCTCAGGTCAGATGATTCGCCGGCGTTGGCCATGACGAAAATGGATCTTCTGTCGTTGGTTCACTTTAGACCGTTGGATAAAGTTCCCGTCCTGGACTCCTTCGGGTTCACGCTGCGGAACGAGGTTTGGAACCAGACCGAGACAACCCATAAACCGTAGTTACCTACTGTGAAGGTCTTCCGGGAGATTGCAGCGTCAACTCTTCGTCCTACCTCAACACAGGGGTTCCTTTGACTTTCCTTGCCAGTCCCGACATCCAAAGAGACGAACGAAGGACTCCGTAAAATCCCGGCACCCTCAGTGGGGCGTATTGCTGAATGGATCCCGAGAAACCCGTCAAGGTCAGAGAGTCAGACGCGGTTACTAGTTACTCGGGGAACGCGCACATGACCTCGAAGTGTGAACTGCTGACTACTCAGGAAGAAGTGTCCTCACTACTCAGTACGCAGAGGATACACTACTGTAGGGACTCTGGACTCTGGAGTCACCCGGTCCCTTTACGGCATACAGCTCGCTAGGAAGATTGTTATCATGATCTCATCGATGCATAGAATCCCGCATCTCAACAACCTCGACGCTGCAAATCGCCCGTCCACTTTTCGATTTCCACAAACCCACTCAGCTCTCAGTTGCCGGGGTTGACCCTGCCCCATCGGTCTTCTTGCCCTAAGACGTCAGCCTCCACCGGTCTTGAGAATTGAGGATTTGAGATGCACGATGATCCAGTTTTCTGTCCTTCTTGCCCACAGGCCCACTTCGCTGCTTAAGTCTAGCAGTCAACCTGCACTTGGCCACGGATACAGTAACCGTACAATACTAGGAGGTACTTTGGCCTCACCGCTTTGAAAACTGCCAGACGCGAGCGAGCGGTGAGTCGGCGGCCTTACGCCTTTCGGTCGAGGGATGAAAGGGGCGGGGTCCATCGCGGTGTCTGGCCCTTTGGCTCTCGGTCTCACGCGTCCAGCCTCTCAATTTACTCTCTCCTCCCCTCCCTTCGTCCTTCCTTCTCTTTTCCTCCCACTAAGATTTCACCCTAACTGCAGAGAGTATTCTATTCTTCGATCCACATCCCGACCATGCAGCGGTCCGACCCAGTAAACGTTGATTGAAGGTACATGTAGGAAAGCCTTCGAATTCGACAAGAATTCTCGTTCTATCGGATCATCCATGTATCATAAATGCGGCCACTCTGGGAAACAATCAATAATAATCAAAGCCCGTTCCTGGCAGGCTCAAGATCTCGAAAATGGAGCGGGCAGTGAGCACTGATATCCGGACGGTCTTAGGGCTTTTTTTCCATTCCAGTCTCCGGCGCACGGGGCCAGAGGGGAGGGAATAGTGCAAAATCCTCCGTGCATACCGATCCAACTATTCATGATCGATCATTTCCCGTCCAGTGCTCCTTTTCTCCGTGCGTGTTGGCCCTCCATCCGTGATTCGGTGGGTTTCTCCTCGAACCGTGTCGCTCTTTTCGATCCATGATTCCATTTTCTTTAATATCTGGATTCTGGAGTAGGGACTTGGATGAATTCCCATGATTGGACCATGCTAGAAAGGGGTAAGATCCAATCACCCCGGAGCAGAGAAGGAAAAGCAGGTTAAGTTTGGATTTCCCTGCAGCTACCCTTTCCAACGACGCAAGTCGATCTTCAAATGTCCACCCAAAACAGACCAGAGCAAAAAGGAAAAAAAAAAAAAAAAGCCAAAAATCACCAAGAATGAATCATGGAATCCCAGCCGACACCCGATTCATTGATCCCAAAGTTCCCCACTAGGTACCGTTGCAGGATTCCAGGAACCTCTTCCCCGATGCCCCGGGGCCTACGCTAGTGACCCTCGGCAGCAAGCAACCCGCCTTGGCTGCCGTCCCATCGTCCCGACAACTTTGAAAACTCCATTCTGGCCTTCCGGGTTAGGTATCCGTAGGAAGAGGTAGTGCAATCCTGAGCATCGCGAGACGGTCAACAGTTTCGAGTCGGTGAAGGGTCGGCCAGGTTCTGGTCTCTCCGACATTGATGTTGGGACCTTGACCGCTTCGATCTTCGAGCCCGGTTTAACACATGGCAGTGAGAATTGGGGATCTTTGGGCTCTCACCCTGCTGGCTCCGGTATCCACTGATTTATTTAGGGCTATGGATCCTGAATAATGGATTCCGAATTACGAGTTGGATATCCATCATCTTACACCGTAGGATTGTTTTTTCAATCTTTCAATTTTGTTTTTGGTTTCCACTTCGTCAAAAAAGAAGCAGGATAGAACGAAAGAATCCACAATTGATCGATTGCGGATACCGTAGTTAGTCCCGTCGGTTTGCTCTCTTATCAATTTTTTTTTTCTTCTCCCGCCTTTTTGGAGGGGTTTTTTTCTTTCCTTCTGTTTCATTGTGGGACGAATTTCGGTCTTTCGTGTCCAATATTGAATCGTGACGAGGCTTGTGCGTGGCTTTCGCTAAAGCGCGATTTCAAACCTAAGCGCCTTTTGCTGTTTTAATTGTTTGTTTGTCGAGTACGGAGTACAGAGTAGGTCATGGCTTGTTTGCTTGTCTTGTCTGTCTGTCTGTCTGTCTGTCTGGTTTGTTCTCGTATGGACTGTAGGTATTCATAGGTGTAGTCCTCTGTTTGATTTTGGTTTTTGTGGATAGAGCGTGAAACAGACTCAATGCATCACATATCCTACAGACTACAGTGAAACAACAAACAAGTAAAGTCAATTGGCAGCATCACGAACCATGGAATCTACCCGTCCCGGCTCCAGCTCCCAATGAAACAGTGAACAATCCCATCCAGTCCGGAAAGCGTGGATGCGTCCGTAGTTCGTTCCATGGTTCATTCCCGCCTGTCAGTCAGGTCAGGTCAGGGAACTTGGAAATTGTTTGGAACGAACTTGTTTGGTTGTTTGTTTGTTTGCTACTTGTTAGGCATCTGTTTTTGGTGTTGTGTTGTGTTACCGGAGGTGTTGGCTTTTCTTATATTTCTTTTCTTTTTTAGTTTGGTGTTGGTTTGTTCTCTACTGGTCGTTTCTGTGTTGTTGATATATCTCTACAGTCGGTATATATTTTGTGGAGTACTGGGTACACCGATAGCAAGATAGGGTGGAATATCCTCATTACCCCCGCTATAAACCTATCGATACCTAATGTAAATATAGATAAGTAAAAGACAAAGTTACCAAATAGCTGGAGTCCAAACCCTGACACTATCTAGCATTAACCCAGTCCAGATGATAACATCGGGTGCGTTGTAAACAGCTCTCCTATCAACCACATACAGTACATACATACATAACTATCTCGCAACGCAACGCGACCACGAAGTAGGAACCACCATAATTGGAAGAAACGGAGTAACTACTGTAGCTACAGAGTATGACATTGAGAAGAATATGTGCATAGGTAACGGCTGGACGAAGAAAAAGTAAGAATGATTGAAGATAAGACGAGCAAACACATTCTAAGCAGAAAATAGGCAGGTAACTCAACTACATAAATCCATGGACATATACTAGTATGCGTATGGGGCATGTACATGACTATGTACGGATACTACATACTGTGCATTCATTTCTATTGACGCCGGACCTGGTTGCACTGCAATATCGTCCAGAATCCAGAGCCTATCGATCAATTCGGAAGTACGGTGTACACTGTACAGACTACAGAGCACAGCATATCCTACCCTAGCCTACCTACAGAGATGTTCCAGCCACAGGAATCCGGAACCACAGATACTGGTTTCTGACAGATACTTCCATGACATTGCAGTACCCAACCAGTCGGTTGATGAATCAGACTCGCGAATCAGGACGGATTCTCCGTAGTCTGGATAGAGAAACCTTCTTTAAGGATGGAAAGAAAAAACTATTCCGAACCTGCGACGTCCGCGCAAGTGAGCCGTCGCAACATGGAACCAACCGTTGTTTTCCAAGCCGGAGGGCCACGGAAGAGGAATCAGAAAAAAGAAAGAAAGAAATACTCCGTACGGCTGCGGCAGACGGAACGAAATTAGAAACGCTCGAAAACCGAGCCTAGAAGGTCTAGAAAACCTAAAATCCGAGAGAAGCTGAGGAAATGAGAAAAAAAAAAGGAGCAGCTGGAAAGTGAAAGCCGGAGATGAGCGTTCTGACTTCAGCCGTTCAGCGTGCTAAACGCGAACTAGAAAAAAGGGGGAGGGGCAGGCTGCAGTGATTTCGTATGTTCCAGACTTTCTTACTTTTGCTTCTACTCCGTATAGAGAGAGACATTTCGCTCTTCCAAGAGAGATTCGTCGCTTTCTGTCTCGTCCTACCCACCACAGACGGGATGGGAGGATCGTCCCTTGGGACCACCCGAGGGGCTGGTCCGATTTGCTTCTCGCCTTTTTCTTTTTCTTTTTCTTTTCTATCCGACTTCCTTTCTGAGAGACGAGGGATGAGGTATCGGTTTCCTGCCCCGGTCGTAATTCTTATTATTAATTTATCATGTTTTGGGAGATTCCGGCGATTGTCCATTGAGATTCGCTCATGGCACCGCCCCTCGTCCCTAGATGAATTTCCTTGTTTGACAAGTTCTCACTTTCTCAGTCTCTTGGAAACCAGACTGCAGTGAATTGGTTTCTTATTGCCCCCCTTGAACCATGTATGTACTGTACCTCCGTAAATCTTCCCCTCCCTTTCATGGCACAGCGAGTCAGCGACAGACATGCACTGCAGACTTACTTGCAGAGGGATGAACTATTATTGCGATAAGCATGCAATTGTAGACAGCATCTGTGAGGGGCTCCGATCCCCCTCTTCCACTTGTTTAATTTTATTTCCACTTTATGTTGGTTTTATCATCTTATATAATCTCTCCTTACTGATTGCCCCTCTCGTGGATGGAGGGGTGGACTGGGTCTGTCTGGTCGATTTATCGATTATTATTGATTATCGCATGCTGGTTGATGTCGATGTAAGGAGCTTTGGGGTCACTTGCCTGTTCCTGGTCGCATTGGGAGGGGTTTGATTTCATTTTGTTCACCGTGCTCTTTTGTCCTTGCTGGATGTTTTTTGGTTGCTTTTGAAGGGGAGGAAGTGCATTTCCCACTTACGAGTCGTTGGCGTAGAATTGACTCTGACTCTACGCTATGGTTGTGGCCTGTATGTACCATGTAGTCGTAGGTGGGACAAGTGGTAATGGGCTCTCGTATAAGTTCTTATTTCTTGTTGTGTTTTCTGCGCAATAGATACTGGTTAATGGGTAGACGCTGGCCTTCCTTCTCTTTTTTTTTTTTTTTTTTTCTATTTGAGAAATAGCAGGCGGGATATGCTTGATCTTTGCTCGCGAATGTCTATATGATTCAAGGACAATATTTACCTTAGAAAGCCGGGGTAGAGATGTTACTAACTCTCGATGAACGAATCTGCTCTCTTATTGCTAGAAACTTTCTCAACTTTCTCTCTTTGGTGATTTTAGGGGCCTACTAGGAAGATATAAAAAGAAATCTCTGCCATACCTTCTGACAGGAATTGTATACCTCAATGAAGGTACTAGACGATAACAATTAAGTGAAGGATTGAGTGCTATCGCAGATCCAGATAGGCTGTTTATTTCATCAGTAATGTGCAAGTGGCAGTTGAATTCTCTAAATCATTGACTGTCGACCCATTCGAGGGGTAAAATATAGGGCAAGATGGGTTCCTTTCGGCTAGCCCTAAACAATCCACCATCCATAGTCAATTATTCTAGCAGCATCTTGGAACTGCAATTCCACTCTAACATTGATCCATGGTTCAAGCCAAACTATGAAACTCAGAACCTTATCTAAGCCCCTGACATCTCTCAACCCCGAGTATGACTGAGAATGCTTAACTATTCGGTCCTTCGGGGTTGAAAACAATCCCGAATCGCCTCCCAATGACAAACATCTCTCGATCCATGGAACGCGACCTTCTCAACCAACGTTCGATCTATGCATGATTATGAAAACCATTTTCTAAGGTCGCTGATAGGTATAAGAAAGGTGCGCCCCCGAGTCGAGACGAGACTCAATCCCACCGAAAGAAACACAATCACGATCCAATCAATACTGTCTAACTTCGTCCCGATTGAATTGAATTCACACTCTTCTTCTCGCACACAAACGACACAGTTTTGAATTCCATCCTCGCCACCGGAGCCACAGGCAAACAGGGCGGCTCAGTGGTGCGAGATCTCATTTTTCGAAACGCACCCTTCTAGATTCTCGCGGTGACTCGGAACGCAAAGTCCTCGTCTGTGCTGAATCTCGCGCAGACATCTCCCAATGTCACGCTCATCGAAGGGAACCTTGATGACCCGGCGGGGATCTTCAAGGCCGTGAAGGCGCAAACCTCGACTCCCGTTTGGGGTGTATTTAGTGTTCAGGTGAGATATACCTCCGATGTCGCTTTTCTTTGATATCATCACGAGGATAGAAAAGGAAGGATAGAAAGACATTTGCTAACCAGGATAGACCGCCAATCCTAAAAAAGGACGACGAGCGCCGACAAGGTATCGCATTAATCGACGAGTCCATCAAGCAAGGCGTCAAGTTCTTCGTCTACAGCTCCGTCGACCGCGGAGGCGAGAAGCGGTCCTTCCCCAATCCCACCCCAGTCCCGCATTTCATCTACAAACACGAGATTGAGCAGTATCTGATCAAGCGGTCGAAAGATGCCGATGCTAAGATGGCCTGGACAGTCGCCTTCCTCGAGAACTTCACCCCGGACTACTTTGGCAAAGTGTTCACGACCGCGTGGCAGATGTCGCTGAAGGGGAAGCCGCTGCAAATGGTCGCGACGAGCGATATCGGGTTCTTTGCTGGCGAGGCGTTCGTGCGCCCGGATGAGTTCGAGGGCAAGGCGCTGTCGTTGGCTGGGGATGAGTTGACATTTGAGCAGATGGCGGCCGTGTTTGAGCGCTTGACGGGTAGGAAGGTGCCCACGACGTTTCAGCTGCCTGTGTGGGCGATGATGGCGGCTGTGAAGGATTTGGGAGTTATGTTTGAATGGTTCCATGATGAGGGATACGGGGCGGATCTGGCGGAGATGAGGAGGATTAATCCTGATCTGAAGGACTTTGGAAAATGGTTGGTCGAGGAAAGCCAGTTTGACACTTTGCAGGGAAGGTCTTGATTTCAAAACTTGTGTATAGTTTTTTTTTTTGGCGTTGTGGGTTAGGACGTTTGTTTGATGTGTATATTATAATGATTCTTTTGTCGTGGATTCGTTCTCTAGTATAATATAGAGGATCTGATTGATCCGTGATTTGAAATGCAAGTAAAGTCGGATATGGTTAACCTTTCCAATGATTTCTCTCTCCAGACCGCATAGGTGCATGAGTTGCATTGCGGTGGAAACTGGTATTGCCAAAAAAAAAAAAAGACCATGTATGAAGCTGGCTTCGATTATAAATTCTGGCGACTTCGCAGACCGCGTCACTCGACAGCTCCTCTTAGTCTCCTCGAGATACTGGCGCGCTCCATAAGCCGCGACACAGGCTCCTGCATCTGGGAATTGGTTTTCTGTGTCCCTTGTTCCCATTCGTCATAGACCCCCTTCACCAAGTCCCACGCATGGTCTGTTTCGGCCGATATAGGTCGAGAACAGAGCTGAGAGAGGATCAGGGCCATGACATGTTCCTGCTTGTAGCTTCTGCAGAGCCACGCCCACGGTGCCGACATTTCATTGTTCTGCAGCAGACTGGAAAACTTCAAGATCTCCACCGCCAGACTGAAGATTTCGTCGTCTGTGGCAGTGGGCTCTTTATCCATCGCTGCTTTAGAAAGACGATTGACCAACGATGCTTTGGATAGGGTGAGACGAAAGATCACAGCCGTTACCCACTGAATTGGAATCTTCAGATCAAACTTGTGTAGATACCGTTCCCCGAGACTGGCTGCTAGCTTGGATAAGGGGGTTTGTTCATCTGTCCAGGTTGACTGATGCTCTTCCAAACCAAAAGATTTGTCGGTCCAAGACAGATGGGTCATTATCTCGTACTGTATGATGCATAATGTAATATCAGTAAGCCCAGCCTGGGGAGGGGGCAATTCGGCCATATTAGACGAAAGGTCATCGCTGTCAATATTCAGTGGAGGTCTCGTGTCGAACATCTCCGGTCGAATTTGAGTGTCAGTCCCCTGGTCTTCGGAGTACAGGATGTCCAACATGCAGATGTATGACCATAATCGACGCCGCGTTTCGATATCAAACGGACTCAGTCCGAGGTTTTGACCGTCGCGATGGATCCCCTGTCGTTGCGCCACGTGTACCACGATTGCTGCTTCCACCCATACCTGTTCGGAATCGCATCCGCAGCGCACACATAGCAGATATACAACCGCGGCCTGCAGAACCCGGACGTCGTCGGAACTGACTAGGTTGGCCTTTGCTAGAGATCGTGCTACAGCAAGCCGGAACTCGCGCAGGCAGACATTGCACTCTTCACCGACGACCGACCAGCAATTGGCTGGATCCATGCTCACCATTGCCGCGAAGAAGACCGCTCGAAGGAGCGCGCTCGATCCTGGGTCTAGCTCAACATCGGGCTTAGCACAAGTGTCACGGATGACGGACTCGATCGAGGGGGTGTGCAGGACCGTTATCATGGGCGCAACGTTTGACTTATAGACCTGCCATAGCATCTCCATCTGGAGAGGTTGAAGTGGATCCATGCGACCAGCGTCGACGCCCAACTCTGATTCCGACCCGGGATGCTCCCTGTCCTAAGAGTGGTGGCCATAAAGCTCTTGCAGTCCGGGAACCTAGGTAGGTTTGTTCAACAATCCATCAACCAAAACGGCAAGGGAGCCTACTTACCTTATCTCTCAAAACAACAGACGCTTCGTCCCCTACATAGCGAGCTCTAGTCTCATCTTGAACCACCAACATACCGCGCAGCCGTTTGGCCTCGACATGCAGTGGCTGTCGCTGATCAGCTTCATCGGCCGATCGAGACCTCAACACAGATTGCCCACCACCGGCCTGTAACCGCTCCACTTCCTCTTCGAGCTGCTGTAGACGAGAGCGCAGCGCCGCAATTGGCAGCCGGCTCAGTTTCCGTGGTGCTCGTTTGTTTCCCGGATGGATGCATTCGGCCTTAGCTTGGAGGCATTGCTTGCAGGGGTGTTTTCGATCGCAGCGCACTTTTCGGCGATTGCATCGGATACAACTCCGTTTGGACAAGTCGGTTCCTTCGGATTGTGGTGGCATGGTGGTATTTTTCTGGCGTTTGATTGATCAATGGTACAGATTCTACCATAGACGTTGACGTCAAAAGTCTTTTTCTTCGCCTCGAGACGCGATTAGTCGGATTTTGACCATCACCATCACTTTGGGTTGAATACGATAACTGTTTTTTTTCTTCTTCTTTATTTTTCGTTTATAATAGATATACTAGCATAGAATATCGTTATTGATGGCCGTTAGGCTTCAATCTAACGTTGGGAAGTCCGTGGATGACTCTTGAGAATCTATGCATACTTCTGCTTGCGCCTTGGAAACATCGTTAAACTATATTTGCTATCTCTGAAAGTAATATAATGCTAGGGAAACGAGATACGAATGATTTGTAAGCGTTTCCACTCGAAAGGCAGAGTTGAAGACGGCATGAAGACAAATCGCGACCTCTTTCAAGACTCACACACTTGGTCATAGTTCGATTGATAACTACCCTCACTAGATCACGAACGAGCAAGAGTTAGGATTCTGCTATCCAGATATGATACTGCATGATCTTATAATTAACTCAGATATTGTAATAAGGTGCCTTTTCATCATTTGTTGTTTACTCGGTGTAGGTACGGAGTACTCTGTAGAGACTGACTACATTATACTATATTGAAAGGGGGATCATAGATATGTCATATTTGACATCTCTGACCACTGAAAATCGAAGATACCTACTACAAGAGAACTAGAGGGGCGGTCAATGCTGATTGTCCGTCTAGATGAGCCCTTCAGCTTCAGCCTTGAAGTGAGTAGAAAGCAGTGCCAGTCTCAGCGAAAGATCAGTTTACAATGATCATCCTATCAAGTCACTCGTGAAGCAGCATCCCGAGTCCTGTCTTCCGTACCCTGTATGTACACGGCACGACAGCAGTGCAATGTCCAGGAACAAGCCAGACAAGCCAGAAAAGACAAACAAGAAGGTTGGTTTCAGGGGATGTCAGAAACCCCAGGAAACACCGTCCAGATTGACGTCAGTGCAAAGCTGGCCGAGCCGACGTCGTAAAATATTCCATCGACACTTTACATGTAACGCACTCCACCGTAATAATAATATTTGGGGCTAGGTTTCTTGTCGAAGCCCATTCTACTAAGCCTCTAACGGCCGGAATTGACGGTCTAGCAGCACCCGAACTTTATTTAGAAAGACCGGCGTCTTTTTCTGCTCCGCGGGTGCCGAGGTTTGGGGTTTCTGTCTTCAGGTTCCTGATTTCTGCATAACTAATAAGAAGAAGAATACTGAGTAATACGTTAATAAGGAAGACTCAAAACCCGATATTCGCCCGTTGACTCCGTTTGCATGGCGAAGCGGATTTCAGGGCATCGCATGGCCCGTGACCCACTGTCATCCCCGAGTCCGCCTTGGTGGCATGGAGGTCTCAGGTGGAAACGGCCGTTTCATGACAGATTGGTATTACCCGGGGGAAAGGGAGATGTCAGTCAGTGTCACTACTATCAGTACGTTTGTCTGTACCGAGTAGGTAGGTAAGTCGTGAAGTTGTACTCCGTACTCTGGACTGTCACTGGGCAGGCTGTCAGCCACCGGAGGGGGCGCATCCAAGGTTCTGGTGGCGGACAAAGAAACACGCCCGGCGGCTGCCTAGGGAGCAAACGCCAGTAGTCAATCAGGTAGTCTGTATTGTACTTTTGCCCCAGCCCTCACTCCTCAATGGGCTTGGACTCGATTTGGCTTCTGCGAATCCCGGAGGAGATCGAGCATCTCCGCGCACCTGACAGGTGACAGGTACGGTGTAGCTCCTCTCTACGGCGTGCCGATAGCTCATCTGCACGGTGGTGTGACTTGCGTCGGGATGTGACGTGATGGGTGAAAGTACAAAGTAGGGAAGAAAGAATGTATCAACTGACGGGGAAATGAAGCGAGGGAAACAGTGTCGAGTGTTTGTTTGGGCCCTTTGGGGGCATCTCGCCGGGATTGTTTGACCTACACCGTCCGCACACTGGACTGTACGACCAGAGATTGAAACAGGAAAGAAAAAAAAGAAAACATAAAAAAAAAGAGAACCGAAAAAGAGAAAAAAGAAAAAATCGACAGACTAGTCGACGATCTAGCGAATTTAGAGCAGCACAAACAAGGTCAGTAATTAACAAGTCCAGTCCAGTCCCCTATGCCCGTAACCCCTGATCTACTCCGTACCGAGGAACAAGCAATAGTTATGAACTTACGAAAAACCACGGATTTATTTCCATTTTGTATGCTCTAATTTCCCACGTAGATTGCCGGGACTGTACCCAGTCGATCGATTTCCCATTCCCTTCCCTTCACTTCCCATTGAGCGAAGTACTCCAGATAGAAGCCGGCCACAGGAGAGACGTCCAGATTTCCAACCGGTAGGGTCCGATCCCCTCCAAGGTGGCACAGCCTTATGACGCCTCGGGTGCCTTCATGCGACCCGCCGCCCTCGAGATTCGGTGCGACGCCGACGTCGTTCAATCGCCCTTTCCTTTGTGATTAATCCTCCGGGTGGACGGGTGCGTGTCGCGGTCAGTTCGTAGGGGCGCGCTCGGACGGGATGGAGCGACGGGGAGCATTCCTGCATGCGACATTCGCAGACTGACATCCGGACGGAAGTATCTGATGGCGTTCCGCGATAGTTTATATACCGACTGATTGGACCTGTTCTGCTCCGGGATTACCTCGTTAGGTAGTTTGCTGCATGACGCAGATGCCTAGGTGCCGTCGATATTGGACGTATGTCATGATGTTCATTCTCCATAGTACCAACGGTCGAATCCGGAATTCTAGACTATTGTTCTGTGTCTATTGTCGTGTCTTTCACTTCAGTCTACCGGTTGACGCGAGTCATCGATCTGTTCTCCACGGCGAGAATGGGACATCTTGAGGACTGGAAATGTAATGAAACGGTGCTGCAGCGGGAGACTTATCCGCCGGGACGGATACGGAGTTGTGTATGTACTGACTTACCGATAAGAACTGCTAGCAACGAAGTGGTGCTACCTAGAGGAGAGGTGAGAATAAATACTCCGTAGAGGATTTGAACGGAGACTGACTGTTCATTCAGTTACTATGTACAAGACTGCTGGGTACTGCTGTGTATGTAGGTGTTAGACTACACCGTAGTGCATACACCTAGTAAATCTACGGTCTATGGATTGTGTATGTACATACTGTACTCTGTTCCATAGTGACATATGAACATTGGCATATTGAATACTCCGGGCTGAACACTGAACCCACTGCCGGACCCGAGACCACAAGTCCAGGGAACAGAGAACAGAGAGAGAGAGAGAGACCTTCCAAACCCCCATGAAAGAGCCCCATTTAGGCTCGAACGCACGGGACTTTCTGTATGTTTGGGACGGCGGGACTTCGTGGGTCGGTCGGTATTCATATTTCATGTACCGTAGGTATTTACTAGGAGGTATATGTTCACAATTATTACGTGTCACCTCGACCCTCAAGATCACCAAGGAGGGACTGCCAAAAATTAGGAATCAAAATAAGAATAAAAGCAAAAGAAAAGCAAAAATCGCCCGTCCACCCCCAAGGAAGGGGATGTCAGCTCTCCTCAGCTCTGCTCAGCTGTCACCACTTGACAGTCAGAGTAATGCCTGCCAAGACACCCGTCCCGGCTCCAATACATACCGTACGGTCACACTTGGTAATGCCCACCGAACAATTCAACCTCCCTAAAATCTCCCTGCTCTGCTCTCTCTCTCTCGGTCTCTCTCTTCCTCTTCCTCTCCCTCTTCTCTCTTTCTTTCTCTCTCACCGGTTCTCTGCTTGTCCCTCTTCCTCTCCCGATCTCTGTTGTTTACACCGACGGATTCCCTCCTGAGTCCCTCTCCCTTCTCTCCCTCCCGAGTGAAGTTGAAATTCACCGAGCGGCGTTGTCGGTCTCCACCGCCAGGGGTCATTGCCACCAGCTGTCTGGTCCTGCCACCCAAACCAGACCAACCCGTGCAGCGCGCACCCACCACTTTCTTGCCCGCAGGTGAATCTGCAACCCACCGCCCTCTTTCCGTCGCTCTCTCGCTCTCTCTCTCCTTCCACGGCTGTTTGCCCGTCTAGTCATGACCAACGCCTCTCGTTGAGCTCGTCCAGCCATTAGCCGCGGGGGGGACGTAGCGTGCCGACTTTTTGACTTTTTTTTCTTTTCTTTTTCTAATTTCAATTTCGACCCTGAAATATCTTGGAGATTATTTTCTTTTTATACCCAAATATTCTCCCCTCCCCCCCTTCTTTTCTTGACCTTGAGTGGGGGACTGATCTATCCATTCCTATATATAACTCCCCCCCAGTTCTTTCTCTTAACTTGTCAGTTCCTGTGATACCCCTCCGATGTTCGAGACCCGTGTGGCAGAGCCATTGGCTGTCGACACTAGATCTGCGTTGGAGACCAAATCCCAGACTTTCGCGACCGCCTTCGAGTGTACCGAGGAGCAGGCTTCCACCCCCACGACTGCCCGGAGTCGCAGTCGTGGCAGCAGCATTTCCTTCCGGAAAAGAGACATCACCGCCGATCAATCGCCGCAGCGACAATTATCCGCCATGAATCTATCCGCCGGGGGTCGTTACACCCCCAGCCCCGAACCTGCTCCCGCCCTGTTCGTGCGAGCCATGTATGATTACGACGCCGACGACCATACGAGTCTGAGTTTTCAGCGAGGCGACATTATCCAGGTGCTCAACCAGCTAGAGACCGGTTGGTGGGACGGTGTGATTAACAACAACGTTCGGGGCTGGTTCCCCAGCAACTACTGCGTCGTGATTACGGACCCTAGTGAGCTAGAGGAACAAGAAGTGCACGGTCGCGAGGATGGAGAGATCAGTGCGGAGTCGGGCGTCGGAGAAGAATACGAGGAGGAGCACGACGACGATGACGACGTGGACTCCGCCGGCAACCCGCGCGATTCCCAGCCCGTCCTGCCCATCGAAGGCACCGGGCCCGTAAAGGAGCAGGAGGAGGCCGCGTTCTGGATCCCGCAGGCGACGCCTGACGGCCGCCTATTCTATTTCAACACACTTACCGGATACAGCACTATGGAGCTCCCGTTCGAGAACCCGGCGACAAACGAGACCGGCCCCTACGAACGCAGCAATTTCTACGTACCCGATCAGACTCGACCTCCGCCGGAGTTGATGGCCCGTGGCTTCGAGCGGGATGAAGACGACTACGACGGTTCAGCATCGGAGGCGGAGGGCGAGTCTTTGATGCTGGCCTCTCACGACTCCATGTCTCGGAGACGGCAATCATTCATCGACGGCGTATCTCCCGCAACTTCTATGGACTCTTTGCACCCGCCGTCGGCCACCAAATCGATTAGCGAAGGGAAAAGCTCGCATCGCAACCTCCACCAGTCGTACGGCTCGGCTGCCACCGCGGCCAGCAGCACGGCCTCGCTCGCCGATAACTTCCATCGACCATCGGTCTCATCGGAAGCTCCGTCGCATTTTGTCGATGACGACGCCCTGACGCCTTTGACCTGGCCTACGCTCATCGACAACATGCGCAACGCCGTGGACCTCTATCGCCAGGCGCTCATGAACGGCGATCGCTCAGAATATGTGCGGCGCGCTGAGGACATCTCCGATCATCTACGTATGCTGCTAGCCGCCGGCTCCGATACGACCGACAACCATTCTGGAAACCCGTCGATCATCTCCACCAACAAGGCCCTGTACCCTCACTTCAGGGATATGATGTCTAAATTTTCTAAATTGGTGCTGTCCTCGCATATCGCCGCGGCTGATTGGCCCGGTCCGGATTCCGTGAACAAGTGCCTGCAAGAAGCCGATGGTGTCATGCATGGGGTTTACGGATACGTCGACATTGCGAGACAGCAACGCGGTGAGTCGATCCGGCGGATCGTCCCCGGTTTCGTCGTCGGCAGTTTTTCGGGCGGTTGCTGGCAGAACAATGGCGTGAGCCTCAACGAGTCTGGCCCCACGATGTTCTTGGACCAAGATCCGGCCGATTCTCGAGCGGAACCCTCCATTCCTCTCGATGCCGCTCTGTTAGACCACATCGACATCCTGCGGAGGTCCTTCGTCGGCAGCATTCGGCGTCTTGAGGAGCGCTTGACCCTGAACCAGAAGAAGATTGTCACGGTTTCCGAACACGGTGTGATTGGCGAAGCCGTCTCTGCGGCGGCGATTAAAGTGGTGGAGCAATTCCGTCCTTGGGTGTCGGCCGTCGAGTCCATCAACCTGGCCCCCCTAGGCACCAGCTACCAGAATCCCCAGTTGGTTGATTTCAGTCTACAGAAGCAGAGAGTCTACGATGCGATTGCCGACTTCGTGCTGAGCTGCCAAGTGGTTTCGGCGCCGTTGGGCGACGAATGGGCGGAGTTGCGGGGTGATTCACTCGAAGACCGGTTGAATGCGGTGCGCGGCGTGGCCCGACAACTCGAGAACTACGTTTCTCAGATCGGATTCTCTCTCTCACTTCTTCTCGAGCAGGTCCCTGAGCCCACTTCGGTTCTCCGGAGTGACAGCCGCCTGGGCGGGGAACAAGAGAACTTGAACGGTACGCACAGCCGTGGGGAATCGCAGACCAAGATTGCCAACGAATCCATTGGCATCCCCTCCGTCGAGAAGGCTTCGGACAAGGTGCGACGCAATATGGACAAAGCGCAACGGTTCTTTGGACAGGCACCGCCCGCTGCAATCACTCGCGAGCCTCCGATTCGGGAACCTGTTCGCGAGCCCGAAGAAACGCCCTGGTTCTTGAAGATGACTCACGAAGGCGAGGTCTTCTACGACACCAAGAACGACATTCCCACCTTGAAGTGTGGCTCTCTCTCTGGACTGGTCGAGCACCTAACACGTCATGACAAGCTCGATGCTTCTTTCAACAATACTTTCCTCCTCACCTACCGTTCCTTCACTAGCGCCTCCGAATTGTTTGAAATGCTTACCCAGCGGTTCAATATTCAACCTCCCTTCGGCCTGACTCCGGATGAAATGCAGATGTGGATCGACCGGAAGCAGAAGCCCATTCGATTCCGTGTTGTCAACATCCTGAAGAGTTGGTTCGAGAATTTCTGGATGGAACCCAATGACGATGCGCACATGCAGCTTCTCGAGCGAGTTCACGCCTTCACTAGAGACTCCATCGCAACCACAAAAACCCCCGGATCCCCACAGCTTCTGACAGCCATTGAGCAGCGCTTGCGAGGCCAAGATACCACCGCCAAGCGACTTGTTCCAACCCAGGCGGTTGCTGCGCCAACTCCCATCGTCCCCAAGAACATGAAGAAACTGAAGTTCCTGGATATCGACGCCACTGAGTTTGCTCGACAGCTTACGATCATCGAATCGCGCCTGTACTCCAAGATTCGACCCACCGAATGTCTGAATAAAACGTGGCAGAAGAAGGTCGGACCTGACGAGCCGGAACCCGCGAGCAACGTGAAGGCTCTGATCCTTCATTCGAACCAGCTGACGAACTGGGTTGCGGAAATGATCCTGAACCAATCCGATGTCAAGAAGCGTGTCGTTGTTATCAAACACTTTGTCAACGTGGCAGATGTATGGAATACCCTTCTCCTCAACCGCTGTATGAACAGTTACTGACTAAATCCATAGAAATGCCGCGCTCTCAACAACTACTCTACGCTGACATCCATCATCTCCGCGCTGGGAACGGCACCTATTCACCGACTTGGCCGAACGTGGGCACAAGTCAGTGGCCGGACATCGACAGTCCTTGAGCAGATGCGCCGACTCATGGCGAGTACCAAGAACTTTGGCGAGTACCGTGAAACTCTGCATCTCGCGAATCCGCCTTGCATTCCCTTCTTTGGTATGAAGCTACCAACATCAAATCCAAACCCCTTTCGAAAATGATTCGTTGCTAAAGCTTACATCATTCTAGGTGTCTACTTGACGGACTTGACGTTCATCGAGGACGGAATCCCATCCCTCACGCCGTCAGAGCTGATCAATTTCAACAAACGCGCCAAAACTGCCGAAGTGATTCGGGACATTCAACAATACCAGAACGTTCCGTATCTGCTCACGCCGGTTCACGAATTACAGGACTACATTCTTAGTAATTTACAAGCTGCAGGCGACGTACATGACATGTACGATCGCAGCTTGGAGGTGGAGCCCAGAGAGCGGGAGGACGAAAAGATTGCGAGGTATGCTGCCGGTAGTAGAGAAACGAACGGCTTGTCTTTTGCAGGCTTTGTTCTGTCTCGATGATTTCCTTGACTCTCCTTGTTTCCACCACGTCTTTTTCAGCGTTCCACTGATTTTCCCCCGACCCTTTCGGCGGCCCCCATTTCCTGCCCCTTACTTGGCGATACCCGGATTTGTTCAGAAACATTGAGTGATCTACAAGAGGAGTCTTTTCTTCTGCTTTCTTTGGTTTTTTTTTTTTTTTTTTTTTTTTTTTTGTTGCTTTTTTGATTGACCGAGGACTAACGAGATTTACCTTTGTCACGTAGACTGCTCTCCGAATCAGGCTTCCTGTAAATGGCCCGAACGAGTGTCTCAGCATCTGGTCCGGCATGATCCCTGCGTGCGTTGCATTCATTACGCGCGCGCCGAACTTACCGCCATTTCGCTTCCCCGGCAAGTTGACGGAGTTGACTTTCCAGCCTGGCAGCAGCCTATCACTGGCGTTTGAAGGGGCGACAGCCCAGATTCACTGCCTGAGTGGTCGCTTGCCTTTTTCTTTTTCCTTTTTCTTCCCCCTAGTTTGCCTGGCAATGGCCTGTCCACCAGCTGTTCGGGCAGTTCTAAATCTGACAAACGTGGCGTGCTCCTTGCGCCCGAGATCGACCAAAGACACAACAACAATATGGCAGTTCGGACTGGTTGGTGGATCTTTTCGGGGCAATCACCTGTTTAGTGCATTTCTCGTTCTCCTGTACGGAGTACTAGGGTAATCTTCATCCCTGCGAGGATTGAGCGCCCCGAGGACCACTTTAATTCCAAAACCCAGGCTCTCCTTCGTCTGGCGTTGATCCCGATGAATGGTCAGGCCATATGCGCTCCGACCCACATGCGGGAAGAAGAAAACCAAACCGAAAATCAAGGAAAAAAAAAAAAAAAAAAAGGGCGATAGCAAAAGTTCAGGCGGCTGAGCCTTCGATAAGCCCCGACTTAGCGCCATTGCATGTGATGAACTCCCTCATCTTCATATTACGACATTCCTATTCTTTCTCACCATGTCGATCCTTTGAATCCCCGTCTTTCCGACCACAGTCATTTACTTCATATCTCTCCTTTCCTGACCAACTTCAACGTCCGACCTACTCTCGTCACCGACCCTTCTCCTTTGTTCTCATCCCTAACCCCGACGGTCTCTCAATTTCCTTGGATCTACTACTTCACTACCTGTGCCTATCTAACGCCTATATAACCCTACATACATGATCAACCAACGCCTTTGTTATATCCGCATGGCTTGGTTGGTCGTTTTTGTATAAAAGATTCTCTCGTTCATGCTGCGGTCCCTTCCTTCTAATAGGTTAGGGCTTCTTACGAGATTGTTGATCTCGCTCATGAATGGATAATGACATGTCATGATACAGACTTGCTCTTTTTTTATTCTTCTTCTTCTAGCATTTGGGTTGTGTATCTTTCTTGCCTTCTGCAATACATTCTCCCGCTTATCTTCTCTTTCTTCTGTCCATTTTGACCTTCACTTCGCTGTACCTACTCCTTGTATTACAAGAGGTATATAACTTTTAGTCTTAGTCATATCCATGGAAATTCATCCCTTACTAAAAGGGCTTGTTCCATTTATTTCTATTTTAAATCACCTGTTTCGTACGCTTTGCTGAAGCTCGATGCCTCCGAGACATAAGAAGTAAAGGATTTTTAGTATGATGTGATCCACCAAGCGCCAATGACACCTAAGATGTAAGCCCAAGGACAGAAAAGGAAACCATCAGTCATAACCGTCGTCCGCAATGCATTTTTCATTCTCATCTAGAAGCCAGTCATGTTTGACCTGCAGATTCTCTCTCTGAGCGGCCTTTCTCTCCAATGTCCTGGAAGAGCTTCATTTTGATCTCCGCCGCCAGGAGACCCTTCACTTCCTCCGAGACAATCCGCTGCCCATCCCGCACCACCTTCTCCAGCTGCTGATCCTTGGCCGTACTGGGCCCTCCGCCCCGCGACGCACCGCTCTCGATGCCCCGCGCCGCCTTCCGCACCTTCTGGCTCAAATCCATCATCTGCTTGCTGCCGTAATCGCGGGTCGTGAACAAGGGACTCTGACTGAGCGTAGCCACCCAGTACTTGTTCCATAGGAGGGAAAGGATCTCGGTGTCCAACGAGCTCTTGAAGTGCGACACCTCCAAGCCATAGTAATGGGAAGCATGGGCGCCAAAATCCTCCGCCTTATTCAACGGCACGGTCTGGTACTCGTCGTCCTCCTGCTGCTCCTTCGGCGGGGTATAATCCTTCGGAAACGTGCGGAACGCTCCAATATCAACCTTCCCGGCGGAAATGGTCCGCTCGGGATCAATGACCACCGCCACAAACGGACCTCCCAGCTGTTGCATGTCCTGCGTCGTCACGTCGATGCCCGACAACCAGCACCCGTACCCAGGGTGGCTGTGATACCAACCCACCGCGTTCTCCATGCGCCCGGCATCCCGACACGCCTGGAGATACGACACCATGTACTCGTTCGCCTCGTCTTGGGCGTTGACGCGCGTCTCCGTCCCCTCGACGGGGAGTCGGAAGGCATCTGTCACCACGAACGTGTTCGGAAGTATGTATCCCTGCATCAGACCCATGACTTCGAGGCTGCCACCGGACCGCGCGTGCATGACCATCTTGAGCAGCGCTACGGCTGAGATCCGTATCGATTTGAAGTAGTGTGGGTCTTTGGACCAGGGCCGTTCGGCGCTCAGTGCTTTGTGTGTCTCTTCATCATATTGGTAGAGGGCATCGCGTTGAGGGTCGATTAAGCTGATGGTGTTTTCGAGCTCTATGGGGATGGCGAGTTAGTTAGGGTATGCGAGGTGAAGTGATTTGAGAGAGGTGGGGTTATAACGAACCCCATGACCGCTGGGCAGTCTCCATGGTGATAAATTTAGGGGTGTTAACCAGAAACGCGATGAGGTAGCAGGCCAGGTAGTGTAGAGATTCGACAGAGCCGGTCCGATAGAGATAGAGAGGGAATAGATAAGACAGAAGAAGCTGATGCAGTCAGTCTAGTGTCTACTGATCTATCGGAACTGCGGAGCCAACGTGGAGAAGGCGGTGAGACACGGGAATCGCGGGCAGAGCCGGGCGGTGGAGGACTGAGTCAGCAGTTGCCGGAGTAACGCGGCGCCATCAACAGCAGCCGCAATCCAGATTCAATTGCGGCTGCGTCTCACCAGGTTCAAGATTATTGTTCCCCCTCTTTTTCTCCTTCTCTCCCTCCTCTCTCTATCTCATTCTTTCCACGAAGCCTCCCTTTCCACTTTTCCCTTTCTCGCCCTTGCATATTACTGCATTGGCCGCTCGCTACATATATTGTGCGGGTCTCTCCCACCCCAGCCTTGCTCGCAGATGACATTTTCGCCCGGCTCGGTTGTTTGCTGTTGATTGCAGATTCGCCTTGCAATCATCTGCGTGTTTTGGTTTTCGCGCACCTGTCAATTTCGAGGCGCTTTGTCGCCAATCAGTGCATGACGGGAAAATTGTCTGAGACTTTTTTGTTCTTGAATTTTCTGGAATACATAATAAACGCGATTTGTCTGCCCGTTCCTGGGAAATTGGATGTGCAATGGCGGTCGACACTAGTTATTTGACCACACAGGTCAACAATATTGTGGCCCAGCTGCATGGGATATTCGATGAAATTGGAGTCCCGAATCATGAGCGCGAGACTCGAGAGGCAGAGGTTTGTTTTTTCTTTTCCCGTCGAGGGCCTTGTTTATTCTCCGCTTCCGGGTGAAGTCTAACAAACTTGCAGCTCTTTAGTGCTTTGTCGGATACGTTGAATGGTCATCTGAAGATGGTGGATGAGTAAGTGGATGATCATCTTTTATGCAATGTCGATCTACTGTTCAAGTACTGATACTCGACCCAGTGAGAAAAACGAAATGACCGAAGAAGCGCAGCAGTTGATCACCGCGATTCGACAAATGGAGGAGTCCTTAGTGGATGAAAAAACTAATGGGCAATATAAATTGGACGGCAATGATCTGAAAATCAGCTACCCCCTCAATCGCTGTCTCAATTTCCTCCGGGAGAAGCATGACGCTATGAAGAAACTCCACCACGAGCGCTTTGAACAGGTTAAGAGTATGTTGTCCCCACAATCACTCCTCTAGCGCACATCAATTTTGATGGCTGACAATAAGCAGAACTTATCGAGGCATTCGTATCCTACTCTTCTCATCTCGAATCCAACTATGTCACCATCGAACTCCCCCCTACAGCGCCAGGCTCAACGATCCCGCCTAGTTTTGATCTCTCTCCATCTTTTGTCACGGCCCTGGATAATGAATTCTCGCAAGTCTACGAAGAATATCACCGACGTCTTGAATTTGTTCAAGTAACGTGCGAAGAAATAATCAAGCTGTGGGCTGAACTCGGAACCCCGCAGGCGCAGACCGATTCCAATATTGTGAAATACTATCGCGAGTCTCCGGAGCAGCTAGGTCTTCATGAATCCGACCTGGCTAGCATGAGAGCGAAGCGCGAGAAGCTTCTCGAAGAAAAGCGAGGCCGCGAGCGCAAGCTGAAAGAACTCCGGATGGCGGTTGAAAGTCTGTGGGAGCGATTCGGAGTGGAGGAGGGCGACCGAAAAGCCTTCCTGTCTGCAAACCGCGGTTGCGGACTCCGAACAATCAACGAATTCGAGGAAGAGCTGGGGCGTCTCAATGAGCTCAAGCGACAGAATCTTCATCTTTTCGTTGAGGACGCAAGGTGCAGGCTGCAGGAGCTCTGGGACAGCCTCTATTATTCGGAAGAAGAGATGCTCGACTTTGCCCCTGCGTTTTCCGATGTTTGCAGTGACGCGCTGCTTGAGGCGCATGAAGCAGAGATCGCACGACTGCAAGCTCTTAAGGAACAGCGCGCCCCCACGTTGCAACTTATTGATAGGCACCGCAGTCTTCTGTCGGAGCGTGATGCTTTGGCCGCGTCCAGTCAGGACGCTTCTCGTCTGATGGGACGTGGCGTCAAGGGAGAGCGACGTGACCCTGGAAAGCTCCTAAGAGAGGAGAAGATGAGGAAGAGAATCACCAAGGAGCTGCCTAAGGTAGAGGCGGATCTCAGGAAAGAGCTGGAGATGTGGGAGGATGAATTCGGCCGGCCTTTCCTCGTTCACGGCGAGCGATATCTTGACGAGTTGACTCCCGTGATGAAACCACCGCCCCGGTCGAAGACTCCCTCCGCACCACCAAGCAGCGTGCGAGGCGCAGGAGGTAGCCTGAGGTCGCAGCCACCCTCTCGCCCTGGTAGTGTAATGAGAGGTCCACCGCCCCCTCGCTCCGCAACTAAAACGCCCACTGGAGCGTCGAAGTATAACACCGTTGGTCCCTCCAGAGCTCCCTCGAGAGCCGGAGCCAAGTCACCATCAAAGATCCCTGCGCGCGTGCCTTTGGGCAACATGCCTCATGGGAACAATTCCCCCGATCGTCGTACTGGAACGCCCGGACCCTACTCGACCAGCACGATACATGGCAAGATGCAGAGTTCTCGCGCTCCCCCTCCAAGAATGCGCGCATTGACGGGAGGCGAGTCGCGGGAGGAGAGAGCAAGCTATCTGTTTGACCCTCCACGATGTGCCAGCGCGCTCTCGAACTCCTTTGTTCGACCTGTCAGCCCGGAGGATGTTTACGATGACCGCAAGGAACGCTCCTTTATGAGTTCCTCGATATTCTCCCAGCGGTCCGCGGGATTCTCTCAGTCGTCGCATTCGTCGGCCTCGTCGGTCTCCCTCAATTCGATTCCAAATTTCCCACGCCCGAATTCTTACCTGCAGCACGCACCCCCTCCCCCAGCGCCCCGGCAGGTTTCCGACTGCTCCACAATAAACACCGCCCACTCAGGGTCAGAGAATTGGGAGACGTTCGATGATGGATCTGGCTCCGAAGCGGATGCCAGTGATATCTACTATGCGAAGCTTCGTGCCGCTCAAGGAAAGCGTGTCGCGCCGGATGAACAGTCGACTATCTCCCTGGCGGGGAAGAAGACCAAAGGCATTCGGAGCGTCAGTCCAGACGTGCCGGAGGCCAGCATGAACAGTCGTTTCGTGCGAGGCAGTGATGCCGAATGGACCGATGACATGGAGGCCTATTAACCTCACATATCCATGTGAAACAGAAATTCCTCTCGTTTGTTGATTCCCTCTATTTTTCTTTTTCTTTAATTTTCCTTGATGTATGCTTGGTATCATCTCAGGCGCTTCTGGGAGGACGTGATTACGAGACCCACTCGATATGAGCGAAAATGCCTTGAACGAGGCTGGTTGACTTCTTTGTATTATGCTTTCCTTTCTGTTCATACGGTTTAATAATTTGTCCGTGGCTCTCTTTTCTGCAACGGAGTGGATATTGGACTCTTCTCTTTTGTGATGGATTGGCTCGGTTGGCTTTGTTTTTTTGTACAAGTCGCATAGCATGCTTTTTTTTTTGTGTTTCTCTTTTTGTTTTGATATCCGCGGCAGCGCACTTGTTTTTGATTTCTTTTTTGTTTTAATCTTTTGGTCCTTCGGTTGATAGGAATGGATGATTTTATTTCTCTTTTTATTTCTCTCGTTTCACTCTACATCGTACACTTTGGCTTGTGGGGTTGGGATAGTTTGGCCGCAAAGAAAATGGCGAATATAGTTCCGTAAAAGCAATAGAGATCTTGGACTATGTATGCATCCTGTCAAGAGAACGTGCTGTGTAGACTGCCTATAACTACGCCTGAGATAATAAGTTGTACAATTCAAAGTTATGCTGTCCTATTGCCTTTGGATTTTCTGGAGTAGGAAGTAGGTTAGGAGTCAGGTTAAATAAGCTAATATGCAGGTAGAGATCAATTCGATGAATAGATCCGATAGGCCAGGACAGATTCCAGCCTATATGAATATAGATATAAATGATCACAACGAACCCAACGACCCCATCCACGACTTATCTCCTTCCTGCATCGGCTTTCCCTTCACCTTCTTCTTGGGCCCGGCCAACCCCCCGGTCAGCTCCCTCGCCTCCTGCAACCGACGAAGCGTTTCGTTCCGGCCCAGAATCGTCATCGTCTCGGGGATGCCAGGGCCCGGGGCGGACGCGGACAATGCCCAGCGGAGGTAATGGTAGAGTTCTTTCTTGAAGGCCTTATCCGCTGCGATGCGCGCCTTACGGTGTTCTTCCTCTGACATCTCGTTGGGGGGCGGGCGAAGGGAGTCCGGGTCCGATTCGGAGGCCTGGGCGCCGTCGTATGAGGTGATGTTGAATCGGTGGGATTCGATGGTCCAGTGGGATGGAGGGACCAGGCTGAGGGCTGCGGCAGCGGTGTGGAGGGCGGAGATGGGGAAAGGGGTGGTGGAGGTGGTGGGTGTGTATGCGGGTCTATCGAGGGAGGTGGTGAAGAAGGTGGCATTGCGGTGGACGAATTCGGTGGCGTTGGTGTAGGATTTGGCGTCGGCTTGGAGGAGGGGCGTGACGTATTCGGAGAGAGGGCGTGATAGTAGGATTGGTGAGCTGCGAAGGGGGGTTTGTTAGGAGTGGGTTCTTGGGGTTCTCTTTCGGAGGTAGTGTGTACGTACAGTTGGGCGGCTGGGTAGGTGTCTTCGACGACTTTGGTCACTTTAGACACCATTTCTTCGAATTGAGGCCCGCCAGCTGCGCCGATTCGTTGAGCGTGGGCCTTTTGCAGGAACCACAGTTTCTCGAAAGCAACGACTGTGTTTCCGCGGGTGATTTTGAGGTTGAACTGGTTGATGTTAGGATTGCTGAGATCTGCTGGGTGTAGTATTGGGCCATACGATTTTTTCCAACTCTTCCAAGTTAAAGATATCTGACTTGTTGGTGTGAGACCATCCCAGGAGAGCGGCAAAGTTCACCAGAGTCGTGGCGAAAATGCCCTGCTTGTCCTGGAAGTACGTCAAATCAATATCGGCATTGCGCTTGCTGAGCTTCTGCCCGGACTTGTCCACGAGAAGAGGCACATGGCCGAACCGAGGCGGCGTCCACTTGAAAGCGTTGTATAGTGCGACATGCAGGGGGGTCGAGGGCATCCATTCCTAATTCTCAATGGTGAGCAGTTGGTTGCGATTGGCGTGTCTCTCTGGTAAGACTCACGGTTCCCCGAATGACGTGGGTGATCTTCATGCAATGGTCGTCGACCACATTGGCCAGATGATAGGTCGGGTGGCCGTCCGATTTGAGCAGAATGGGGTCATCATACACCCGTTCGATCAGGTCCAGCTTGTTGGGTGAGCGATTTTGTCCGGTCTTGCCGTATACCAAATCGTCGAACATCGGGTATCCTTCCACCCTCAGGCGGACCACATGCGTCTCTCCGTTGGTCGCGCGTTCTTCGGATTCCTCGGCGGTGATATCGGCGCATTTCCTGTCGTAGCCTGGAGGTAGTCCGGCCTCGCTGCGATGTCTCGCGAAAGCGTCCAGTCGATCGGCGGAGCAGAAGCATCGGTAGGCGTGACCGTTGTTGATGAGATCGTGTGTGTGGGAGCGGTAGATGGAAGTTCGCTCGGACTGAAAGGAAAGGAATTCGGGTCAGGTTGATGAATCGAAGCTCGAATCCAAGAAGTGCAGTGTCTCACCTGTCGATACGGACCGTAAGGACCTCCAATTGTAGGGCCTGCCAACCAGAAGCGTCACGTTAGTAAGTTGCCGCCGGTGAAGCTTGAAGTCGGAGTTGCGATCGCGCATTGCTAACCTTCATCCCAGTGCAATCCCGCCCACTCGAGGTCTTCGTACAGTCTCTGTTCGGCGCCGGGAATCGTCCGTTTCTAAAGAACGTGCCGGTCAGCACTTTGTCCGTTGCGCCATGAAGTTGATCGTCCGCCGAACCTGATCCGTATCCTCGATTCGCAACAGAAATTGTCCTCCGGTCCGCTTGGCTAGAAGGTAGTTGAACAAGGCAGTCCGCAGCGAGCCCAAATGCAGGTAACCGGTGGGCGAGGGCGCAAAGCGAGTCCTGGCGGGCGACTCGGGGAGATTGGACTTCTTCGAACCGCGCTGAGCCGCCGCGGCCCTGGATGTCGCGACCGAGAAATAACGGGCACTGCTGCTGCATTGAGTGCAGATCCATGGCCGACGAGCTAACAGACCCGGATGTCTCATTGTGAAGGGAGATTGAGGGCGATTGTCGAAGAAGGTAGGTGCAGGAGGAAAGGAAAGAGAAGTAATCGGAGGATCTGCGGCGAGAAGCTCCGACCAGAAAAATAAAAAAAAGGCGGACTGAATTTTCCCCAACTTTTGACATTTCCTTAAACCCGCATCTTCTCCTCACTTCACCCTCGAGCTTCCTTTGGAGTATATTGCCTGCTGCTATAGACCTTCTTTGTGTTCTCTTTTTGTTTTTATATTTGCATCTGAGAATATCTTACAGCCCTCAGTATGTTGGCTCCTCTCTTCTGGTACGACCGACCGGACAAGCTAACGTGCACGCCGATCTAGTGTCGAAAGCCGAAGTTGACCTCTATGGTATGCTTACCTTCTTGTGTTTGTTCCTGTTTCTATTCGAGTTTATTTCTTGTCTCTATATAACCGCGATTATACGATCACCTGAAGCAGGGGGACAATAGCTAACCTGCGCGGGTAACAGAGGTCCTAGAAATCACCAGCGACGCATCCCGAGAAGAGATCCGAAAGGCTTATCGCAAGGTACGACATGCATCAACGCGCTCTACCTGAGTCACAGTGAGGATGGAACTAAACATATTACTGCTAGGCCGCTCTTTCCAGTCACCCCGACAAAGTCCCCGAAGAAGAACGTGAAGAAGCCGAAATCAGGTTCAAGTCCGTCCAGGAAGCCTACGATATCCTCTACGATGACGACAAGCGACACCTCTACGACACGCATGGCATGGGCGCCTTCAATGGTTCCGGCGAACCGGGAATGGGTGCTGCCCCAGATCTAGACGACCTTCTGGCGCAGATGTTCGGCATGGGCGGTATGGGGGGAATGGGAGGCATGGGAGGTATGGGTGGTATGCCCGGAGGTATGCCCGGAGGCCAGTCGCGGAGGAGTCCCAACGAAGAGCAGAAGTATGAGGTGCGCTTGGAAGACCTCTACAAGGGCCGCACGGTCAAATTTGCCAGCACGAAGAACGTGATCTGCGGGCTGTGCAATGGTAAAGGCGGCAAGGAGAAGGCGAAGGCGAAGAAATGTTCTACTTGTGACGGTGAAGGTACGAAAAATCTGGACAACAGCTCACACTCGAGTCGTCCCGGAACTGACGAGCTTTTTGTCTTCTAGGTTACAAGCAGATCTTGACCCAGATGGGCCAGTTCCTCACACCCAAGACGGTGGCTTGCTCCACCTGTAACGGACAAGGTCAATTCTTCAGCCCCAAGGACAAATGCAAGAAGTGCAAGGGAAAGAAGACAACAGAGGCCAGGAAGATGCTGGAGATCTACATTCCCCCCGGAGCGAGGTGAGTTGAGAGTTAATGCTGGTCCCCGGTCTCTGTCCAAGTCGCTAACGACGTGGTTTAGGGAGGGAGATAAGATCGTTTTGGAGGGTGAAGCGGACCAAATCCCGGATAAGGAACCGGGTGACATTGTATTCCACATCGTGGAAGAGGAGCATGCTACATTCCGCAGGGCCGGTGCTGATTTGACGGCCGAAATCGACGTCACCCTGGCCGAGGCGCTGGCCGGCTTCTCGCGGGTAGTCATCAAACACCTGGACGGACGTGGAATCGAGCTCAAGCACCCGCAGAAACCTGGTCAGGTCCTCTCGCCCGGTCAGGTTCTGAAGATCGCCGGCGAGGGTATGCCCATTAAGCGCAGCGACGCCCGCGGTGACCTGTACCTGGTTGTCAACATCAAATTCCCGGATGAGAAGTGGCAGCCTAGCCCGGCTGTGCTGGAGAAGCTCAAGGAGATGCTGCCCAAGCCGGATCCCGCCATCACGGCGGACACGGTGGACGAGGTCGAGTACGACCCCAAGGGCAACCTGGAGAGCTTCGGATCCAACGACCCTCAGGGCGGCAGTGGCTGGGAGGACGAGGAGGACGAGGGCGAGACGGCGCAGTGCGCGGCACAGTAGATACGGATTGAATTGGTTTATCGTTCCACCTTTTATACCTCATAGGGTTCTGGCATTGGGGGGGCGTTATGTCATTGTTATGATTGAGAAACATTTTTTCTGTGAATAGTAATACGGGTCGACCCTCTCCTCTCGAGTCTGATGACCATTACCACCGATATGATATGACATGATTTGACGTGGGGAGAGGGAGAGGGAGAGAGTGGGATGTTCCCAACTTCCTGTCGAGAGGTACTCCGTGGTAGAAGGACCCCCATGCCCGTCTCCATAGTTTAGCGTGGGGTTTCCCGCTCTTCTCCATTCTTTCCCTCTTCACCAACGAGTCTTCTTTGCAAAGTCCTGGGCGAGGAGCCTTCACCATGGCCCTCCCCTTCCTCTTCCTTCCCATCATTTGTATTCTTACTTAAATCCGGCTCTGCTTCGTCTGTCGGCCCCCTCGTCGGACATCCTCCGTGCGTCGGCTTTTCTTTCCCGGCTTTCGTCGCGTCCCATCTTATTTCTACCCAAGTCCCGGCCGCTCTAGTCAGAGCTTATCGCGCGCCATTTTTATCTTGCTTTATTAATCATCGATATCCTATACATCCATATCTTCCCCGACGGAGAGCTAGCCGATGAAATTCTCGTCACTCGCGTGTTCCTTTCGTCCCGCCACATAGATTCTCGACTCCCGAAGGACCCAAATTTTACCTAGTGGAAGAAGAACGTGGGGAAGAACGCCCCAAATCTGAATCATGCCGTGTGAACCCCAGAAATCGTGCGAGGGCTGTTCCTGCGACGCGGGGTCTAGTCGCCCCCCGGTGAACATCGAGGACTGTGAATCTGAGCTCCTGGCTCTTCGAAAGCGCACCGCCGAGCTCGAAAAGGCCCTGAAAACTGCCAAAGATGGCTCCTCCGGTCCCCGCGCCGCCCGGAAGGGGCGCAAGCTGCGATCGTCCAATTGGTTTACTTGCGAAAGTAATCCCGCCATGATGGCCCTCTACATCGAGCGGTATCTCAACTACGGCATCACTCGGGAGGAGCTGATGGCCGGCAAGCCGATTATAGGAATCGCGCAGTCCGGATCGGACTTGTCGCCGTGCAATCGGCATCACCTGGAGCTGGTGAAGCGGGTTCGGGAAGGTATCCGAATGGCGGGCGGCATTGCCTTTGAGTTCCCAACGCATCCCATCCAGGAAAGTAGTCGGAGGCCTACCGCGTGTATCGATCGGAATCTGTCCTACCTGGGTCTGGTGGAGGTGCTCTATGGATATCCCTTGGATGGCGTGGTTTTGCTGACCGGTTGCGACAAAACCACACCCGCGGCGTTGATGGCTGCTGCCACGGTGGTATGTGCTTGCAAGGGCTTCTCGCAATTGGGCTGGTGAGGTGCTGACGAATTTACAGAATATTCCCGCTATCTGCCTGAATGTAGGCCCTATGCTCAATGGGTATGTCAAAAATGAACTTGCAGGATCGGGGATGGTAGTCTGGAAGGGCCGAGAGATGTATGCTGCCGGGGAGATCAACCAAGAGGAGTTCATTGACTACGTGTCTAGAGGGTATGTTAGAAAACCCCTATTGTTAATCTTGTCTGACAACTTGTCAAAGAGCCCCCTCCGTGGGACATTGCAACACCATGGGGACGGCATCGACCATGAATGCGCTGGCGGAGGCACTGGGCATGGCCCTGCCAGGCTCGGCGGCCATTCCCGCTCCCTACAGAGAACGCGGCCAGTGCGCCTATGAAACCGGTCTGCAGATCGTTGAGATGGTACACGCGGATCGCAAACCGAGCGACATCATGACGCGCGCGGCCTTTGAGAATGTCATCACCACCAATACGGCTATCGGCGGAAGCACGAATGCCCCCATCCACATCAATGCCATTGCTAAGCATATCGGGGTGGACGTCTCTCTGGATGACTGGGACCAGCTCGGATTTCACATCCCACTTCTTCTAAACATGCAGCCGGCTGGAGAGCTACTGGGAGAGGAGTATTTCCGGGCCGGTGGTTTACCGGCCATCATGGCGGAATTGCTGGACGCCGGGAAATTAAACCCGGACGCATTGACCTGCAATGGCCGCACGGTAGCAGAGAACGTGCAAGGGAAACATACCTGGGATCGCCGGATGATTCGCGCATACAATAAACCCCTTCTGGGAGATGCAGGCTTCTTGCACCTCCAGGGCACTTTGTTCAATTCCGCCATCATGAAAACCTGTGTGATTTCCGAACAATTTCGACAAAAGTTCTTGGAAAACCCCGACGATCCGATGGCATTCGAAGGCGTCGTCGTCGTGTTTGATGGTCCAGAGGATTACCATCATCGTCTTGAAAACCCGTCCACGCCCATCGACGACCGCAGCATCTTGGTGATGCGCGGCGCCGGTCCGTTAGGATACCCCGGAGCCGCAGAAGTGGTGAACATGCACCCACCAGGTCGTCTCCTACGAGAGGGGGTCAAGTCTCTCCCGTGCATCGGAGACGGTCGACAGTCGGGTACGTCTGGGTCTCCGTCAATTCTAAACGCCAGTCCAGAGGCCGCGGCAGGAGGCAACTTAGGGCTTCTGCGCGACGGCGACAAACTCCGAGTTGACCTCAACCGACGTCGTGTCGACATCTTGGTTCCTGCTGAGGAGATCGAGAAGCGACGTTTAGCGCTCGAAGCTAGCGGTGGGTACGCTGTGCCGGAGAGTCACACCCCATGGCAGGAGCTGTTCCGGAGGGAGACGACGCAACTGAGTGAAGGAATGGTGCTGCGGGATGCAGTCAAGTTCCATCGCCTGGCGCAGAAGTATGACGAGCCTAGGCACAACCATTAAGAAATCACTTGGGGATAAAAGGTTCAATCTTGGTATATTTCGAGTACATATTTTTTGGCTATTAGCACTTTGAATTTTATTTGGATTTTGAAATACTTGAACGTGTCTCCCCTTGGACTTGTGATCGCATCTATCTAGACTACGGTAACTCGGCAAAGAGGTAGGGTTCCGTTGGATCTGGAACGGAATGAAAAACTAAAAGATCACGGAATAAAGGCGTCAGAGAACATATTATGGCCATCTTGTCTTCTGAGTTATTTTTATCTTTTCTTTTCCATCCAAGCATCCTTTTCCGCGCCCTCATCACCCTCATAACACTACATTTCCTTGATTGTCTCGTCCCACCTGGTTTATTTGCAGTACCTCTCGAAACAAAATGGAAAACCTCACGACCGATTTCTATATCTCGACTATCAGTCCGACCGCGGCCGATATAATGATGAACGAGCTAATACAGGGTATCGCCCATGGTGTATGGTTCGTGGCTCATGTCATTGTGCCGGTGGTCACAGTTATTCTATTAGTATTTGGAATATCCTTCCTTGTGGGGCTTATAGCTGGCTGTATAATGGCATGTTGTGTATGTCCCTACCCGTCCTTTTATCTCCTTCTATTTCTCTCGCCCCAGATGCTGCGTAATCCATGCTTATATGTTACTGATATTGAAATCTCATATTGATAGGGTGTGCTGCCTCCACCAGATTCCTGTCCGAAGTCCTCATCAAGGGAAGATTCCCGCGTGTTGGAGGCGCGCGAATTTGAAGGTATGACCTAGCTTCTTAGTGCTTATATTCCCTGGTTTGAGATGGCTTGTCTGTTTGGTGTATGTGATTGTGGTGATGATCTTGGTATGGAGGAACCTGAAGCAATGGTGTTCGAATAGTTGCTTTGCTTTGCTGGAGGGCTCAAATCCATGTCTTCGCATCTATGTAGAGTTTTGTTGGACCTGAAACGGGATGAAAAATTAGAAGATCACGGAATAAAGATGTCAGAGGACATAGTGATGATATTATGACCGTTATATCTTCTCTTCCTCCCCCCCTTAATCTACCTATCCTTTTCCGCACCTTCATCGGCCTCATAAAATTACACCCCCATCCCTGATTATCTCATCCCATCTGATTAATCTATCACTCAAAAACACTATTGGAACCACCATGGCCGACTCGACTACCAGCTCGACGGCGGCCGAGAGCATTTTTGAAAACAACGCTATACCATGGATCATGCTGCTAGCTGGTATAGGTTTCCTTCTTTTAGTTCTTGTACTCATTGTATGCCCCTCTCTATCCTTTTTTTTTCTTCTATTTCTTTTAGCCGAGACGCTGCATAATCCATGCTTATACATAGCTAATGTTGAAATTTTATATTAATAGTATTGGTGGCCATTTTCTCCAATAAATACCCATTCGGAGCCCTCACCAAGGGAAAATCTTAGCGCCTCGGAGGCGCGCAAATTAGAAGGTATAGTCTATTTTTTTTAATACTTTTATTCCCTATCTCGAAGTCACTTATCCATTTATTCTTAACGGGATAGGACAAAAGTTGATCCTCTAAATTGGTTTATAGTGGAACTCGAAGTTGTGGATGCAACTAATGCTGGTGATGATGTTGATGTTAGTAGTTTTAATAAAGATAAGAAAAACCCTGAAGAAATGGTCTGATGGGCTAGTTTGTGTGGAGTGAGGAAAGCCCGAATAGAACCACTGTTTGCGTTGCGTTGCGTTGCTTTTGGGACTCGCTGGAGGGCTCAAATCATGCGGTTATTGATCTAGAAGAAAGAATACAACGTCTTCTTTTCTTGCTTGTTTTAAGTAGAAATAGCCGAGATGGGATATGTTCAACATCCGATTTATCTTGTCACGCATCATGTGTTTGTTAATGAAACCAGGATATTCCATCAGTAACATCCACCACAAAGCAGGCGAAGAACAACCTAAATGTCTTAATTTTTGCCTGAAATCAGGCTGTGTATTGAAGTTCAAATTCAAGCGGAGCGTGGCAAAGTCGAGCAAACATCCATCCATTCAATAAAATGGATGACATTGGATGAAGCGATTTCGATACGAACTAGTTATCAGCCCTACGTGACATCATCTCGCGAAGAACTCAGCCCCCCTTTTGGAGATCGTCCTCGTATTTCCCACTTTTGCCGCACGGGGAAGTGCGTCTATTGAATATGGTATGGTGGGATTGGCGGTTTGGTTCCTTGATTGCTTGCTTGGATTGCAGCGGTCAGGAAGTCCTAGCCGAGTACGAGGGTGCCGAATTGGATATGTCGGATCGGGGTTTTGCTGGTCGTCTAGGAGATTTTGTTCCTCGGAAGGAAGGGTATAAGTAGAGTGAGGGCTCGCTCTCTCTTTTTGTCTTGTTCTTTCGTGAGTGTATTTCTATGATCAAGTCTAACTAACTGTGTTTGTGACTGGTCTATTGATCTTCATGTATTTCTTTTCCTCTCTTCTTCTTGTAACTGCTACCGCGTCGGCGGTGGCGGTCAATTTGCTACCGACCGGTCGGTGTCTTCCATCTCAGCCGTGCTGGCCTTCTGATCAGACATGGCAGGCCCTGAATGAATCCGTCTCGGGTCGTCTTGTAACGGTCAAACCAGTCGGTTGGCCGTGTCATGATCCCACGCTGGACTCGGCCCTATGCGATGAGCGGAAGGTACTCAGTACTAATTCCTCCTGGCGTCGCGAACAGCCCGGCGCACTCCAGTACCAGAACTGGGAAGCCCTGCCGTCGGCGAACGAGAGTTGTTTCATGAAAACACCTAGCTTGGTGCCCTGTGGCCAGGGAAGAGTGCCTGTGTATTCTGTTGTTGCTGAAACCGTCGGGGATATACAACAGGCTGTGCGATTTGCACGGGACCAGAACTTGCGTCTGGTGGTCAAGAACACGGGCCATGATTTTCTAGGTCGGTCGGGAGCGCCGCATTCTTTGCAAATTGCCACTTTCAAGATGCGTGAGCTTTCGTTTAGCGATGAATTTGTGCCTAAAGGGGCCCCGGGGGGTCGCGGTCTTGGGTCGACGGTGACGGTTGAAGCGGGTGCCGTTCTAGATGAGATCTACCCGGCCGTGAAGGAAGAAGGTAAGGTGGCGGTTTTGGGAGCGGCGCATACAGTCGGCGCTGCTGGAGGATATATTCAGGGAGGTGGACATTCGCCTATTGGTTCCTGGAAAGGCATGGCATCTGACAATGCCGTGGAATTCGAGGTGGTAACTGCAGATGTAAGCACTTAGATACTCGTCTATGCTTGACAGCTTGTGAACATGGGCTGACACATCAACACTAGGGCGATCTGGTCACGGCCAACCAGTATCAACACCAGGAACTGTTCTGGGCTTTGCGCGGTGGCGGTGGAGGAACGTTTGGAGTCGTCACCAAAGTCACTTTGCGGACCTTTGATGAAGTGCCCACGGTGGCCGTGAATCTGACCATTTCCATGCCCTGGAGTCCGAACTCCAGCTACTGGCAGGCCCTGGCGGAATTTAGCTCACATATTCCGACTATCAACGACGAGAACTGTGCTGGATACTTATTCTTGGTGCCGAAGCTTTCCTTGGAGAATTTCACCGTGTCCGTGCTACAGGCGGATACTTTGTGCATGGATCAATCGGCTGCCAAGGTTGATAAGCTCTTTGACTCTGTTCTCGCGCCCATCCGCGCTCTGCCTGATGTTACAGTCACCTATAACTCGACCTCCTACCCTACCACCAATATGGCTCTGGATAATACGCTCATAGTGGGAAGTAGCTACGACCAGACCGGTGATTTGGCCATCTTAGGCTCTCGTCTGATCTCTCGTGACTTGCTCCAGTCATCAAACGGAGGCTATGACGTCGCTAAGACGATTTCTCAACTGCAGACGAGCGATGGAGAACTGATACAAGTCCACTTCGTGGCTGGAGGACAAGTCACCAAAAATGTGGACGTGGAGAGCGGATTGAACCCGATCTGGAGAAAGGCGGCGTTGAGTGTGATTTGGACACGCTCTTGGCCTCCGGGTACCTCGGCGCCCGAGATCCACGCCGTGGAGGAACAAGTCACCCGTGAAGTTGAGATGTTCAAAGCTCTCGAGCCAGACATGGGGGCGTACTCCAACGAGGCAAATCCCAACGAAGTGGATTTCCAGAAGACTTTCTGGGGAGAGAACTATGCACGATTGTATGACATCAAGCAGAAGGTAGATGCTCGGGGGTTGTTTATTGCTCGCAAAGGAGTTGGTAGTGAAGATTGGGATGATCAAGGGCTCTGCCGACGAGCAGTCTGACCAACCGGTGGCATCGCATACTAGATCGTCGCAAAAGTAGAAGACTAGAAGTTCAGGCTTAGCAATGCCCAACCTAGAATATAGCAAGAGTAGAAGTTCAATTTTAGCATTGTCCAGTTTTCGAATTGTTCGTTTTCTCATTCAGAGTTTAGTGAAGGGACAAGTAGGACAACTGAAACATATTGATAATGCATCTGCAGGTGTCTCAGAAAGGCAGGCTTAGTGAGTCGACCTATGAGTCTAACTATGACCAAGTCTGACTTGGCTGAGGCAATTAACGAACATGAAAGTCGTATGGCTGACGACGTACGACTGTGCATGAGCCACATTTAGCAGTGGCTCAGACTCAACTACTCCGTAGCGCGCAAACGGAGGTACGCGACTCTAACTATAAGCAGTCTAGGCTTAGATGACCGGTGGCTGAGGCTAGCGTTCTCGGGTTTCTCAGTACTCCGTAATCCGTAGCTCTCGAAAGTCATGGAATAGGCTGCAGGTGTCATATAATGAACGAATACTTCAGAATCTTAGACACCAGATCACACCACGTCGCCACGGACCTTGGGACCTGAGGCTATGTTCTCCGATAATTTGGCGTAACGGTCGCTGAGTAGAGTCTCCAATTACGAAGAGTCAACCTGCTGATCTCACTAAGCTTTACGACGCAGCGGAATAGATTCTGTATATTTTTGATATACGTGGTTGTCAGGTAGACAGCGAAAGTCAGCTCGAGGATTGTGTGCCAAGGCCGTTCCTGGGCCAATTTCCAGGATGCCCTAAGCTCGGAAAGATGCTTAGCGGCTCCTCTGCTTATGATATTGTGGCCATAAGATGATCGGCAAGTGACCAGGATGGCGATAACAAGAGTTCTGGCGATTCGCGTGCCAAGAGGCCAAGGTCCAAATCCTTCAGGTTGCCAGAGATGGCGAACTCCCAACCAATTCTATAGTCGATAACATGCACATGGCCGTCAGCATTGGCCTCCAGCAAGGATGCAGATGATAGTCGAAGGAACAAGTCAATAACTTCCAGCCAAGACGGGCGTTATCGGTCTCGACTTAAGAATTACGGAATCAACGCTGACGATCCGGACTGCCAAGGTATTGAGTCACCGGGTGGGTGGTTAGCAAGGTTTCGTAAAGGATGAGAGAAGTGGATAATTTTGGAAAGCCGAGACTTTGAAGCTGAGACGGACGACTGTGAGGAATGCAAAACACATAACGAGAGAGGGAAAAAAAAGTCTTCCAGTGGATCACGGGAAGGCCCACACCGCGTAGGGTCTGGGCCGGCCCCGTGATCCCTGGCTTTTCGGGCGTTCTCATCTTTTTTTTTTTTTTTCCGCGCTTCTTCCCGGCTTCTGCTTCAGACCGCCTCAGGAAGTCCCCTCTCAAGGCAGCCATCTTATTTCTTCTTTTTTTCTTTTTTTAATTTCTCTCACTCTCTCGCTACCCACCCCTGTCTATATATTCCATCTAACATGTTTAATATTTCCACTCTCGCCCAGTCAGAAGCTCGATTCCCACCATGCGCCCCTGACGAACAGTAACAAGCACTCTTGTTTCTTCGTCCTTTGCGTGTGTGTGCGCTGTGCGCTGTGCGCCGTGCGCCGTCGGTCACTGCACCTCTCCTGATCTTTCCCCCTGAATCCATCTGATTTCCTGGATTGGTGCCATTTGGATATCAGCCGATTCATTCCATCTGCCGCTCAAGACCCGACGTGGTGTTATCAGCCTCGAACCTGTCGCAATCGGTCCTCCTCAAGAGACCCTGTGTTACCCACCACAAGTCTAGATCGACCGTCCACACCTGTTCCATCCTTATATACTTACTTGCACACCGCATTCTTCCATCGACGCGCCCTTGATACCGCAGAAACAACTAAGCAGTGCCGTTTTAAATCATTCCGACGAATCCTATCCTCTCCCGAAGACATTCAAACATACCCTCCACGGTGATTGATTGTCTTGCAATTCTCCTCAACTTGTATATTTTCTTAGGTCATACTTGTTTACATTTTGTCAAGATGGCTGTCGATCTATAATTTCTCCTCGCCCCTCGTCTCTTCTCGTCTCGCCTCGCCTCCGTCGTCTACACGCATCTACGTTACCTTTTCTTGATCAGCAATTAAGCGAGTTTATCCTTCCTGCTTTTAGCGTCCCGGACATCATGGCGCCCAACCTCTTCCTCTGCCTGCGCATGGCCTTCTGTCCCGTCTACTGGTTTCAGCGCGGAGAGCGCATTCAAGGTTCCATCCACAAGGAGGAACATTGGGATTCTCCCATTCCCGGAATCTACAAGTACATTCCCGGCCGCGGATGGCACCTGATGTGCAAAGATGGCCACGAATTCGATGAGAAGGTCCCCGTGCCTCTAGTTTACTGTCGCATCCTTCACCGCCACATTTTTGAACCCGAGATGGAAGATCGCTGCCAGTGGCACACCGTCAACGAGGAGGGTGCCGAATCCGGAAAGTTCATGTTCTTCCGCTTGGATGATGGCAAAACCTGGGTGACTGGATGGGACTCCAAGGGCAAGTTCATCCCTGGTCCCTACCAGAAATGGTATTTTGACTCGGAAACGAACACCATGCGTCGCATTCTGTTTCCCGAGAGCGCCAATGTTTCTCGCTGCAGCGTCCTGGCGGACAAGCTAGCTTGAACTGTCGACTTCTGGCGCAATGCGATACCCACGGAGGCAGTCTTTTGTATGAAAAGATCGCATATCGACCTTCCCGCGACATAGATTGTTTTGATTCCACAGCTGGTGTCTTCGGATTCTCAACCAAACCAAAAGTGATTTCAAAAAGTGATTTTCATGATTTTAGAGCAATAATTCTTATTATCCCTGAGCGTACTAGCGAATGCTTGTCCGCGTTTCCTACCAATGTTTTTGTTTTTGTTTTGTTTTGCTTTGCTTTCTTATTCTCAAAAGTCTGTTTGGACTTGGCGATGGCGCTGGACTTTGGGGATAGACCCGGGATAGAGTTCTGATTTTTTTTTTTTTCTTTCATATGATACCAATGTTGCGATCCCCACAAAAAGTTCGAGACAAAAGTTTCAATACCAATTTATTTCATAGATCATTCAAGTGAATCAGGTAGCAGAGAAGTAGGCAGTATGGTCTCACCGAGCCACGGACACCTCGTATGCCCGACGCACATCTCGGACAGGTCAGAAATGCACGCTGCAGAGGTCGTGCATCCGCTGCAAGTCTTGCCTCCGACGGTATCTGTGATGTAGCTGCATATCGCATATGTACCTTGAACCGGTCTGAGGGATCGGCAAAGCCACACGGATGTTTGAGTCCGATGAATAAAAAAAGAAAAACCTTATCATGTCCAATTAGAATTCTCGTGTCCATCCTACTTGACAAATTCCAGATTGTATAGACAGCTGGAAGACCAGGGTGACAGCAAACTGTCAATCAATTCCTCCTTGTTTATGTGTATGTATTATCTGCCGATGTCACCAGGACACCGACACCGATCGCTACCCAATCCCTAATCGCCATATATCGATCCTTCCCCTTGACTGTCCGGTCTCGGGCAAGATTCCCCTCGCACTGTGGCTTCAGCCATGTAGCCCCACGTCCATGGAACATAAGACACCTATTCCATGAATCAACAAATCACAACTTCGCCGCCCCCGCCACGTCTGTCCGCAACTTCTCCAACTCCCGTCGCGTCTTCTCCTCCATCCCCGCGCTGGTCGGTCTCATCGTCTCCCTTGCGACAAACACATGCGTGTACCCGCCCACAACCTTCACGGTGTCCTCGCCCTCCTTAAAGACCCCGACTTCGTAGGTGACGCTCGAAGAACCGAGTTTTGCGACTCGTAGGCCTAGATCTAGCACGTCGGGGAAGGAGACCGAGGCGAAGTAGTCGCAGTAGGAGTTTACCATGATAGCGACTTGGTTTGAGATGGGCGGGGCGTTGCTGTCTTTTTCTTTGTCGTGGTTGTTGTTCATGGAGAAAGGGTCCATTCCGCAGTTGTTGATCAGGTAGGTGTTGACGATGGAGTCGAAGAGCATGGCGTATACGGTGTTGTTGAGGTGCGCGTACATGTCATTGTCGAACCTGGAATTAGGAATTAGTTGATTGGATTTGGGAATGAATAGAATGGTCGTAGCAGTAGAAGATAAGGGAGTGAAGAGCTCGTGCGCTAGGAGGTAGTTTGGTGAATAGAAAGAGGAGCAAGTACCATCTTGTTCGATAGGTCTGATGGAAGACATAGTCGCTGCGAGTGCGGCGCTTCTTCGCCTCGATCTCTGGAGAAGGCATGGTGATATGTATGAGGGCAGTATGGATGTGAGGAAAGGGGAGTTGTGAAGCCAACTGCGGAGGACGACGCCGTTCCGCCAGAAGTATAAGAGGATAAACCATCAGCCGAGGTTCATCGGTGCCGAAGCCACCTTTCCCGATAAGGTTAGTGGGCGATTTCCCCGACTTTCAGATGTTTGCGACTTTCTCCTTCTCTCTCTCTGTCTATCTTTCTCTTTTCCACTCTATCAATCTTAGATCAAATAACCTATTCTGCATCGCGTCCATGTGGAATATTACGTTTAAGCCGTGGTTCCTGTACACATCCCAATACATCCGATATCGGCTCGGACCAGTCACCAGTATGACATCTTGGCGTCATCTTAGCCTATTCGCAGGGCTGAGCCTGAACAATAAATGAGCCGTCTTATTTCGTGGCTTTATGTCATGATTTGATATGTCTTGAGACGACTTTCAATAGGGCTTCTAGCCTTTCTATTTCAACTTTTCCATTCATAGTTATACTAAAATGGAAGTAGTGGCCGCTCTCGGTGCCTGGGCCTTGGGCAAGTTCAACGTCTCCCTGCCATGGATCAGCGATCCTATCACCCACCATCCAGCTCGCATAAGCGTGGATCTGGGCCTGAAGCTCTCAAACGGAGCGCAAATTCTTTTCCCCAGTACTCCGGGATTCGAAGCGGCTACGACCCGGAATTCTCAGTATAACGCCCCCAACATCACGGTGGTCGTACAAGTCGCGCAGGAGGAAGATGTAGCTGAAACGGTGAGTTGTCAGCGGAAAATGTCGTGAATAATTCTGAACGGTGGATAGGTCAAGTATGCCAATGCCAATGGCATTCCCTTCTTGGCTGTGAACAGTGGCCACGGCGCCCTGGCTAGCTTGGGGGGGGTGCAGCATGGTATCGAGATCTGGCTGGACAGGCTGGACTCGATTTCCATAGCCGAGGATGGTACAACGGCTACCTTTGGAGGAGGCGTGAAGTCGGGAATGATCATAGATGCGCTGTGGGAAGTCGGGAAGCAGACCGGTATGTCATCGCTGGAATCTCGATCTAATATACTGGATTGACCGTGCCTAGTGACGGGTAGCTGCGAATGTGTCAGTCTCCTGGGACCGGGGCTAGGTGGTGGCCATGGATTCCTGCAGGGCATATATGGTCTCGTTTCGGACCAGTTTGTCTCGATGCGCGTGGTGACTGCCGATGGCATTATTCGCACCGTCTCATCCTCCGGTCCACATGCGGATCTGTGGTGGGCTATGCAAGGTGCTGGCCACAATTTCGGGATCGTGACTTCTGTTACTTCCAAAATATACGACGTGACATATGACGGACTGTGGTCATATGAAAGCTATGTCTTCACCTATGACAAAGTTGAGGATCTCTATGATCGTATCAATCGATTCTCCATCGACGGCGTCCAGCCGGTAGACCTCATCAATTACTCGTTCTTCTTTCGCAACCCTGATATGGATCCGGAGAATGTAAGGCTGCGCTGTCCTATATATCATTGATCTTGCTAATTTACTCAACCACAGCCCGTCATCGCCCTCTTCCTTTTCCAGCAGGGCAAATTTTCCGTCGAGTCCGTATATGCAACCCCGTTGAGAGATCTCGACCCTCTCGTGGTCAGTTCCGGATCAGGAACATATAAAGACATACCATCCTGGACATCCACATCCAGAGACTCCCCTGCTTGCCAAAAAGCCAACATTATTAGCAGTGTCTGCTTCCCGCTCAACCTCCGGTCCTACGATATCCAAGCGCAACGAGCAGCATTCGACGCATTTGCTGCGGGAACATCTGATGGCTCAGGGTTCAACAATTCTGTCTTTCTATTTGAAGGATATTCCGTGCAAGGTGTGCAGTCCGTGCCGTCTGAGTCTACGGCATATCCTCACAGAGAGGATCCGTTGCTCGTCTCGCCGCTCATCGTATACTCCGATCCGGCGCTCGATGACAAGGCGCGGGAATTTGGAGAGAGTTTGCGAGAGATATTGTTCCGAGCGAGCGGTCAGAAGGAACTGCATGCGTATGTCAACTATGCGTCGGGGCATGAGCAACCGGGGGATTGGTATGGGCATGAGTCGTGGAGACTGGAGAGGTTGAGAGCATTGAAGGCAAAGTACGATCCTCAAGAGAATTTCAGATTTTACGGACCTATTGTTTAGATAGGTAAATTGATGAATGGATCTTCTTTTTTTCTAATAGTCCCAGCCATTCGCGTGATGTCCCTCAGGATAGAGTTCCGTTGGAACTTTGGAATATCACGGAATAAAGACGTCGGAGAGCATGGTGACGATCTTATGACCGTCTTTTCTTGCCATTTTCTCTTCTCCTTTTTCCATTCTCCTTTTCTGCACCTTCATTGCCTTCATCACACCTACCCCCAGTCTTATCGTCTCATCTGGATTCATCTACCACTCGAAAACAACATCGACAGACTTCTCCAGTGCGACTGCTATCTCGACTGCCAGCTCGACCGCGGCCCCTGGAAATGGACCACCTCAAGGAAGGGTTCGCCCTCGGGATAGTGTTCTTCGCTTGTGGCATCGTGCCAATAGCTGTAGTTGTTGGACTAGTACTTGGAGTAGCAATCCTGGTGAAGATCATGGTCGTCTGTATAATGGCACTAAATGTCTGGGCCTCTCTGCCCCTTCTCTCTCTCTTTTATCTCTCTTAGCTGAGACGCTGTATGATCCATGCTTGTACGTTACTGATGTTGAAATGTCATATTGATAGAAGCGGCTGAGTTCTTCACCAAAGAGAAATACTCGCGTCTCGGAGGCGCGCAACCCCGAAGGTACTTCGTACTTGTATTCCCTGTCCTGAAGTGGCTCTTCTGTTTGGTGTGAGAGATGCTAAGTCAATAATTTAATTTACAGATGAAATCGCGGGTAGTGATGAGTGTCTTTTGGGCGATGATTTGGAACCTGAAGCAATGGTCTGATGGGTTTGCTTTGTGTTGAGTCAGGGAAGTTCGAATAGAACCACTGTTTGCGTTAGATAGAAAAGAAGGTCGTTTTCAGTTACTTGCTTTGTCTTTAGTTCAGAATATCCAACACTCTGAATCTATCTTGTCAAAATATATAGTGCTACTATGCTAGACTGCTAGTCCCCGTTATCTGCGATAAGATCCCCCGCAGTCCGAAATTTTCCCCCTCGAAATATTTTTTCGTCCCTCTCCCTTCCTCCCACAACATCAAACCCCTCCAAAGCCCACCATTCAACCTCCATTCTCATCCTACCTGCCCCTCCGAGTCCTTTCGCAACTGCTGCGACAAGGCAGGGCCCCTATCCCTGCACCCCGCAGCATGGCCGACCCGACCGCGCAACCGCCCGTCGAGGCAGCAGCACCGCCTGAGGGAGAAGAAGAACAGACCACGGCCACCACGACCTCGAGCAAAAAGAACTGGCCGGCGCCGTATTACTACGAGAACGGGCTGAGACGCGTCAAACCGTACCATTTCACATACAATACCTTCTGCAAGGAACGGTGGCGCAATCGCGAGTTGGTCGATATCTTCATTTCGGAGTTCAGGGATCGGCCGCCGGAGTATTATGTGCATTCCTCCATTCCCCCCTCTCTACTATCTTACGGACCTAGCTGTGGTGTCATGCTGTATACGATGAGAACGAACTAACCCAACCAAATGACAGAGACAAGCACTCATCGACGGAAAAGTGACGGTCGACAAGAAAGCCGTGGGCCCGCACCACATCGTCAAGAACGGCGAAGTGATCTCGCATACCCTGCATCGCCATGAACCGCCCGTCACGGCCAACGAGATCGGCGTCGTCCACGAAGACGACGACCTCTTGGTCATTGACAAGCCGGCCGGTGTCCCCGTGCACGCCGCCGGTCGGTACTACTATAACTCAATCATTGAGATCCTGCGCCACCAGCATAACATCGACTGGACGCCGAGGCCGTGTAATCGGCTCGATCGCCTGACGTCGGGGGTCATGTTTATCGGGAAGAATCCGAAAGGCGCGGAGAAGATGGCGGGGAAGTTGAAGCAACGGACTGTGCAGAAGGAGTACGTCGCGAGAGTCAAGGGGAAGTTTCCCGACGGGGTGGTTATCTGTGATCAACCGATTATGTCGGTTAGTCCGAAGGTCGGGTTGAATCGTGTCAGAGCCACGGGGAAGGAAGCGACTACGAAGTTCCGCCGGTTGGCGTATTATCCGCCCCCGATGGAGGGACAGTTGTCGGGTCCTCGGCCAGCCTCGCGCGATGGGGACGGGAGTCGACCCGCGACGCCGCCGCCGATGCTCTCGAATGAGACGGAGGGATACAGTATCGTGCACTGTCTGCCGCTAACGGGTCGCACGCATCAGATCCGCGTGCACTTGCAGTTCTTGGGCCACCCGATCACGAACGATCCGATCTACTCGAACCGGCGCGTGTTTGGGCCGGAGCTGGGCAAGATGGAGGAGGGCGGGGAGCGCGACGACGAGATCATCGAGCGGTTGAATACGATGGGCAAGACCGGGACGCCGGACACGGTGAGCTACAAGACGCATTTCACTGCCGCGCCGATGGTTCCGCCGGGCACCGACTCGTCCGTGGTCGAGCAGATTATGTCCAAGGAGCACGAGGACGCCGTGGCTCGGTATCATCAGCGCAAGGGGGAGATGCTGTCCGGCGAGACCTGTGACGTCTGCGGCACTGAACTCTATACTGATCCCGGCCTGCATGACCTGGGTATCTTCTTGCATGCCGTGGCCTACTCGGATAACGAGGGCGAGTGGAAATATCGTAGCAAGATGCCGCAGTGGGGACTGCCGCCGGCTGGATTGGATGGGCCTCGCGAGGTTCCCGATTGGATCCCTGTGCCGCCGGAAGAAGAGGTGGTGATCGGACATGGTACGATTCCGGAGGGATTGGACGGCGAGGAAACCAACGTACCGGCTCTGGTGAGAGGTGTGGGCTTGGTGGATATTTCATCGGCGAGGCAGCAGCAGGAGCAGCCGGCGGAGGCGGGGGTTTAATTAGACAACGTACATGAACTGGACGATGATAGCAGGGGACGTTATTGGAATAGATGTTAAAAAATGATCGATACCTGCATATAGAATATTTTAGACATGAGACATGTCACCTCTTACTCATAGATAAGGCGAAGAAAAGACATCTACGATCCACCCTGTTCCCGGATAGAATAAAACTAGATAGAAAAGAGATCAAGCTCATGCACAAACACATAATCTGAAATTCGTTTCGTTACGTTTTAACTTGACCAGCATTTTGGTTTTTTGCACTTCATCGCCACGAGAATTTGATTCAATTCACGACCATACAAGTTAAGAAACCGCGAAGGTCGATCGACACACACGACACCAGCAAACTGCCCAGAGCGTTAAGAACAGATCCCCATCGTGTAAATTTAAACAGATCTCCGTCGCCCCAAGGATATATGAAATGGTATTTTTTGGAATTCTGAGGTAAAAGGTTTTTTTTCCAGATAAAAAATTAATTCATCTAAGCCTCGGTGGTGACACGGCCACGAGGGTTGGTGACCTTGACACCGAGCTCCTTGGCCTTCTGGATGATGTCGACACGCTTGCGGGAAGAGACGGCGTGGCCGATCCTGTGGAGATAATGTTAGTCTGGGTTGCGAGGGATCGGTTTGAGGATTCTTTAGGTAGGGATAACGTACTCAGCAGCGAAGGTGCGGTTGTGCATGAGCAGGAGCTCAACGTCCTTGGGGTTCTGGACGAGGAAGGCCTTGTGGCCCGAGGGCATCATGTGGCGGGTCTTCTTGTTGCTGCCGTATCCGATCTATCGATAGAAGCGGGATTAGTATTCATGTCGGTTTCATATAGGGTTGCGCGGAACCACGCGAGGAAGGAAGGACGGAATGAACGTACCGAGGGCATGGGAAGGTTGCTCTTGAAACGTCTACGGACGCGGTTGTCGATACCCTTGGGCTTGCGCCACGACTCACCGACACGCATGAAGCGGTCGGACTGGTGGCGCCAGAAGCGCTTGGTGCCTGTGAAGTCGCAAGTCAGTTTTATTGTCCTCGATCGAGCATGATTGTATTCATTCGTGGTAGTCGTATTGGTGGCGTGGATAGGTCGTCGGAAATTTTCTTCTGAGTCGTTCCAGATCATCGCAATCCAGATATCACCCAGCAAGTCAATGTCATAGAGTAGATAAAGAGTTTCCCACTCCGGCTTCACGTTCGGTTTGCTTCTTCATCGATGACGAAATAGTGAGAGTTCAAAATTCGAGTATTGCAAAAGTTTTTCCTCCGCTCGATCAATTCGCTCGTAAAATCGATTTCTTCCGGTTTCTTCTTCTTCTTCTTCTTTTCATATTGACACACGCTTGCTGAGAATATATGGACTGCATTGAACTGGAACTGGGCTGGGCTGGACTGAAGGTTCTGGCAAAAGGGTAGGATAGATTTCAAGGATGGCAAGGCAACATACGCTTCTTGACGATGGGGACATGCTTCTTTGCGAGGACCATCTGGACGAAATGACAATTAGTATACGGCGCGACGAGGCAGGATAATCGTATCGTCCGGGAAAAGACTCACCTTGTCGGTGTCGTAGGGTCCGTGACTGGCGCTCAACAGTTGTCGTGACGGTTCGAATTCGATCTCAGAAATCGTTCGCTGAGGTTTGGCCGAGTCGGCGCTAGTGCCTCGCTAAGCGAGTCCCGTTTAGAGTGAGTTAGGGCTCAGTTGGGCAACCCTGCCAAGTCTTAGACCGGGGATTATGTCATCGCAGTCGCGGCAAGCTTCTTACTAATTCGATCTTATGTGCATGCTTCTAGTTCCCAATTTCTATCTAGTACGGTGTACTGTACACAGCGATAATAACTATCCAAGGACTGCTCTATATCTGCAACTGCAATCGCTGCTTCTCCCCATCCTTCGAACTGCTCGTGAACATCCCTTCCATCACTTCCAGATCAGCCAGCGCTTCCTCCGGTCGCAATGCCGCCGCAATGCCGGTACCTCCGACAATGCTCACCCCGAAGTCGCTGATCTCCTTATTGACGCAGCGACCCTCGAAGGGCACCTCATACCCAGCTCCGTTGACCGTCACTCGATCCCCGTTCAGCGTCACGATGCCCCCGTCGCAGGTAAATTCAAACGTGGAATCAGTCAACGTCGAGCCATACGAGATCGACACCACGCCTGTCGCGCCCGACCTAGTTTTCACGACCGCGTCTACCGTGTCCACAGGGGCCAGATGTTGTTGCTGCAGACACGACTGCGCAGATAACATAGCGAGAGGGTCAGTCGAGCCGAGAATCAGTCGTAAGCCGGCCACCATATGAACGCCGCCGTCGAGGACGAAACCGCCCTGATACGCGGGCGTTTGGCGCCATTCCGTTTCTGCAGAGGATCAGCTGAGCGGGCTCCCTTCAAACGCGGGTGAGACAGTCCGACGAAAAGAACCTACTGTAGTACTTGGAGTCCGTTTTGATCAGATTGCGCACGTTGACGCGGAAGTTCTTGACTCCGCCCAGCTTGCGCACTTCCTCGGCGGCGCGGACATATTTGCTCACGTAGCGGAAGTTCTCGGCCACGGCCCACAGCACCTTGGTGCGGTCGACGTTGGCCTCGTACCAGGCGATCAGGTCCTGCGCCGTCGCCAGGTCTTTGGCAATTGGTTTCTCGGAGAGGACATGCTTTCCTGCTGCGAGCGCCTGGCGGATGAATTCGGGCTGGACAAGAATCGGCAGACTATCGTGTAGGCCTCGTAGATTAGCTCTTTGCTCGGTATCTCGTATGCTTCTCCGATCGCGAAACGTACGCGATAATCACCGCCGCAATATCCTGGCGCGACAGCAAATCGGCGTAGCTTTTGCCAGGACCGGAATCCTCTGAGTACAGGTCGATTCCGGAGACGCCGGCCGCGAGGTTCTGCGCCGAATTAAGAGATCGCGAATAAATGGCCTTGAGGTCGAACTCTTGGGCCGCTTGCACACCGGGCTAGCAGGTTGTTAGGCCTCACCGGAAGAGACAATGGTGTGAATTGTAGGGCAATGATGCCATACCAAATGTTCCTCCCGCGCGAAAATCCCTGCCGTTTGGTCAGTGGAATTGACTTCGGATCTTCGATGATCGCATACCACTTCCGATAATAGCAACACCGACCGACATGATCGTCTGAGGTTGATGAGATGAAAATATAGTGACAATTAAGACAGGTATATATATGAGTCCAGGTCTTCGCAAAGATTGCTAAATCAATGGGTCTCCTCGGCGGATGTGTGGATCGAGAAGTCCGTTCGGGTTCCCCGTATTAAATATAACAGAAATCCATCCTGAGCCCGGTGGGTCAAGCATTAAATTAGCTCCAGACCCCGTTGGCGGGGTTGAAGAGGCGATCCCAAAGTGTCGCTGCAATTCCCAATGTAATGCGAATTCAAGAAGAAAGGGCATGGTGGAAATTCTCGTGCATGTACAGATGAATTGTAGCTTGCAATCAAAGTATAGCCAATATAGATGCTGTAGACAAATATGAACAACGCCACAGTAGGCCGCAGAGACACTAATCCTGATCAGAAACATTAAAACAATTTCAACCCAACGCCGTGCCAAAATGCTGTTCGTAGTCTTCATGGGCAATGACCCCAGATCCATCAGGTCAGGTCTCATGCCAAATCCAAAATTATATAAAAGATGTGGATGCCACCAACACAAGGGTATAAAATAACCGAATGACAATGACGGGCCAGTATCCAAAATCAAACAGAACGAGATGGGGTAGTATGTGAAAAGAAGTGCCAAAAACAACAAAGAAAGCAAGCAAAAGAAGGAAAAACAAGGAGTCGAAGGTAGGCTACCCGACTAAAGCCCGGATGCGTTCGACTCTCTCCATTGCCTTTTCAAGGCGTTCGAGGCGGTTGCGTTTCTCAACGTCTCGTCGTTCCAGCAATGCGACCCGTTCCTCCAATTTCGCCCGTGCTCTCCGTTCTTGGGCGACCATCTCGTTGGCCTGGCTGAACAGCTGCGCCGTCAATTCCTCCAATTCGGCATTGGCCTGCATGAGCTGCGATTCCGCTTCCCGGCGTAAGTTCTGCTCCCGGTTCAGAGCATTCTGCCATTCGATTCTTTCGTGGTCCGGGGGTTGCGGCGGCGAGGGCGGGGTCGGAGCGACAGGCTGCGCGGGCGCTTGCGGAGGCGTTGCGGGCGAGGCACTCGGCCGGCGATAATGTAGGAGCGAGGTCAGGGTCGAGAGACGCCCGCCTTGTTGGGTCTGCGAGTGGGACGACTGAGGCGGCGACAACGACCGATCGACTTCATTGGACTTGGCGGAGGACAGGGAGGATACGGAGGAGCCATTGCGGGAGTTGTGAACGGCGGCCTGAGCGCGGAGGCGACGGACTTGTTCTTCGTACTCGGCGAGCTTTTCAGCTGTAAGGGTAATGGGGGCCAGATCAGCATGCAGGGTTAAACCCCGGCGTCATCGCCAACGGAGGAAAAGTGTGGCTAGTTCCTTACCCATGTGTGCCGCCTGGACATTCAAGCATTCAATATGGCCTTCCAATTCATGGACTTTCTTCTGGGCGTTGGCTGGGAGGGGTTGCGACGGAATGGCCTCCTGGCCACAGGTTGGGCAGTTCTTCCCCGAAACTAAGGCCGTCGCATCGGTGAAGGTGGGAAGCATTCCGACCAGCGTGGTAGACGTTAGAGCGGTGGTCGTGGTCGTAGTCGACATTATTCGTAAGGCATGGAGAGGGTGGAAGAGTGAGAATCAAGACGGAAAGGTTGAAGAAGGAAATCCACGAGGGAGGAAGAAGTTGTCTGAGGAAATGAAAGGGTGTCGCAGCGATGGATCCGTGTCGCGGAAAAGCCCGAGCAGGAAGAAGTCCGGGGCGGGATGAGCTGGCGCTTAAATAAGGGATTGGGTAGCGGCAAACAAAGAATCTACAGGACGCGAGGGAAAGAAAGAACCAATATTTCAGCCAGACTCAAAGGGGGGAAAGAACAAAAAAAGAAGAAGGCGAAGTCCAGAGGGAGAAGGAGAAGAAGAAGAAGGAAGAGAAAGAAAGTCGGTGGATTGAATTGATTTGAGTACTGACTGTATGTATGTACCGTATTGGGTATTGTGGACTGCCTGAGAGGAATTTAAGGCCACCAACCATCGCCTTCTCCTTCTAGTTTCTACCCTCTTTGCCTTGCAGTCTAGTGTCTAGTGTCTACACCCTACAGCGTACAATGGACGGTGTAAAGCCCTGATCGGCCTTCCATCCCCGGATCTCACTCGCACACGTGTGGATCGCCCTGCGCCACTCGTGTGAGTTCATGACTTGTCACTTTTCAGCTCTGGTGTGAATCGGATTGTTCTCGACCACTTTAATCTAGGTGTTTACATGCTACCTACCTATACTGCTGAATCTACTCCGTACAGAGACAAAAGTACATCCCATATCCAGCCATCAAACCGCATCATGCCGCATAGCCCCCTTGCAAATATCTGCCCAACCTCTACAGTATGTACTGTACCTACATACAATCCCAGTCGCCAGGGAAACCCCCAGCCCTCGGTACAATGAAGTAGTCAATGGCAATATGCATGATTGTTTTCTATCCCTTGCGCGGAGATACGGAAGTTATGCTGTTACTCAGGTACGATCTCCGTCGGTGCTATCCCTTGCATTGCAATAATCTTCACAGCCCGATGATATCAGAACATCCAGGTATACGTCAAAAGTCGCTTGACTCGACTTCTATGATTCCATGCTACTAACATGCCATCGGTATCGCTCTTACAAGGTCATAAATTCATCTACAGCTAATCATCAAATGCCGTCACTTTCCGTATACCCTGCGCCATGCGAGGGACTAAGTTTGTGGAACACGGCGGTCATATCAGCCTACACTCAATACAGATGGGCAGACTGGTTCTCCCCCCTCATGGTTCTCCCCCCTCATGGTTCAGGGAGCAAAGTTACTTTGTTCTAAACGCTAGATATAACTTCGCCGATCTTCAATCATGAGCCATTTGTGCTCCAAGGAAGCGATAATCAAGAACATTATTGCATAAACATAAATCATGACACATAATCAAGAGACAACCCCCTTTTTCACATCGCCGCATTTCCATCTCCATCATAACTTCCGACCAAACTAGGTATTCCCCACCAGTCCCAAAGCCTGCAGAATCGTCCGATCCGTGAGGGCAATCACCACAGCCGTGGCACCACTCATGATACTAAAAGCGCACGTCATCGTAGACCACCCGCCCACATCCATGAGTATACCGGCAATCAGAGGCCCCAGCACCTGGCCTCCAGACCAAGCAACGTTGAACAACCCGTACGCCTGGGCCATCGCGCCTTGCTTTCCGAAGATCCCTGGGTGCGCTTTCTCCTGGCCTTCGACGAAATGATCGACTTCTGTCATTAGGGCGACCATTTGCATGGTTGTGGCGACGCCGGCGATGAATAGGAAGACGTAGAGGAGGATCTGGTCGTGGGTCGTGTTTTCGGTGATGAGGTGGAGGAGCAGAAAGACTGGGCAGCCGAGGGAGAAGCCTAGAAAGGCAATGAGTCGAGGTCCGCAGCGGTCGACGGCAGCGCCTGTATTTGGTTTTGTTAGTATTGACATGGCATGATGGTATGAGTATGGGACTTGTGGAGGGTAACGTACCGACTTGAGGCGAGGAGAAGGATGGGGCAAATAAGGGCAAAAAACAGAAGCCTATCAACATCGGTCCCCATTTGAATGTTCTCATGACGTATAATGGAAGAACCTGTACAACAAGAGTGAGAAATTAGAGAACGTATACAATAGAGACTAGCAGGATTTCATGGTAGATACTCACTGTGTCAAAGGAAGAATACATCATGGCCTCAACAACAGTCGCTCCGAGGGCGACGAGAACTCTCCGCGAGCAAATCAGACGTACCATCACGGGCACGGAAGATGTCCGGCCACTCGATGCAGATTCTCCATTGCCATCTTCAGGCAATTGCGTGGAATTTTCGAATGACGGATCCGATGGAACTGACCTTGCAGCACCATAGTGGACACTGCCATCCCGGTGTGCTGTATCCAGCAAACTTTCTGTCTCGTCGACACTTGGCTGAATCCACTTCGACGCCGTTTTCTGCTCTATCATGACCAGACGGAGGAGAATGTCCAGAACAACCAGTGCGATGGCCATGACAAACACGGCATGGTATCCCAATCGGGATAGCCTTCATCTCTCGTCAACGACCGCACGAACAGGTCCAGCTACGCTCAAATCCAGGGAAACTCACATAATACCACCAATGAACGGCCCAAACACCGTTCCCACCGTCATCGCCATGGAGACATATCCCATGGCCGCACCAACCTGATCCTTTCCCACGGTGTCCACAACAAGCGCCATGCCCACCGTCCACACCACCGCCGCGGAAAGACCCTGCAGGGCCCGCGCGATAACCAAGGCTGTCAGCGTCGAGGCGACCCAAAACATCACGGTCGAGCCACCCAACGCCAACAGGCCGACAATGAACGGCCCTTGGCGCGAGGTGCTTCTATCAGCGAAGTAACCGAAGATAGCTATAGTTCGTTAGTTAGACCACCGACTACATCATTGAGACAACATCTTTGCACCACCGCAAACCACAAGGAACCAACTCACGAGATCCAACAAATAAAGCGCCTCCAAATGCAGCCAGCAATATCGACATCCATTGTTGCACTGCGCAATTCATGTCAATAATATTCTCGATTACTTCCAACCGGACTATGAAAACGTACATTCATCGTCCGGCACGATCACGCGGGTTTGCAAGACCACCGGAAGGATGGGAACGATCTAATACCACGCAGATCAGAGAGACTGTATTGCATCCTGATCATTAGCTGGACACACATACCATGCCATAGATAAAAACATCCTATCTCCGCGCATGTTAGCAATCCACGCAATCTATATACATCGCAAATCGACATCCATACCGTAAAAACCGCGATCGACACAACCGAGATCACAAATCGCTTTGAGGAGCGAAACTCCAGATTCCATGGCGGAAGCGAAGGGGGCACTTTGGCGTCGTGGAGACCATCGGTGTGCATTCTTATTCTTATCTTTGCTTATTCTGGAGGAGGGACGAGACCCGATGAAGGGGCTTGGGCATACAACGGCACAAAGCAACTAGAAATCTTGCTGGCAGACGGATGCGAAGATCTTGGATGTAGAAGGTTTTTAAGGAAGAGTAGCAGAGGATGAAAGGTTTAAATTGGTCGCAGATATTGGCAGCTTATGCCCAATGGCGGTGGTTGGTAGAGCTGAAAGACCGCCGATGCTCAGCTTAGCGGGGATGGGGGGGTGGGATCCACCAGTCTAGCAGATCAGACGGTGTGCTTGCCTTGATTTGGTGCTGTTTTCCCTTGTCTCGGTGGTTTCTGATGGTCGAGGCTACCGCTCGAGTGTGTGTGATTTGCAGAAAGATTTTATTTCCTGTTCGTATAGTAGTACTTGGAGAGGGAGAGGCATCTCCTGTACTGCAGTAACTATAGCGTTGTTTGGTTGTTTATGTCTCTGCTGGCTGTCAAGGGAAATGCAGTTCTCCTATCGATGTCAAACAGTATTTAATATTTACTCTTATCTCTCCAGTCTCCAGAATACTCCTGTCGGATCATACGGTCGTTCTCCACGCAGATCCACTATCTATCTGATGATTCGTGTCTATTCATCCACGGAGTACTACATCCTACTCGGTATATCGGATCCCCACGCAACATCAACAAACATCACTGGCTTGAATGATCAGAGCAAAAATCCTTGTTTACAAGAATATCACATACGTACATAGAAAGACATTCATCTGACAGGAGATCCGTTTACATTTACTAACTGTCAAGGGATGAACCAACGGTCATCCCGGGATTAAAGAAAACAGGTGAAAGAAGTACGGTCTTCTAAATTCAGGACTACCTGCGATTTTCCATTCTTTTCTCATATCTTGGGCATTACCTCTTCACGCGTCGCCGAGTCGTAATCTTATTCGCATGACTGTCTCGTCAACAAGGAAGGGACATGACTCCGTTAGAAGAACACGAAAAAGAGGACTCCACACACGCCATTCCCCGATCCCAAACAACACAATGAGAGTTGGGGGAATCATTCGACAAGGAAATAGAAAAAACAAGGTCAAGTCCCGATAAGCAAGGAATCCATCGTTGGTCGTTCCCTCCATATCGGCCGTAATGGTCATAAGGTGTATCACCGTCCGTCCACATACAAGGGAATCAAGCAGCTCGCATCGAAGGAAAACAAAGGGCGCAAACAATTGAGTAACAAACTTTTCGACGTGCCGACAATGGTAGTAATGACAGGGCGTGAGTCAAGGGGAATCGTTGCCCGACGAAAGAGATCGTGAACCAAAGGAAGAGTCGGAGAGGAGAGAAGCGACGATTGCAGCTTTGGAGAAAAGAAGACAAACAGCCATCGAAGATAACCAAAACAACAAATCGGAAAAGAAAAGAACGGTCAAGGAAATGGAAAATAAAAAGGAAAATAGATAATCATATCAGCTTAAACAAGGGCGACTAATCGAGACCTAGGATCTTGTCATTATAGCATGACTCCAATAGATCCCGATTACATCCCATCATGTGCATGCCTCAAACAACACACTCCCTCGGCAAACTGCACGCGGCATTTCGTGAGGAAAGTGGTAGCTGATTTTGGGGGTATCCATTGATCGATTAAGATCGGGGTCCACGACGGTTGTTGCGCTGCCTCGAGGGTCCCACCGTGTTCCAGCCCTCATCATCCGCAGCCTCCTCAGGCTGGGCAGCACCGCCCCTCCAGCTACCATTCGTCTTGCCAGCGGCCTCTTTCGATGCTGCGTCCGAAGGAGCGGCCTCTTCCTTCTTGTCCTGATCGGCGGCCATGCCGCCCTCATCCTCGCCGGCCCGCCGGAGGATCTCGAAGTTGGCACCACCTTGAGGCGTCTCGGGCGTGTCCTTGCCGTTGGGATCGGCTTCGGTCTTCGGTTGCTCCTTAGCCTGTCGCTGCTTCTCGGCCTTCTCAGTCTTCGCCTTCTCGTCGGCCTCCTTCTTCTGGCGCAGGGCTAATTGGCGACGCTCCTCAACTTGCCTCTCGCGGGCGGCAGTGTCGGTCGGTCGCGCACCACCGAACGGGCTGGCCTTGGATTCAGTGGCGGGGGCAGTGCTGGAGGGTGCGTCGGCGACGGTGCGTTTTTGCAGGTTCAACCGGGGACGTGTGGCGGGGGCGGCGGCGGCGGGAACGGGGGATGTGGGAGCGGCGGCAGGGGAAGTCGGGTTGCTGGGCTCCTTGGCAGGGGGGGCCTGGTCGGGTCGCATCTTGGATCTCCAGGAGTTGTCCAGCTCGGCCGCAGTCGGGGCGCGTTCCTGGAATTCACGTCGCGGAGGCCGAGAGCCATCCTGGGAACGTCCTTCGCCCCACGCAGGCGAGCTTCTTCTGAAACTGGATCCTTCGGCAGCCGCCGGGCGACCCTCTCTGACCGGTCCACTTGTCGGAGAAAGAGGACCCTTGCGTTCCCAGTTGCCGAAGTCACGGAACTTACCGTCCGACTCGAAGTTGCGACGTCCTCCACGCTCGCTGCCGGCATCCGAAACGTTGTCGAGGCCGCGGCCGAAGGCGGAGCGGTCGGGCACACGACGCTGAGGGGCATCAGGAAGAGGTCCTCTGCGAGTCCAGTCGAACTCCTTGACATCCCGCTCCTTGGCTATTGGGACGGTCAGTTGGGCCTCTCAACCGTTTCCGAACAGTAAAACATGGAACACTTACGGGGCTCAGCAATGCTAATTCTGATCGATCGTCCTTGGAGGGTAGAGCCAGAAAAGTCGAGAGCCTTCTTCAGACCCTCGACGGTTTCAAACTCAACGTATCCAAAGCCCTTGGGACTGTGGGTCAACTTGTCCTCGACGATGCGGACATTCGTCACGCCGCAGTCGACAAAGAGATCAGAGATGTCCGCCGCGGTTGCGTCGAAAGACAGGTTTCCAACGTGAACGGTATAGGGAGGCTCCGTAGGAAGAGGAAGGGGTTCCCTCACGGCGAAACCGCGGTCTTTTACTCCAGCGTCAGAAAACATCTAAATGTTGTTGGCGCAAAAGGGGCGGGTTCTCATACCGTTGAAACTACCTCCAAAGCCACTACCTCCATAACCAGAGGGAGGACCACGGCGCTCACCACCGAAGCTAGACTGCATGGAAGGGACTGCTGAACGTTTAGATCATGGCCATTTGCGGACGAAAACCGGGAAAGGGTGGGAGTCACGGGGAGTGTGGGTGGTTTACGCACCGGCTAGAAGGCATTTGGGTCAGCACAAGACCATCAACTTTGAGAGGGTAGAAGGTTACTACTTACCAGGCATAGGCATGTCTTCCATCTCATCGGCCCACGAGCCCAAGTCTATTTCTCTTTAGCCCAGATCGCCCCCGCGGGGAAGTCACGGAAACCTACTCTCATCAGCCAAGAAGGTGCTGATAGACATCTTCTGGGCTTTCTGCTTTCCGGGCGCTGGAAAAGGATCGAGTCAGTAACCATCTTCAACGAAGCGAATGAAATCGATGGAATAGCGAGATGGATCGAGGCATCCCCGGGGTGCAGAGGAGGGGTTGGAACGAACCCATGATTGCGGTTGATGGAAATCCAGAAACGCGCCAAGGGAACCTGTGCGCGTCTCACGCAAAAAAAGAGAGATAAAAAAAGATGGAGAGACTTCCGGAAAGGAAGACAAGAGGCGATTTAGAAAATGACGTTGGGTTGTTTGATCAAAGTGATGTGCGATGGGGGTTGCAGGAAAGCTCCGCAGTGAAAGAGCAGAGGGGAAAGTAAGTTAATCCGTGAGGATAATTTTTAGTGATGACGCTAGAAAAGTCAGCCTCTAAAAAGTGTTGGTGCGGTCTTTCGGTCTGCGCCTCGACCCAATTCCGAGGGCTTTTTTTCTTCTTTTTTCTTCCTTTTTTTCAGGGACGTTTAAATGCGCATTCTTTTACGGTGAATTAATCATTTCTAGAGGTTTTTATTTGTTATTCTTTCTATCTTTTTTTCTAAACATTAATTAAAAATAGAAGGTTCAATATGTCTATGAAAAGAAAAGAGGGGAAAAAAAATTCAAATTAAAAAAAAGGCAGTAAAACAGGCGAGATTCGCCTGGCAAGAGGTTAGTCCGGTACAGTAAGAAACCCTTTCGGTTGGAATGTAACTGAATCCTCCCGCCAATCCTCCTCCTTGCTCTGCCCAGTTCATGAACTAACTACTAACTTCCTCTACATTCCCACATTCCTGGGGCCATCAATGGTTCCTCCGTATTCTACTTGTATTGTTCCTGTCTGGCTCTGCTTCTTTCTTGGCTTGGCACCACCAGCCCTCACCAATTTGTAGTAGAACCAGGTCAACTTCTCAAGGTTCGGACACTGGTCTTCCTCTGTAGGTAGTATTAATATTACAGACCTATAGTATGGCCTTATCTGAGATATACTACAAGTTCCAGTCCAAGTAGTCGGGGTAATTTTACAGGATGTCTTGCCACCAGACCTTATGTAATATGTCACGTGTAGTATCACGTGTATCTTGACCGTCGCCGGCCTATCGAGGCATGAATGCTTCTCATACTGTCGACGTTGATTGTAGCCGGTGAATATCCAACAGGGCTTGCTGAGTGGTTTGTGGTTTGCGAGATGAGCGGGAAATCTACTCAGCCGCCGGGCTTGGAGTCCAATGCATTGCTGTCTGCAGTCAAAGTGGGCGCCCTGAGTGGTCAGTATCAGCCTTGATTCTATATTTTTATGTTTCTCCAGCGGTTGGCGGCATCTCGCCGAGTACCACCGGGCAAGAACAATTTCCGCAATCAGAATACGAATGGCAGAAACACTATCTCTATCGTGTACAAAATACTGATATACACCGCAGGCTCTGCAGGACTCGTCTACGGAGGCATTTCAGGCGTTATTCGATCTCATCATCCGGTAATCCATTCCATTTCATGCGGTATCCACTGGACTGCCTGTGGAACCTCCTTCTGGTGTCAGTACACCCTGTCCGTCTTGCACCCAATGTTCCAAGAGATACTGATGACCTCTTTTCAGGGCTCAGAAATGGTATCTTGGACCTTCACTACCAAGGCGATGCGACTCCGAGACAGCGTGCTTATGTCAGCGCTCTTTCTGGCGGCATTGCGGGCGGTGCGGTTACGAGATTAATGGGTATGTCCCTAATCCCCTATTGAAGGTGGAATAGGGCCGATGATCGTGATGCTTAGCTGACGTGTGCCGGATAAAAGGAGGTCGACTTATTCCAGGGGCTGTGATTTTTTCCATGCTAGGCTTTGTCGGGCAAAGCTCGTACAATGCGATCGACACATGGCAGATGGAGCATGCAGATAACCCGTCGAAGCCAATCATCCAACGCATAGCCGACTCTAAATGGATCCCTCTGAGGTCTCTTTCCGACGACGACTATCGCGGCATGCTCAGCGAAAAATTGCTGAGTATCGAGGCAGAAATCAGCCTTATCGACGACAAGATCGCAGAACTTGAGAAATCCAAAGCCGATTCTGGATTAACACCGATGCCGGCCGAGCCTACGGACAGATGATCGTATAGATCGAGTGCTCAGCGAGGAACTATTTACTGACTGATTCCTCCGATCGCTTTGGAACCATTTTCGACATGTCGGGTTGACTATTTACAAGTAGGTGCCGATGATTGGCCAAAGCGAAGGATGTCCTCCACCCGGTCGGTTTGAGAGTTATCCATTTGAAACCGGTATCCGAAGCATCGAGGGGCATTTGCCATTGGGTTTGCGTGGTTGTGGAAATGACATTGGTCTTTATGTGTCCCCCTGAGTGACTTGGACCCTGGGGGGGTGGATGGATCAACTCGGACGTGCGAAACTCCAGTTATTCGTCACGGAAAGCGAGTGGCGAAAATCTCTGTAAATGTGGCTATGTAGAATTTGTGGAAACCAGATGTACATACGTGTATGATAGAGAATATGGTGATATACTGGTGCCTGCAGTACTTGAAGGATACTGTCATTGCCAAGGGAAGGGGTCAAGGGGTCCTGTACGTTGTAACAGCCCGGTCCCGATCATTCGTCTACACAGTTCACACCAATGTCGATAAGAACAAATTCTGAAATTTAAATAATACATAAAAATTAAGAGAATTAAAATACAAACAAAAAAGATCACTCGCACATCAGGAGAAACCGGAGAAAATGTCTATCAAGAAACGAAGCCCCAGTTATTTCTAAGCAATGCCGAGACAGCCGGTTCGGCCAGAATGCCCCGGAGGAGCAAAGTGGGTGGCCTTCCGCTTCCAGTTCTGCCCGCCAGTCTGTCCGTCTGTCCTGACATGCTGGATAGATCTATGCTTCCATGGTTCGGCCGCCCCGGGACACTCCGTTTATATCCTCTGTCGGCGCTTACTCACCCTGCTTCTCGTATCGCCCAGTTTTCTTCTCGTCGCTGAAAAAGCATGACTGATGTGCGATCTGTACGGGTACTCTGCGACGCTTCTTCGGCTGCTGTGAAGTTGCTGGTCCTGAATTGAGACCTGTCCTTCGCCGCATCCCCGAGCTATTTGGATACGACTTCGATCCCTTCTGGGTCCGGTCTTCAAGAGGTGGAATATCGAGACTCGGCAACTGACGCTCATTTTCACGAACTGTACCCCTAGGAAAGACGCCACGGATCGGAGTCTCTCGATGGTTTCGGTTTTGACCTCTGCCCGCCCTGTTCAACGGATCGGTAACCCTGATCGCGAGCCACGATGACGCTTTTCAACCCGACCACCGTCCTCGTCGGTTTCCTCCTTCTCTATCTCTCCTCGTTCCTGATTTTCGCCATCGTCCGCATCGCGACCGGAATTTCCATACAACGGATCGGATATTTCTCCCTCCGCCGCATTGCGTACGCTCCCAAGGAAGGCGTGTTGATCGAGCTTCGGGGTCTGGGCCTGTCATTACACCCCCCGTCTTTTGCACAACCGACATGGCTGAGCCTCCGGTTGACCGACTTGAAGGTGACGCTGGACCCCTCCGTACTGGGAAAAAATCAAAATGAGAAGAAAGCCGATGTGCCGGAACCGCAAAGTTCGGAGGAGCTCGGTAGCTCTCAGGAGGGCGAGGATGATTCTCCCCTTCCTCATCGGAGCAAAACATGGAAGACCTTGACGGGACTGAAGGAACACGTGAAACGACTCCATCGCAAAATACACTGGTTGAAATTGGTGGACATTGTGGCTGTCAACACTACAGTTCACTTTCTCGAGGCTGGACAAATACAGGTGGGATCTTTGTCCCTGGCGGTGGATACGAGGCGTAAGATGGTGGACAGAGGAAAGGTGTTTCGGCGCAAGAAGGACGAGTCCGGCGAGCAACATCCAGCTGAATGGATCATGACGGTGCAAAATGTTTTGCTTTCTGTTGACGGCAGAGAACCTACGGAACTACTGGATAATGTCGGAGTGAATATACACGGGCTCCTTCACAAGGATATGGAGGGTCTAAGGGATGCCTCTATTGCTGTCAAAATCGGGAGAATGCATATTCCGTACGACGACTTGACGACGCTGATGCAACGGATCAAGAAATTCCGACAATCTTTGAAAGAACCCTCGGAGGACGACCTGGAAGATGAGGTGACCTTTGCTGATTTTGTGGAGGAGTTAGATCGACCTGGGAGTCGCGACGATACGATTGTCCAGACAGTCGCAGATTCAAAGGAGTTTGCCAGTTCCCTGCTCCGCGGAATCCAAGAATTCCAGGTGGCTTTGAGCTTCTTCCGAGTGTCTCGAGCCATCCAACCGTCTTCGGCAAAAGAGAGTTCCGTTTACTTGAACGTCGTGTCCCATGAACTTGGGGTTGATCTTCACCGGATGGACCAGAAAAGCCCGGCCCATCGCATGTACTTCCAGCGCAACGACGTTGCTCACCAAGCTCTTCTTGCTGCTATATCCTTTTCAGTTAGTCTGGATGACAGCTCGGGCGAAACGGATAATATTCTCTACATCCCAATGGCGACTACCACTATCAAAACCACGCTTCCTTCGAAAACAATCAGCTCATACGACGAACGGAACCCGGAGGACCGCAACACCAATATCCTGTTCGCAAACCTAGTGGTCACGTCTCCTTCGCTTGACCTGGAACCAAGACACGTCTCTCGGCTCCTGGGACTGGCTCAGGACAGGACTTCCACTTCTCGTGGGAAGAAGAGAAACAACCATAGGCTGATATCTCGACTGCTACCGAAAGCGAGCATCAAACTCTCTGTGCATGAGCCTGTGATTCGATTCGTCCTTCCGATCTCTGATGATTTATCTGCCAAACCTGAGGATGATTACAACCTCCTCATATCTTCCATCTCTTCTATCTCACTTGACATTGAATCCTCTCACTCCACCGAAGGTGGCGTTCATTATTCACTTTCGTCCGTCTACCGGGTCGCGTCTCATCAGTTCTATTACCAGACACCCTCCGGAGTCAAGCATAATCTACTAACCACGGAGAACCTGGAAATGAAGGTGCATTTGAGTGCTTCTCCCGAGGTGCGAGTGGTTGCCTCAGGAAGCCTGAATACGTGCTCCGCCCATATGGTGAACGGTGACGTGAATCGAGGAATTAAACAGGTCATCGAGCAGTTCCAGGCCCAGGTTCGACCGAAGAAAAGAATGTCCATGTCGCTTGAGGATAAAAAGCCCAGCATCCTTAGACGGGTTCCTTCTTGGTTGCTCCGCCTTCAGTTTGAAGCAACTGGCTTGAGCTTAGAAATTGCTGGCGTTGATGCTAGTGTGTCCGAGGCGTCCCGTGGCGTTTCTTTACAGCTCCAGTCATGGTCAGCAGACTATAAGGCTCAAAAGACCGTAGCCAATAATGTCAGCTTCGCCCGGCGGCGTACTCCAAGTCATTCTACCATTGGCGACGAGTCGCCATTCAGATTCCCTCCAACATCTCCACCCCGACAGACGCAGCACGGTGCTGCCGATGGAAGACGGTTAGCGCTGCACATACGGGGCTTTGAGGGATTTGTCATAGAGTCAGAAGACTACCTAGAAGCTGAGCCGTTTATCTCGTTGCCCAGGTTTGAGGTGGCCCTGAGCACGCTGAGCGATCGCCTTGGGCCCATATTCAACATTAATTCAGTACTGAAAGGTGTTTACCTTCAGTATTCTCTCTATCGTTATTACTGCCTGACGGTTGCCGTTTCTGTCCTGCAGAAGGCTTTCGTGCGGCAATCGCCTGAATCGTCCAGCCAGACAGCATCTTCATGGGAGGCAATGGGCCCTGCGCCTCAATCTCCACCCCGCAAAGCGCCACAGCGAAGTGAACTAGTAACGGTCGATGCGAGAGCCACCGTCATTCAAATCAAAACCTCCATGCCAGCGGATCCTCCGATGCTATTACAGATATATGGGTTGTCCGCTGGTTCCCATAGACTCTCTGCCCCCTTTATGAGAGCCCATCTGGTCCGGCTGCACGCAGAGGCGCCCAAATTGAAGGGAGTTTGGGCACGGATAATTAGCATGAACAATTTCAGACTTGACCTCCGGACATTGAAACTGAAGCAGGCTATCGGTTTGATCGAGGAGAAGTCGATTGATGTCTGGGCCGATTTCATTCGCATCGGCGTGCCTCATCATATGGTCATGCATCGCATATTTGATAATGTCATCAACACATCGAAGGCGCTCAAACAACTCCACTACCGCTTCAAAAACAACTGCACAGACTTTCCATCGGAGAGAGATCCGGAGGAGCCGAAGAAAGTACCAAGAGTCACCGTGCGCAGCAAAGCATTGCTTTTCGAGTTGGAAGACGACGCCTTTGAGTGGAAGTTAGGCTGTATATACCGGACTGGTCTCCTTGAGCAACGTCAGCGACTGGCTCGCCAAGAAGCCTTCGAGCTGAAAGTGCAAAAGATTAAGGAATGTGGGCAGCGACGTGGCTCTTCCAGATTGCGAACCCGATCTAGCCACCGAACGCTTCGTAGTGAACGTGCAAGCCAAGACACCAAACGAAGCAAAAGTGCCGATCCAAAGCCACGGGACGACGATAGCCCTGGCGGCAAACGCGGACGAGGCAAAAAGTTTCGTTACGACGCCGAGGGTGCGGCTTGCCTTTCCTCTGAGTCCAAAATCTCCACAGACAATGCTTGGTATCGTCTGCAAGAACATCATGCGCGGAGCTGGAAAAAGAAAATTGATGCTACTCTGCGGTTTCAAGGCACATCTATCAAGGAGGTCAGGAACCTCTTCTCCGGAGCCGATGAGCCTCCCGAAGATGTTGAGGAGACCGAGACGGTGCTTTCTATTCCGAACCGACCTGCCCTATTGGCAGCTCTGATAAGCGACATCAATCTTACTATAGACAAGCCGTTCTTTCCGCTGGAGGACTATCCCGAATTTCTCCACAGGATTGGCAAGGGCATACCTTTGTCGACACAATATGCGCTACTTGTTCCGATGAGCTTTCAGCTGGAGATGGGAGAAGCTCGTGTCAACTTGCGAGATTATCCATTGGACTTGCTGCACATCCCGGCACTGCGACCAGGCCAATCTCCAAGGCTACCAAGTTGGTCACTTCGAACAAAC